CCCGAGCGCTTTTCCCCTTCCGCGATTGCCGGTGCCGGCCGAGTGCACCGAATGCAGTGAGGTCACGGCACGCCGCGGCATACGACCGCGCCGCGGATCATGTTGTCGTCGCGGAGCTCGCGGAGTGGCGGTCCGCACGACGGCCTGTTGTTTGCAAACAACGTTTTGTAAGGCACGTTACGCCGCCACCCGGCCGCCACCCCCGCATCCACTCACTCTTCCACACTTCCACACTTCTTTGACGCCTGCAGCGTGCCCGTCCCCGCCGCCCGGCCCCCAATCCGGCAATCCCCATGTAATCCCCTCGGCTCGGCGCCATTACTCTCGAATGGTCCCGAGTGGTCCCGGGGCCCCGAATTGTCCCACGATGTCGGAGCTTTCTGCGCGCGGACTCTAATGTTCTGGGCGGCGCGCGCCGCGTCGGCGTAGTCAGCGAGCATGGTGGCACGCGCGCCGGAGCCGAGCCGACCGGTAGTACACTGCACTGCGCTGCGCCCACCAATCGCCACTGGTCTGGTCGGGTCACCGGCCAGTCGGACAAGGGCGTATCTCATCCGCGGGTTTCGCAGGTTACGTGACTTGCGCGGTTCTGTACGCAATAACCACGGGACTCTGATCACGTCTCGTCTGTCCATACTAGTAAAGCTGATGCGTAGTTTTACGCTTCATTCAAGCAAACAACGACGACACTTGTAGTCAAACGTAACAAGGCGTAAAAGTTGCAACCTCTCTGGACGCTGCCAAGCTTCCAGAGCCAGCATCGACGAAACTGCGCATCAAAGTTCAAGTTGGGGTTTCCAGCCCACAGGGTGTGTAGGAAACCCATGGCAGCGTTAGCGGTGTTGCCGCCGAAAGCAGGGTCTTCTTCTTGTCGGCCGGCCGGCCCCCTGTGTCGAACCGAGACGCCGCCAATTGGGACCAATTTGCTCGAAATTGGTATTGTCCCGCGGCGGGCGTGGCGCGGGCAGTTTGCACCAACCTGTTATCCGGTCCGGAGTCACAGCCACCGTGACCAGCGACCGGGGCCCAGACCGACCCACAGTGGGCCAGAGGACCGATGGAGGTGGCTAAAAGTCGGGACGCGTTTTGAGCTCCAGAGTCGCTAAATGGGACTCGAACCAAACGTGTGACCCCACCAATGGATTCCTCGTTCTGAGAGCAATCCATTGGTGGGGTCACACGTTCGGTTCGAGTCCTGTTTAGAGACTCTGGCGCTCAAAACGCATCTATAGTTTCGGCCGCCTCGACCGGTCTTCTGGCGCACTGTATGGCTGTCCAGGCTGTCCAGGCCGCAGGGGGCGGGGACCACCTCGCGGTACTTCCCGGAAACAAACAGCTTCCCATCTCGAGAGCACAGCATCCGCCTTACGGCGCTGCCTGGCGCTGCACTGCGCATTTCGGCCAAGTCACGATGCATCCACGCGCCATGGCGGCGCCATGCCACGCCATGCCACGCCATGCCACGCCATGCCACCGGCGTGCCGCCGCGCCTCACCTTCGCAAATTGCGTCGCTTGATCATGTCATCCAGGTTGATTCGGGTCGGCAAGCCCGGGCAAGTCGCATCACGGATGACGGTCGCCGGGTCATGTCGGAGCGGAAAGTGCACCGGCTTCTGGAAATTTCGTCGTCGCGGAGGTACACTGTCGGAGGTGCTGCGTACGCCCGCACGGCCGTACACAGGACGACGGTGCGGCAGCGCGACAGCGGCACGACGTCAACGAGAGAGAGGCCCGTCGGCAAACGAGTCTGAGAGAGACAGCAGTGATACAATCACAGTGCCCCCTCCCCCTTTACAGAACACAACACATAATAAAACGCAGGTGTGTACTTAGTACACATTTTCGTTGTTAGAAGAGCGTACTCAGTGCCCACTGGAGTGCTTTGAATTTCAGTGCACGCACAGTAAGACTCTTCCAGGTGCGTTTCTGGGGGAGGGGGCGGGTCTGACTCTCCCGTCCGGACTATCCGACGAAGGAGGCCCACGATGACCGGCTGGTCCCTCGGACAGCCCATGTCGCCCCATCCCTCTCGAACTCACGTCGCTTCCCGTGTGTGTGCGAGAGAGACAGAGCGGCGGAGCGCTGTTCGGAGTCACAGCCCGCTCGCTGCTGACTGCCGCAGACTGCCGACTCGCTGTGTGTGGTCGCAAAGTAAGCGAGCCTCCTGAGCTTTCGTCGCGTCGCGTCGCCGCAAGGACGGCCTCAGAGGGCACCATTGCATAACTGCCCCCCAATCTCAGCGACCGCCGTGCCGCGCCTCGCCGCGCCGTGCCGCGCCGTGCCGCTCTCACACGTCGTTGTCGTTGTTCCACCAATTACGCCGTTAGAGCGCCACGCCGCGCCACTCAGAGCCCCGCCAGGCCGCCGGGCCGCCATCGCTCTTCGTCTCCATTAAATGTATTCGGCCGCGCGCCTCGCCGTGCCGTGCCGTGCCGTGCCGTGCCGTGCCGTGCCGTGCCCTGCCGTGCCGGCATCAACTTTCGGATCCACGAAAGCCGCAGCGCCGCTCACAGGTTGCCTACCTCATATGCCAATTAGTGTCTTCGATTGTTCAGTAGTTTTCAGCGTGAGCGTGTGCGCGGTGCGTGTGTGTGTGAGTCTGTGTGTGTTGCCTGTGTGTGTGTGTCGCGGGGGCGGCGGACGAGGCGAGAGCAACAGAGCACATGACAAGGAGGATGAGGAAGTGGTGCACGTGGACGGAGAGGGCGCTGGCCGCTAGGAAGCGCGGCGCGGTGCCGCGGGGGGATCAAGCCGCCGATTCCGCACATCGCCGACGTCGCGCTGTCTCTCTCGCACTCAGGGGGCGTCCCGCGTCGGTGCGAGAGAGACAGAGGCGGCCCGCTGTGCGGAACCAGCCTGCAGCAGCGGGGGGACCTGCAGGACCTGCAGCGCGGTGCGGCGCGGTGGGGAGGCGTGGGCCGCACGCACAATTGGGGGGACGAGGGGGGAGGGGGAGGCCTTGATGTAGAGCAGTGACTTTTAATTGCGATTGATCCGATGGGACGTTAAGCGGCGTGCAGCACGGCACGGCACCTCTGAGTTCCGAGTAGCGCAGAGCGTGGCCGGCGACAAAGGCAGCGAGTTCGGCCCGGGCTGGGCTGGGCTTCCCTGACAGGTGTCTCTTGCACAGCACAGCAGCCGCGCACATCGCGGACATCGTGCACAGGGGCCGGAAGAGCCTCCAATTGGTGCTCGGCTTTCGGCTTCGTCCGGCCCGACAGTCGTTTTCGTCGCGCTGTCTCTCTCGCACCCATGGGCGCCCCGTACAGGTGCGAGAGAGGCAGAGCGACGAAAACGACTCCCGGAATCAGACTGCAGGGCACCACGGTGCTGGGCAACGAGGGCGTCAGCGCGGTGGTGGTGCGGCGTGCTGCCGTGTGCCGCTGTTTCACGCTCAGGATGTTCTGTTTCCTCCTCCTCCTTCTTCTCTTCTGCTTTTGTTGTGAATGAATTGGAGAATAAGTCGAGTGGCTTGCAGGCGGCGGGCCGGCCGGGGCGCGCGTTGCCAGATAAGCCGAAGGGCCAACGCGCCGTGCAGATTCCGCGCAGCGTTTCGGCGCTCTGTCTCTCTCGCACCCCTACGCGAAGCCGGGGACAAGCCGGGAACGCGCCACGAGTACGAGTGCGAGCGAGACAGAGCACCGTTCGGAATACCGCCGCCGCAGCAGCAGCGGGCGATTCTAGGGGTCGCGCAGGGCCGTGTTTATGTGTTTGCTCTTCGCATGGGTCTGACTCATCATAACCCAACGGTGCTCCAAATAAGCGACACGTTTCTCCCCCCTTGTTTTCTGTTTCAGTCCAATTATCGGACGAGTTTTGTCGCGGTTTAAAACGGGCGGGAAGGGATTGCCGCTAGCGGAAAATATCTAGATTCGATCATACGCACGGGAAACGTGAGGGGGAAGGGGGATTCTGCAACCACGCTGCCTCGCCGTTTTCCGATATTTTTCCAGCGGAACCGCCGCCTTCCTTACAGTGTAATGACCCGGCTGAGCCGCTACGCGCGTAGCCAGCGTAGCCACTACACTCTAGGCAGCCCGCCGGCGGTGTGAGGTCAACGTCTCGGCGGCTCCGCGTCTCGGCGGCGCCGACGCATTCATTTGCATTTTTCGATTGAATGATCCTGATCTGCCTGGGGACCCTGGGGACCCTGGGGGTAATCCGCGTGACTCGCCGTTCCTCCTTCCCGGAGTGCCTACAGTGTAGGAGGCGCGGCACTACTTGCACCCTCCCCTCCCCCTCCCCCTCCAGGCTCTCGTTCCTCTTCCTGTGGCCGTTCCTGGAAGGACCTGTCGTCAGACGCATGCACCTGCAAACACTGCGCCACGCCGCTCATTTTCGCCACATCCGCGTCGCCCCGCCCCGCCCCGCCGCGCCCCGCCGCGCCCCCGCACTCCTCCGTGTCAATGTGCCACGGCGTCCATCGGCCACGCTCCTCTCCTCGCCAGCGGTCAGCGGGTTGTCTGTCTCTCCCGCACCTTGACGGGACGCCCGCGGAGTGCGAGAGAGACAGAGCGACCGCGGAGGACGAAGTGCCGGGGGCTTTCTGCTCTAAGTGTTGACGGCCCGGTAATGCCTGCCAGGAATGAGTGAGTGCACGGCCACGGCGGCGAGCGGAGCGTGCGGCCTATGGTCGGCTCGGCGGGCGTAGAGCACTGGCCGAGCGGAGCAGAAACCACAGACACCGACGCGGTGAATGAGTCAAGTGCAAGACGGTGCCGCCGCCGCCCGCGGACGGGAGCGTAGGCAACCCTTCGCGCACTCTCGTTCCCGCCGGCAGATGGGTGGCCTACTGTCGCGGCGCACCGCGCGCAGTTTTATGAAGTCAGCAAAGCCGCAGTGCGTTGCGTTCCGCATGCCGAATGACTTCTCGATGAAGCAAATAGATGCCGCCTCCGTCTAGATTAAGGCCGCGCAGCCACCGGTGCGCGACAGCGACAGCAGCACAGGGGCACCGAAAGCCTTATCACTCTGCTCAGCAAGGCCCGCCTAGACGTCCCCGCCGCGGCGTTGGAGGCGCCGATAATGGAAAACCGCGGAAAGTCCTCCTCCACGCATGGCAGCATGCGGAAGCCGGTACACCGCTTCGTCCTGCTCGGCGTCGCCGTCGTCCTGGGGCTGCACTTGGCCGTCAACCTGCGGATGGCGCCGAGCCGGCGCGTGCACCGGGAGACCCTGCAACGGGGCTCCAAGGCCACGCAGGCGACCGCCACAGCCGCCGCCACCGCGCCTCGAGAGAGCCAGGACGGCGGCGCCATGCACGTCCGCGACGTCCCCCTGCTGTTGGACACCCCTGGCTGCCGCATCCCCGACTTGGTCGCCAACAGCAGCGAGGTGGCGCCCTACGTCGTGGACTACGATATGGGTGGCGACTGCGGTGACCCGCCACCCCTCGTGCGCTCCACCGACGACACGCTGTACGTGGACAAGGAGGCCCTGGACGCGTACGGGGTGCCCGCCGGCGCGCGGCCCCAGGACCACGTTCGCTGCTGCTACTCCGCCATGTGGCGCCCGCAGCTCGACGTGGTCGTCCCGGACTGGGGTCCCGGGTCCCCCATGCCGCCGGTCGACAAGAGGAAGGGGCTCATGTGGGACAAGGTGGCTTACGGCAACGACATACGGTACGCAGCGCGCGCGACCCGGGGTGTTTTTGCAAGCCGATTCATAACAGTGCTTCGTCGCTCCGTCTCTCTCCACGGAACGCTCCATTAGTGCGAGAGAGACGGTGCGACGAAAGCACTCATCCTGCTGCGTGAATTACGTGGTTTTTGAACACATCCGCAGGTACGGGGACGAATGCGTGCCGTTCTTTGAGCCCGTCGTGGTGCTTCACGAGTTCGTCCGCGTCAACTGCACCGTGACCGTGGCCGCGTCCGTGACCCAGCTCCGCGACTACCACGCCTTCGTGCCGGTGCGGCGTCCTCGCGGCTGGGCGGCCGACGCCGACGACGCCGGCACCAAGGACTCGGAGGCCGCGCTCAACGTGCTGGTGGTGGGCGTGGACTCGGTGTCGCGCCTCAACGCGCTGCGCACCATGCCGCGCACGCTGGCCGCGCTGGCGCGGCTCGGCGGCACCACCATGCTGGGCTACAACAAGGTGGAGGACAACACGTTCCCCAACCTGGTGCCGCTCTTGTCGGGGCTCAGCGTGCCCGAGCTGCGGCGCCGCTGCTGGGCCGACGACCACGGCGGCAACGACGCGCACTTCGACGCCTGCTCCTGGATCTGGAAGCGCTTCAACGCGCGCGGCTACGTCAACATGTTCGCCGAGGACACGGCGTGGATGGGGCTCTTCCACTACCTCAAGCAGGGCTTCGTGGTGCAGCCCACGGACTACGACCCGCGGCCCCTGCTCTACGTCGGCGAGCGAGACCTGGGCCGCAAGCTGCGGCGCCGGGGGAGCAGGGTGTGCCTCGGACAGCGCACCCAACTCGAGGTGAATCCAACTCCACCTGGAATGCGGACTTCGTTTCCCTCTAACCGCGGAACCACACGTCTCTCTCCAGGTGCTCTTCGAGTACGGCACCAAGTTCGTGCGCGCCATGGCGCAGCAGCGCAGGAAGTTCTTCGCCGTCGTGTGGGGCACGTCGCTGTCCCACGACGACCTCAACGCCCCCGCCGTGGCCGACGACATGTACGAGCGCCTCCTGGGGGACCTCGAGGCCACCGGCGTCCTCAACAAGACGGCCTTGGTGTTCATGAGCGACCACGGCCTCCGCTTCGGCGGCATCCTGGAGACAGCCCAGGGCCGCCTGGAGGAGCGCCTGCCCCTGATGCACGTCGTGCTGCCGGAGTGGCTGCGAGCCAGGTCAGTGGTTTCCCATGCTTGCGCCTTCTACTCCAGGTCGCCCTTATCTCATACCTCTCTCGCTGACCCCCGAACGCTTTCTCAGATACCCTGCCGCGGCGGACAACCTGCAACGCAACGGCGGGCGCCTCGTCACCGTGTACGACTTGCACGAGACCATGTTCGACTTGATGGACCTGTCCTCGTTGGAGGCGCGTGCGTCGCGGGAGGGCTCATTGGACCGCCGCGGCATCAGCCTCTTCTCGCGTATTCCAGGAGAGCGGACGTGCGCGCAGGCGGGAATCCCGGGGCACTACTGTGCCTGCCAGCTGCTCGACCCGGTGCCCGTCAGCGATCACAGGTGTGTCTCGTCTCATTCTCGCGCTATCACCAAGTGTACTAGTGTTATGTTGACAACTTGTGTAACCTATCAAGCTATAGTCAGAAAACGGTTCCACGCCTCAATGAAAGGTCTCGGCCCATCAGAGCGCCAGGAAAATAATATGAAAGAATTGAATCATCAATATGCAGACTTGACTATGGACTGAGATTAATTTAAGTTCTCTAATGCCCCAAAACTCATTCATTATTCCACAGGGTACTTCAGGTGGCTGAGTATGTCATCAGTGAAGTAAACTCTATGCTGTCATCCTCCCAAGGAGCACAAGGAAGCCCCTGCGCCAAGTTGCATCTGGACTCTGTGCTTGACGCACGCAAGAGAGCTCTCGGAGGCAAACATACAATGCCAATCTTGGAAGAACAGTACCAGCTGGTGGTACGGACACAGCCAGGGGCAGCTCTGCTGTCAGCCACAGTGACCTATCGCCTGGGTACAAGCACCATGCAGCTAGATGGCACAATCAACCGCATCAACAAATACGGCAAGCAAGGACAGTGCATCGAAGACTTCAAGCTCAGAATACTTTGCTACTGTAACAATAGTCAACAATAATGAACAACTGACAGCTCTGTTCAGAATAGGTCAGAGGAGCAGATGAAAATTGAGGGCGCCAGGCCAGGGATAATGAAGACAAACCAAGCAGATAGTTTTCTGTTTTTATTAAAGAAGTCTCAACTTAGATCCTGGAGGGGTACAGCATCTGAAACAAACAAGCACAAATGTGAAAACACAACAAAAATATAATGTAGGCACATTAAGACATTTTTTCACAATTGATGGTAGGCATGCCCCCAGGTCCTATTGCTCTCTGCTTTGCAACCACTTGAATAAACCATTTAAGTTAAAAAGGAACAACCTTTCAAACAAAAAAACAATTATTCACATGCAGATGAGATCAAATTTTCTGTCCCATTGTTCCCAATTGCAATAAAAGCGTTCGTCAAACAGTGTAACAAGCCCTGGTCAGTGTCAAACTGCAGTAATGAATGATACACAATGTATGTGACCTCTTTTCAAGTGATTGACTCAGGGGGACTGCCAAGTGCCATTGAACAAGAAGTAGGACTTGTACTCACAATTCTGACATGACGACCCATGGCCTGGGAGGGGAGGTTGGAGGTGAACTTAGCTCTAACACTTCCGCGGCATCCATGAGGTCGGGTGATCTTGCCCCAGATAGCACGAGTCTTAGTCTTAAGCTTGGTCTTGCCGGGAACTGAGGTCTTGTTCTTTGACTGCAAACATTGAAAAGAATTAGCACCATAGGAAAAGTGACAAGATCAGGATAGACAATCTGTTCAGTAAACTGTACACTCAGTTTGCAAAATGTGTTCTCAGTTGCAAAGATTACCAAGGAATGGAAATGTTTATCAACAAAGCACTTACCCTGTAGACGTACACCACCTTCTTGCCAACGTAAAAGTCTGAATCTTCCTTAGTACGGGCTCCATCAACCTTCAGCAGGGCAGTGTTTTCATGCTGATTCCTAAGACCGCGCTTGTAGCCTGAGAAGATAGCCTTGGCATACAGACGTCCGTGCCTCTTCAACTTGCACGGTTTCTGCAAACAACAACCAGCAACATCACTTGCTGCCCACAAGGACAAATGGCCAGGCGGTCGGTAGACTGACAACGGACACAGGCACAACTTACGGGTGGTGTGACTTCGCCGGACGCTTTCTTGGCGGCCTTCTTCTTCGCCACCCGCTCGATGGCTTCCTTCACGTAACCAGGTACCTCCTTCTTGTTCTTGCTCACCATTTTGGAGTCGGGTACCCGTCAACCCTGGAACAGCAAAAAACCGCCCGTCAAAATAGTTGCACAAACACACTAGAAAGCCGAAGCGACAGCACACGACATCGCCGCACAGCACACGTCAATCCTAACCTCAACAACACAAATCAAAATAAAGGAAAGTACCGGGATTCAGAAGGTAGAAAATGATGTAAGAGAATTTACATATGGGAAAATTAACGCCAAGCGCTTGTAAAGGGGACAATAACGGCATGAAAAACTGTAATGTCAGTTTAACAAAATGTTTTCATGCCTCCTTAGCAAGTAGTGGAACTGAAATCCAAAGACATCCGATCGAAGACCAAATGGATTGTCTGTATTAGACTAAAATTACGTTAAAGAAACCTTACTGATGGAACTTCGGCGAGAATCTTAAATAATTGTCATCGGTTTTAACTTAAAATATTACCGAAACGCACACGCCACGATCCCACGACTTACCGGAAGTTTACAGACCTCGAAAGAACAGTCCGGAAAAGCTGTTCAATCCTGGAAGGCGCTGGCGCGGGGCCGCGTTAGTTCTTCTCCTTTCTTCTTTACTTGTTTGGCAAAGAACGTTCCGTCGAATAGACCAGGGTTACAATGGAGAAAACAGAAACAAGAGTTTGAATCTTTGAAAAACGCGGGAAATGTGTCGTTGGCCTGTCTGCCACTTTGAGGTTCAATCACTCTTCCTCGGACTTCTGCATTCTGCGTCTGCGATCATAAACAAGTCTGTCTACAGTAAAGAATACCTTGGAGTAAGTGTTACGTTTCTCTCAGCGTTGATTTACTTTCCAACCGCGAAGATCGTGGTCATCAAGAATGGAGCAGCTGCAAAAGTTGTTTACACTTTGTCTTACTCTTCAAAGCTTCCAAACTTTTGGGAAACTTAATCTAGTGTACTCATACCAGACAGTGATAAGTCATTCGTTTACTAAAATTTTCAGGTCTATCTGGGATCATGGATTTTGACTTCACCATACCACTAAACCTTGATGATCTTCTCCACAATGAATCACCTTTTTATGTCGTTCGAGAAGTTGCCACACTTCGTGAGCTGAAAACTAAAATTGAAGGTATGTGTAAACTTTAGATAATTTTCTTAAAAAGTGACGGAAATTATTTTTCAATCATTGTATTTTTTGTATTTTCTTACAAACAGAGAGCAGGAGGTCTTTAGCTGAAGATGGATGTTCCTTCATTCTTGAGCACTTTGACACTCTTTTCTCATTTTTGGTTCAAGCAAAGGATTTAGATATTCGAGGGCTGACACCAGTTCTACATCAATCAATTTTAGGTTTGGTTTGAACTGTTTTATTTCTAATAATGTGCCAAGTCTTGCTTTACTAAAATTGTCAATCAACGATTCTGATGTACAGGTATCGAGCAGATGGTGAATTGTTTCCCACATTTGATAGAAGATGATATGCATCCAGATCAGCGGAAAAAATTTCTTAATATAGCAAAAATGATCATTTTCATATTTGGTCATGCATTTAAAATTATAGAAGATAAGAGATTAGGGAAGGATATGCTCTTTGATATTAAGGTATAACTGAATTACTCTCTACAATAAGTCTTATAATATGCGTTGATAAGATATTTTACATTATGTTTTTATTTTCTGTGTAGGGAAGGAAGAAAACGGCAAAGTCGATTGAACAAGACTCCTGGGATGATGACCGAAATCAATCTCTCTATGCGCTATATGGCTTCGTTCAATTGCCAATCCAAAAACTATGGAATCCACCTGTAGTTGAGGAAGATTTTGTAAGGTATGGAGGTCAAGGGGGTCATTGCAGTGTATTGTGTTTCTTAATGCCTTCCCATTTACTGCAATCTTATGTTTCAGCTTGATCTCTAATGCATGCTACAAAATGTTAGAGGATCCTGGAATAAGCGCAGCCAAAATGAGACCAGTGAGGGAGTCCATATTCCAAATTTTGGGTACTTTGGTTTCGAGATTTCAGCATGGCTTGAGCTGTACAGTGAAAATTGTTCAAGTGTGTTTCTTTATGTTTTCTGATGTCACACAATATCTATATATATATGATCAGGGTTTTGAATTATTAGGATGCCTTTTATGAACATTTGTCTTTTTCCAGCTTCTAAAAATTTATGAACACCTTTGCACACCTCTAGCAGAGTGTGTGATAGCATTGGTGCAAGACTATGGATGTCGTGGATTTCTCAAAGAAATTGTCCGAGAAATAAGTGAATCTGATTCCATTTATGAAAGTAATGGATCAAAGGCATATTCAGTGTTTTTAACTGAGATAAGTAAGAATGCATCCAATCTTGTTCTGCCTATCATGAGCCACCTGCTGCCACATCTTGATAGTGATGTATGTGTTTTTCTTTGGTATTTTTGGTTAAGAGTTTAGGGAATAATCGGAATGGTTTGTATATTTTTCTCTGTATTTACAGCCCTATACCATGCGCAATTGTGTTCTTGAAATCATTGGTGAAGTAGTTATTCAAATACTGACCTCAGAAACCATGGATGACACTCTTCGAGATACGAGAAATACTTTTCTTGATCACTTACAAGAGCATTTGCTTGACTCAAATGCATATGTACGTTCCAAAGTAAGTGCCCTCTTTTAATTCCTTGGTCCAGAAAAAGTTGGGAAATATTTTCTGTTTAAGAATTATTTCATTACTTTTCTCCCTCTTGTAGGCATTAAAAGTATGGCAGCGTTTAGCTCAGGAGAAGTCTATTCCCCTGTCTCGTTTTGGTGATCTCTTGAGTGACGTTGTTGAACGAATAGAAGATGTGAGCTGGACTGTTGTAAGGTCTGCTGTGCAACTTGTGAAAGCTATCCTTGAAAGCAATCCTTTCGGAGCTAAGGTGACATACAAGTTTTCAAAGATTTCATTATACCTGGTGATACTTTCTTTAATGTTAACGTTCTGTTCCAGATGGATTTGGAAACATTAAAAGAAAAGTTATTGTTAGAAGAAAAGACATTAGCCAAATTACAAGAAGAATCCTGCAATCTTGAAAATATGACTCGAGCCCAAAGATGGGAAATTATTTTGCCATCTATCACCCTAGCACTGGAGAGCACACTGAAGACTGGTGATATTGATGACAATGATGAACAGGATGAGGCCATAGATGAAGCTGAAATGTTATCCACTTTAAGAGATGTGCGATCATCCATTGACAAGAAGGAGTATGAACAAGCTGTTAGACTAGCGCGTAAAACAGAGAAATTGTTGGCTGGTGCTTGTGATCTTAGAAAGGACAAGCGGCTTGAATGGCAAGTTGATTACTTTGTCCGTATGCTTAAGAAAATTTATGTGGAAATGAGTGAAGAACAAGAAGCCGAAGGTGTTGGTGATGGTGATGATGAAGACAAGGAGAATGTTGAAAATACACAAGGGGATGCCAAGAAAAAATCCAAAAAGGGTAAAAAGCGGCGACTGCAAGACTTGCATCCTGCAGATGATGAGAAAGCTGGAGAATCCGAAGCTGTCAAGGCAGCATCTACTCAAGCAAGAGTTGTTCAATACTTAAAGGTAATATTTGAGTTTGTGTTTTATTTGGTTAGTGGAAAAGGAACTTTGTAGTTATTATTCTTATCATTCACTGTTTTTAGGACTGTATTGTATTTGCCGAGGAAATGGGGAGAGCCATTGATATGATCACTTCTTTACTTCATTGTGGCCAAGCACAAGTTATTCAGGACACTGTTGAGTTTCTAAGTACAGCTTATCACTTTGGCTTTGATCAGTCTGAGAGTGGTATAAAGCAAATGCTGCTACTTGTGTGGAGTGGCGAAGCAAGTGTAAAAGAAGCTGTTGCTACAGCTTACAAGTCTCTGTACCTTGAAACTCATCCAGGAGTTCCCATGTATGTGAATTCTTTCTGTATATCAAATCATTTGTGTTCTTACTTAAAGGTTTTTTTTTTTGTTAAGTATTTTTATATTTTTTTAACTTGTTTCTCAATATAGGGGAAGAGCTCAGTCTGTAGAAATTGTGCGCAATTTATGCAAGCTTTTGAAAACTCTTGGGCAAAATGAAAAGGCTGCTTTAGAGATCCTGGTTATTGAATGGGTTTCATCAGGTGCTCTTGACAAATCTTGCATCCAGGTAACAGATGGTACCTTAAAACAATTGTTGTCTCACAGTAGTTTTATTCAGAGAATGAATGTCAAATTCTTTGTCTCTAGGTCATGTGGGAGAGATTTTCGAGGACTCTCACGGACACAACTGCAGATGAAAGCCAAGGAGCTCTTCAACTTTTAACCATGGTTGCAGCGTAAGTATTTTATTTGATTGGCAGCCTTTTTCATGTACCTAGTAGATGCCAGTCAATCAATAATTTTAATCAACTGTTCAGTATAAATGATGAGACTTAAAGTTGAGATGTTCTTTCAGATCCACCATGCGTACCGTGCAAACAAATATTGATGTCCTGGTCAAAGTTGGTTTTGGAGTGAAAGGTGAAAGACAAAGTGTCATTATTAAAGACACTTGTGCTGCTCTTTTGAAATTAGTGCCCAGTGGGAGGGTGACAACTGATGAGGAACCTTTGAGGTAATAAACAGTTTTGCTTTGGCCTTTTTTTTGTTTTAAAGAAATGTTTATCTTAGATTATACACTTGTTCTTATTGTGTAATTTTAATTTATTGTTGCACCTCTGCCTTGCTTATTATGAAGGTATCCAAGAGATCACTGTATGTTCCAAACACTAAGTGATATTTTAAGAGAAGGCTTTACAGACACTGAGGATCATGAATACCTGTCTATGGCTGAAGCGGCTTTGGATGTGATTTATCAGGTGACTTACGACTGACCATTTAAGTTGGATTGCTTCAGTTGTAAACTTCTCATTTCTGATTGTTTTTTTCTTAGCTTTCAGAGAAACCAGATACAACATGTGGTGAAATCTTGACTGATGTTTTAGACCAAGTGAAGGAAGCTCAAAATTTTGAGCCAAATGAGGGTAAGATTTTCTCTGCTTTTAACGTTCAACTCTGAAATTTGGAAAGCTAAATTTATTTCTTTGGTCTTTCTTTCAGGTGAATCCAAGGAATTACACTGTTCTGCAGAACTTTTGACCAGGCTCATTTTCTTCATCGGCCATACTGCCTATCAGTAATAAAAGTGTTTTTATTTTTTCCAATAAAACATGGCACTTTGTTTCTAATTATCTTAATTCTTTTTCAGGCAATGGGTACATCTAGATAAACACATGTTCCGAGAACTGAAGCGACGCAATCGTTTGCGTGAAAAGTTTGCAGAAGAAACAAAGGATCTTAAGACAAAGGCAGCTGCTACTAAAGAGAAGAGAAAGAAGAAAGGAAGCCAAAGCAAAGACAACCCCAATGAATCAGCCTTGCAAACTTCAGTACTCTCTGCTTCACACATCCTTTTGGAGAAACAAGAAGCTGATGATGAACTGGGAGGTGACATAGGAGCTGATGATGCTGAGGCTGAGTATATAAACACTATTTGTGAATCTGAAATACTCTCTGGCGACAATCTTCTTTCAAAATTGAGGTAACTGATTTGCACTCTTCGTTAAATTAGTGACCTGGAGGTTTGATAATTAAAGGTGGAAGTAATGGAACAATTTTTGTGATTTTTCAGTCCTATTGTTGTCTCTGTCTGTGCCAACCCGCAAAAATTCACCAGCATCCACTTGCAAGCAACAGCCAGCTTGTCCCTCACAAAGTTAATGCTTGTGTCGTCTGATTTTTGTGAGAGGCATCTTCAGGTATGTTCTTGTCAAATTAATTCTTTTTCTAAAAGGATTTGAGATGTTTATTGCTTTTTCCTGTTATTCTTTCTTCTAGTTGGTGTTTACTATGATGGAAAAATCGTCAGTACCTGAGATACGGTCTAATTTGGTGTATGCCATGGGAGACTTAGCAAACAGGTTTCCAAACCTTATTGAACCTTGGACAAAACACTTCTATTCCCGGTACGTTGTCTTCATTGTGGCTGGAAGTGGGAGTGAGAATGCTTGCCTACAAACTGGCTAATTTTATATTTTTTCATTTAACTTATTTTTCTTTGGTTCAAGGCTGGGTGATAACTCATCCAAAGTCCGTCAAGATACAATTTTGGTGCTGAAACATTTGATCACAAATGAAATGGTAAAAGTGAGAGGCCAAATTTCTGATTTAGCCCTTTGTATTGTTGATCCTGAAGCCCAAATTTCTGGTAAGTATTGTATTTAATCAATAATAATTATAATCTCTCTTGCTAGACCTTTCAGGACAGTCTGATTATTTTGTAAAATTTCTTTTCCACATAGGCATGGCAAGTATGCTTTTTGAAGAACTTTCAAAAAAAGGCAATACATTGTACAATGTTATGCCAGACATTATTTCAAGATTGTCCAATCCAAGCTCTAACGTGGAGGAAGAAAAGTTTCAGACTATTATGAAGTAAGTTAAATCATATCTGCAGTAACTGACCCCTAATATTTTAAATATTCTTACTTTAATAAGATAATTTTGCCTTTTAGGTTTTTAATGCAACTTATTCAGAAGGATCGCCAAATGGAGTCCCTGATAGATAAACTGTGTCAGAGATTCCGAGCTTCATCTCATGAAAGACAGTGGTCTGACCTAGCGTATTGTTTAGGATTAATGCAGTACTCAGATAGGTCTTTACGTCGTCTTCTAGAAAACTTACCGTGCTATGCTGAAAAGCTCACTGTTCCAAGTATTTATGACACATTTTGTGACATTCTACATCAAGCTGGAAAAACACAAAAACCTGAACGTTTAGTAAGTAGGACAGGACATTGAATATCAAAGTGTATCCAAACTGAAAAGTCAATTTTATTTTGCCATTTTGTTTTTTTCTAGCAAATTGTTGAAGAACTAACTTCAAAAATAAATGAGTGCTTACAAAAAGGTCTCCCAGAGGGTGGAAGTACAAAGTGTGATTCTGCTACTGCTGAAAGCCAAGATTCTGATGATGAGGGAAGGAAACCTTCCCTATCATCACGCACACCTGGTAGACGACTCAAAATAGAACCTCGTACTCCTGGAGGTGAATGTCACTCTGAGGGTTTCTTTTGCAATGGTGTAAATGAAATTCTGAATAATGAGTATTTTTGTGTCCATGTTTTTATTCTTCAGGTCGAGGAAGAGGAAGAGGGAGAGGGAGAGGATCAAACAGAGGTCAAGGCAGGAATGTTAGGAGGCGAAATACAATGGCTGCTATTTCATCTGAAGAAGAATCGTCTTCTTCATCTGAAAGTGATGATGATGATGGTAAGACACATGCTGTACTTGCAATTTGGCACTTTTGATAGTGATTGACTTCATTGTTTTTGCATGTCAACATCGTTAACAATATTTAATCTTATCTTTCAGTTTTTGTGAAGAAGTCTAATGCCAGAAGAAGAGGCAGACGTTAAAATTGAAGGTCAATTTAAAAATTAATCATTACCTGAATTGCATGTTTTTATAATACAACATAAATAATCTTTGTTTCATTATTTTACTTCTATCAAATGCATGTGTAAATATCATGATTTTTTAATAAATGAATATTTTGAATTAAATCTATTGTAAAAGAAAACAGTATGTGTTGGCTTGATTCATGCACCATATCCATATCACCTTATTTAGGCTGAGGACTTCCCTCGAATGGAAAGTCATTGGGGTTTGCCAGTAGGGAATCAACAAGGGGAGCAGCAAGAGAAACAACTCAAAATGGAACGCCACTCATGGACGTTCGTTGGAATGTAACCAAATTTTGTGAACCTGTACAGGATAATGGTGTGGTACCAAAATGGGAGAGACTGGGGAGAGGCACTCCGGCCGGCGTGGGGACCGATCCGCGATGATCCAGCGAGCCCCGCCCCGCCCCGCCCCACCGTGCCCTGGCGGGCCCTGGCCCCGCGGACGGGCACGGGGCAGGTCCTGGCGGGGCCGGGCGGGGCGCGGTGGGGCCTGGCCAGGCCTGGCAGATCGTTTCGTCTGCACGCGCGGCCCCGCGGCTGGCGGCGACGCATCACTCAGTCAGCGAGCAGGGCGAGAGTGGACCGCAGCGGAACAAGCCGAAGGAAACCCAAGGCAGCCAAACGCTGCATGCACATCGCCACACCGCGAAGCACAGCGACGCCACCATGCAGGTGAGTTCAACCTGGAGGACAGTGGTGGCTTCGAGTACCGTCGGTGCAGCAGACTGATTCCACACAGTGCTTTCGGCGCTCTGTCTCTCTCGCACCTTTACACATGCAGTGAAGGCGAGATAGACAGAGCGACGAAAGCACTGGGATTCGGTCAGCATTCGGTGAGGCAGGGTGACAAGTTGCTGGAGGGCGCAAAGGGAAGTCTGCAGGAGGGTAGATCACAAGAATGAGGGCAAGCAAGGGAATTGGTCCAGTCGAAGGGTAGCTCATTGTGAGCGTGCGAATTCTCAGGCTTTCGATCCCACGCCCAGCAAAACATTATGGGTATCCTGGTGAAACATAAGCAACGCGACAATTTTTTGTATTCATTAGACAAAGTGTCATATATTTTTGGAGTAGAAAAATTTAAAAAAACTCCTCGGGGGCAAAACTTTTTTTTTCACGTTGGAATGAACTCTCTCCAGCCGCGGTTCCTGGAACAACGAGGTACAGTAGATGATGTCCGAGGTGAACGTCCCGCGTCGACATCGCCGACAGCCCGTGTCGCGAGACGTCCCCCCGCCCCTTTTCTTTCGATGCAAAATTGCAGTTGATTGCTTTGCTTCTCTCCCTTCTGGTAATCACACCATCGATTCCATTGTCTGCCATTTCGGAGGTCCGACCCCACTTTTGTTTTTTTGTTATTTTCAAATCGGACTCAGATTTTTTTTGGACTAGTTTATTTTTCCTGCGTTAAGAGTGAAAATGACACAGCCCGTCCGAACACCTGTGCCCCACTTTTCCCTCGTTTTGGAAAAAGCCTACGACGGGGCGGGGCAGGGCGGGGCGGGAGGACGTCGAAGTGGCCCTGCACCTTGCAGGAGGCCCCGGCCTTGGCCTTCACTTCGCCTTGCCACGCCACGCCGGGCAGGACAGGTCGCGGCGAGGCACGGCGTGTCCGCTGCCCGCGCGTTGCGGCTGACGCAGAGCGCAGACATAGGCCCCGTATAACGGCGCTGAACGGGGCGGGGCCGGGCGGGGCGGGGCGGGGCAGCCTGAGGGCCGCTGGAGGTTCGGCTCGACTCTGGCCGGCCGCGCTCCGCTCGTACCTGCCCGGCCCGTTACGGACGTCGGACGTCGGGGAGGCGCCGAGCGCGTGAAGAGCGTCGCGTCGCGGGGTCCACGGCGTCACCCCGCCGCCGCGCCCCGCGCCGCCCGGCTGTCTGAATTATATGCGCGCCGGAGATGTCGCCCTCTGCCATGCCAACGGCCGAACGGGTGACATCGCGGAGGAAGAAGTGGGTCTGGCGGAGGCAGAGAGATAGAGCGAGAAAAAGAAAAGGCGGCAAGGGAAAGTGGCGAGCCGGGACGTCGATCACAAACTACTTTTAATCGTCCTGCGAGCTTCCTGCCAGAGGACATGGAAGAAGGACGAGACGGGCCTCGCTTTCGCCGCGCCACTGTATTTGCAGGTGGTGACGGGGATTCCCTCCCCTCCGCATCGTGCGTGGGCAGGGCTTGTCCCAAACAGCGCCTGTCTCCCTCGCACCCCCACGGGGCGCCCCACGAGTGCGAGAGAGACAACGCAGTGATGGAATCACTGTTCGGGATCAGCCTGCAGGGCACGCGGGAGCTGGTTAAGCAGATGCGAGCAGATGCGTATCTCAGTGGTGAGCCAAGCAAAGAATTCGCGATCGCGGGGCGCGGCCGCGGCTACGGGACTCCTTTGTGAGCAAGGCGCGCCCCGCGCCCCGCGCCCCGCCCACGCGGCCCGGGTACTGACACGGAGACGCGGACGATCGGCAAGGCGGCAAGGCAGTCGCCCACCAGAGCAGCCTCGGCGACATGGCTTCTGCGGGAAGATTCCGAACGGTCCTTCGCACTCATAAGGAGGTCCCGAAGTGGTGCGAGAGAGACAGAGCGACGAAAGCGCTGTTCGGGATGGGTCCACTGGAAGCTGCCCGTCCGCCCGGTCCAGCCTCCAGCTGATGCTGCGGGTCAATAACTTTTACCGCCTCCTCGCCGGCCGAGCCGCCGTGCCGCCCGGCCGAAGATGAGGCGGTTTGGGGCGTAATTTCGGTGCAATTAGAGGCAAGAAAGTGTCCCGCATGCACGCAGACCGCGCAGCACGAACCCCTCCCCTCCGCGCCAAGTGTCGGTCCATTACACTTCTTTATGGCCCGGCAGCACCAGGCAACCCGCCAAACCGCTCATTAGTTTTGTGTGTTTTTCCTTTTCCAGACCTGGTCTTGGGTGCTGGCCGTGTGCCTGGCCGCGGCCGTGACGGCGAGGCCCGAAGGGAGGCCGCCGACGGTGGAGGCCGTGCGCGTCGTAGAGAGCAGCGCGCCCAACGCCATCAACCTGGCCGTTGAACACCCCAAAGCAGAGGTGCCAGCCTTCAAGCCTCTGCCTGTCGATGAGGTCAAGGAACAGGCCGCGAAGCCTCTGGACGAGGTCAAGAAGGACGAGGCCAAGGACATCGTCAAGGAGCAGCCGCTGAAAGAGACCCAGGGCGAAGAGGACGCTATGAAGCTCCCCGTGCCCATCGAACCGGACTTCGGCTCGCCCGACGACCCCAAGGTGTTCCCAGAGGGCGCACTGCGGTCGCCCAACGCCGAGCCCGCCGTCGACGCCAGCCGCGTCATCGGAGAGAAGCCGGCGTTGGCTCTGATCCCGGTGGCGGTCCCGGAGGCCGCAGCGCCCGTCCAGACCGAGAAGCAGGACAAGGAGGACGAGAAGAAGACCGACAGGGTGGCCAGGGCCTACCTCCCCGCCGAGGCCAGGGGCAGCGACGACAGCGACGGCCTGGAGTAAGTACATACACGTTCCCGTCCACGCCGAGGCCGGGCGGAGCGCCTGCGAACCTTGGGTAGGCAACCCGGCCGACTTCGGTGCTCGACGGGACTGCCAGGGCAGGGCATGGCAGGGGCTCAGAGTGGAGTCAGAGGACTGGGGTTTAGATACTGACACCGAGGTGAATTTTCTTCTCCTGTTCTTTTGACTCCAGCGCTGCCCCTCCTGTCTATAGTGCCTTCCCCTCTTACCTGTCACCTTGCTGCCTATAATGATATAACAAACATTAGCTTTTGCGCGACTCACGCTGAGCAACCGCGACTGTGCGACAAGACTGCAGTATGACGGTGCAAACTGACACCCTACAGAGTAGGGTTGAGCACGCCAACTATTTACAAACGAACTCGATTCCTACTTTGCAACGACGCCTACTCAACGACAAAACTCCGTCCTCCTGGAAGCCTTATCCTCGATGTCCTAAACCACAACAAAACACTGCCACGCGCAGAAGGGAGGCGATGGTGATTTTGGGCCGCGCTGCCCTCAGGCTGCAGTGCAGGCTGCCGGCTGCCCCCAGACGCCTCCCGACCGTATCCAAGAAGATTAGCGACAGAACGCCAGGTAAGTCGACAACCCGTGATAAACTGTAATAAGTAATCCACTAATCGCACGCCGCGCTGCCGTCGGCCAAACCGCCGTCGGCCAAACCACCGCCACCCCAGCGAGCGATCTTTGTGATTGGATCCCACTGGCCGGGCTGGCCGGACTGGCTGCCGTAACTAACAGGGAGACAGGTGCTTTGGCGGCGGTGGCGTTGCAGCAGGGAATAAAATGCTCATCCTTATTTTTGACGCAAGACTCTTTTTCCTCCATTCCGTTCTGATTTATCGCACTCCCTCGCGGTGCTTGCCCGCCTCCCTGGCCGCGCTAACGAAGTGCTTGTCTCTTGCAGACGACGGCCGACGCCGCGGCAGCTCACAGACATCCACCACCTGTTCCTCTCGCACCCCGACCACGCCGCCAGGCTGTCGGCCAGGCTCTCGGTGCCGAAGAGGGAGATGGTTGGCGAGGGACGCTCCGGCGTGGCCGCTCGGCCCGGCGCCGCCAGGACCGCGAGAAAGGCCCGGCTCGGGTGGGCGACGTCGGGGGTGGACAACAACGACCTGGAGCTAGAGGGGGACCGCGACGAGCCAAGCGTGGACTTCGGCGACGACAGCCAGCCCACGCGCTTCTCGTTGATGCGAGACGAGGACGCCGTCGAAGCTGACGGACTTCTCAGGGCGAGCGACGGATACGCCGCACAGCCGGTGCGGGGAGCAGGGCCGCAGGTCACCGTCACCACCTTCATCCCGACCATCACCGCCATCTCGACCACGTCCGCGGACGTCGACGCACGGCGCCCAGCGTCGTCCCGGATCACCTGGCCGCTGGCCAGCTACTTCCCCGTCGTGATCCAGGACCCGCTGCTCGGCCTGTACCACTCCTGGGCCTCGGGCGGCGGCCTGGCCAGCATCCCGGGCAACATCTTCGAGTACGGCCCGGCCGCCGACGTCTGCAGCGGCTCCCGCGCGAAGCGGATCCGCCGCGACAAGGACCCCAACGGAGAGCACGCCGTCGTGGTCGAGGAAGAGGAACAAGGGCACGAGGACGACCTCCAAGGCAGCGGCGACGGCGCCTCCAGCAGGGTGGAGCCCATCGTAGAGGAAGGCAGCGGGGAGGACGCCGTGACGGTGGAGAACGGCGACGACAGCCTGCCGACGGAGCCGTACCAGGAAGACGATAATGACTCCGACAAATCGCCGCAGGACGTCCTGGAGAAGAAGCTGCGCAAGAACAAGAACAAGGTGGACAAGCGCGTGCACAAGGTGGTGGCGCAGGTGAACGGCCTGGCCAAGCGCGTGCAGGCGCGCGTCGCGGACGTGCTGACCACCAGCGGCGCGCTCGGCGACTCCACCGACGCCGGCAGGGACGACGCGGTGCCCGTGCTGACGCGCGTGGTGGTGCGGCGCGGCGGCGTGGCGGTGGCGGGCCCGGGTGGCATCGCCACGGCGGCATTCGGCGGCACGGCCATCGTGGGGCCGGGCGGCATCGCGTACACGGCGCCGGACAGCACGGCGGTGGCGGGGCCCGGGGCGCGCGTCGTGGCCGTGCCGTCCGAGCGGCTGCTGGACATGTTCCGCGCCTTCAGGGAGGCCAGCGAGCGCGGCGTCGCGGCCTACCGCCCCGCCTGGCTCGGCTCCATACCCGACGACGGCAAGCTGGTGGCCGTGGGGCCCATCGTGTACCGCAACCCCCCGGAGGAGCGCGAGGGCCACCTCAGGCCCGCGCACTGGGTCTTCGGCAACACCAGGGTGCTGGGCCTGCGGCGGTAGCCGGTGGCCGCCAGGACCTCGCGCTTAATTATAGTTCGTCTTAAACTCTTAGCTGAATAGATTGTACTCTTTTGTAATTTGATACGCTTAGTGATTTTTGTTTAATTTGATGTGATATTATTAGTCATTAACTGTGCCAGTTTCATGTATAAGAACTGTATTTAATCAAATAAATAGCAAAATATCAAACCAAGGTTAGGTTAAATTAGCTTCCCGACTGTTAAACTACGCGCTTACATCATGTTTGACGAGGGACTCCATCTACGCCACTGTGTACCAATCACCAACCGTGACCTGACGGAGCCGAAACAAGAGACCCACGGATGACCACTGCGACCACGACGACCAACTGCAACTGGACCAAACTCAGAAGACTAGCGAGAGGACGAACTAGACCGAGACCGTTGTTGACGCATCCGCTGATGGCGTTGGTCGCCCTGTGCTGTCCTCAGGCTCGCCTCAGCGCCAGCGCGCACTGCGTGGACCCCAGCCACCGACCCGGAGAGCCTTGGACGCGTCTTCGCCGCCTTGGCCCCCAGAGCCCCTCTCCGGAACGAGGCCTACGCCGGCGGCTTGTCGAGCGGCCTTACCAGTGGCGTCGCGAGTCGCCTCCGCGGCGGCTTCGCAGGCGGCTACACGGGCGGCTACTCCAGCGGCCACTCCGGCGGCGTCTCTGGTGGCTTTTCGGGGCTGTTCGGCGACCAGTACCACGGCGGTGGCTCGTTCGCCGGCGCGGCGGCCGGCTCGACTGCGGGTGGGGCGTGGTCGTGGACGCGGTCCCCCGGCGCCAACCTCGGCGATGACTACCAGCTGTTCTCGGAGCGCGAGCTCCCCGACGAGGACGGCTACTACCACCCCTTCGCCCACCTGGGCCGAGTGGAGCTGCCCGCACAGCGAAGGACCGCGCTGCTGCAGCAGCCCCAGTGGCACGGCCAGCAGAGCCTGCAGCAGCCCTTCTGGCATCATCAGCAGCAGCAACAGCCTCTGTGGCAGCCGCAACAAGACGCCTTCTGGGGCGGCCAGGCCGGCCAGGGCCAGCAGCTGTACCTGGACGGCTACGGCTTCGACTTCCCGCCGAGGCAGACGTTCAACACATTCAAGTCCGGCGCACAAAACCCGACGGCAGGCGCTTACGGGCTGCTGGACGACTACGACGAGAGCGTGCCCCCCTACAAGAGCATCCTCGCCACCCTGGAGGGCGACCAGTTCGACGCGGCGCTGTCGTACGGCGCGGTGCCCGACCCCCAGCACGAGCCGAGGCCCTACGGCTTCGGCGGCGACCTGCCTTCCCTGCCGTCCGTGCCGCTAGCGTCCTACCCCGCCATGCCGGCCGCGGACTCGTTCCTCTCGTCGCCCTTCGGCACCTTCGAGTCGCCCTCAGTCGCCTCAGTCCCGGCCCCGGCCGAGTCAAGCGCACCAAGCGCGTCCGCAGCGCCAAGCACAACGGGTGGCAAGACAGGCGCTGCAGAGCCCACCGGGGAGGTGCGGTCTGAGGCCGTGCCTGCCTCCTTGCCTCCGTCCCAGCCTGCCGAAGAGGACGTCGCCGTTGTACCTACGCTGCCGACCGACCAGCTCACATCCTCCCTCGTAATCTCGGACTCGGTGGTGCCGTCGTTCGAGGAGATCCAGGGGCTGGCCAGTGCCGAGGCCACGGATGGCGGGGCGGAAGAGAAGCCCCTTGGCGAGGACCCCACGGAGGACCACGACGTGCCCGACGAGGAGAACCTGAGCGACAGCATCCCCGACATCTACGTGTCGGAGCCCTCCGAGGACGTGCTGGAGGACGCGACGGAGACGGCCGTGCCGCAGGGGGAGGTGACCATCACGCCGAACAGCGGTGCCGGCGAGGAGGAGGTGGTTTCGGACAAAGCCACGAAGCTCGTCATCAAGCCAGTGGCCAAGACAGAGGCCGGGGAGGACGGCATCGCCATCTCCATGCCCGTGTCCAAGGCCGTCATCAGGGGCGACCACCCCGTCATCGTGGACTACGACCCGGAGGTCTCGGCTGTGGCCGGTGCCAACGGCATGGCGCACGCCCTGGGGGAGCTCATCCTCACCTACGTCAACGTCTCCAACGTGCCCTCCACGCCCCTGCCGCAGCCCACGACCACCACGACCGCAACCAGCACCACGGCCTCGCCCTCAACCCCACCCACAGTTGCGTCGAGGACTTCGCCCGCCCCCTCGGAACCAAGCACTGCTGAGTCGACGGCCTCCCCGACCACGACCTTGACCCCGACCCCGACCACGACCACGACGCCGACGCCAACCACGACATCGTCAACCACACCGACACCAACTACGACGCCGTCAACAGAAGCTCCCACCACGCTGCCATCAGAAGCCTCTTCGACGCCGTCCACGGCCTCCCCCGTGGTCTCGACTCAAGCGCCGCTGGCTAAGCCGACCCTGAAGCCAACCTCAAGGCCGTCAGCGTCGCGGAGAAGGCCTGCATCGTCAGCCACGAAGACGGTGACGTCCGCGCCCGCGAAAAAGCCAGTGGCGGCGCCAGCGTCGCCGAGCCCCAAAAAGGAAGCCCCAAAGAAGGAATGAAATTTAAAGGTGCTTAGCGGAGACGGGCTGTCAGAGAATCCGTCACGGATGAGATTCTCTGCTTACCGCGGACGCCGCGAGATCCTTTTCCTCCTCGTCCTTTTTCAGACCTACCCGAATTCGTCTCCCGGTGACAGACAATCGCTGCTACTCCGCCTTTTCATCTTAGTTTATTTTTACTCGAAAGTTTGTGCTTTTACACGATTCGTGTGGCTAGTTAGAAAAGACACATAGCTGGGTCCTATTCAAAAGACCTTATCTAACCCTTTCCGTGATGGCGACTCGTCTGAGTGTCTTCCACGCGGCTGCACTTAGACCAGCGGTTCCCAACCTTTTTCGGTTCGCGACCCCAAATTTGTAACAAAAAATTTCCGCGACCCCCAGGAAAAATTTCGCGACCCCACGCGACCCCTCCTTTAGCATGCCTTTGATACAAAGTGCGATAATCCACCTTAGTTTGGGAGCAGTATTGCCGCAAAGTTGGCCGAAACGGTCAGCAGTGTCTTTGAAAAATCGTGTTTTGGGCCGATTTTAAGCAGCCACTGCGTCTGATCCGAGGCGGGCATTTTGCTCCCTCAACGGGCAGTTGGTCTTTGGACCTTCCTTTAGCATGCCTTTGTTACGGAGTGCAATTATCAGTCTTAGTTTGGGAGCAGTATTGTCTCAAAGTTGGCCGAAACGCTCAGAAATGTCTATGAAAAATCGTGTTTTGGGCCGATTTTAAGCAGCCACTGCGTCTGATCCGAGGCGGGCATTTTGCTCCCTCAACGGGCAATTGGTCTTTGGACCTTCCTTTAGCATGCCTTTGTTACGGAGTGCGATTATCTGCCTTAGTTTGGGAGCAGTATTGCCACAAAGTTGATCAAAACGGTCAAAAATGTCTTTGAAAAATCGTGTTTTGGGCCGACTTTAAGCAGCCACTGCGTCTGATCCGAGGCGGTATTTTGTCCTCCTTCAACGGGCATTTGGTCTTTGGACCTTCCTTTAGAATGTCTTTGTTACGGAGCGCGATTATCGGCCTTAGTTTGGGAGCAGTATTGTCTCAAAGTGGATCAAAATGGCATTCAAAGGCATTTTTTACTGTTTTCATCAACTTTGAGACAATACTGCTCCCAAACTAAGGCCGATAATCGCGCTCCGTAACAAAGGCATTCTAAAGGAAGGTCCAAAGACCAAATGCCCGCTGAGGGAGGACGACATACCGCCTCGGATCAGACGCCGTTGCTGCTTAAAGTCGGCCTAAAACACGAGTTTTCAAAGGCATTTTCGACCGTTTTGAACAATTCCGCCAGCCGGGAAACAGCCGCGACCCCAGGCGACCCCAACCACCTCGCCGCGACCCCTCAAAATTTTTTCGCGACCCCCTTTGGGGTCGCGACCCCAAGGTTGGGAACCGCTGACTTAGACTGACGTTTTAGGTATAGGGCCAGAGCGACGTGTTATCGATCCCTGCGCGCCACTCCAACGCTCGCCTCTCTGTTGCAGACTGAACCTGCACCCGGACACCGTGCTCGTGCCCTACTACGGCGGCGCCAAGGGCCAGTACCTGATCGTCGCCAAGCCCGTGCGCGTCGGGGACATCAAGAAGACCATGAAGAAGCCCGCGCGCCCCGGCCACAAGGAGGAGGGTGAAGAGGAGGAGGAGGAGGAGAACGTGGGCGAGGAGACCAACGAGGAGAAGCCCACGAAGCCGCCCGGGTCCGACAACGACACGGTGACCATCGCGCAGCCGCCTCCCAGCGCGTCCATGGCGGAGGCCAAGCCCGTGGGCATCGCCATCGCGGGCGAGGGTGGCGTGGCGTCGGCGCGGCCGCAGGGCACCGCCATCGTGGGGCCCGGCGGGCTGGCCGTCAGCCGCCCCGTGGGCACCGCCATCGCCGGCATCCAGGGCGCCGAGCTGCTCATCACCGGCGGGGCGCAGCCGCAGTTCGGCCCCGGCGCCTTCGTCTACCCCCTGGGGCCGGTCGTCGCCTCGCCGCTGGGGGTGCCCCTCCCCTACAACCCCAACCTCTACAACCCGAACCTTTACGCCGCCAATCCGTACAACCCCAACCTCTACGCCGCCAACCCCGCGCCGCAGCCCCTCGGCCAGCCCGGCCACTCCCAGTGGGTCGTGTACCCACCGCCGCCACCGTACCAGTACGTCTAGAGTGGATCCCAGTGCCAGCTAACTGTGGCCGCTTAAAGGCGGCGGAGCGAAACTTGTAAATTATTTCAAAATTGTGCGGCTAGATTGAGTGATTGGGCGGCCAAACCTGAAGCAAAAAGACCTGCCTTGTGGGCGTGCTGGGCGCCGAGGTCCGATCACAGCGGTCACTGGCTCCGGGGAACCCGTTTGGTCGACGCCGGCGGGGCGGGGCGAGGCGGGGCAGCCTCACGCGATCATCTCCGTCGGGGGCAAAAGCAGCAAAAGCACACCCCCCTCGCCCCCGCGGCCTCAGGGGCAAAACAGGGCTGGCCATATAAGTGCGTGTGGGCTGCGTGCGGGCGGAGCGAGACGCGTTCTCGGAAATTCTTATTTATGGTTTAGTTTTTTTTTTTGCAAGAGTGCAGGAGGCCGTGATGGCAATATTGTGATAAGACTTCTATTTATTTAAAAAAAAAATGTAATGAAAAAAGACGATCTGCTGTGATTTGTGTGGCAAAGCGTGGCGCAGATAGGTGTTTGCGTTTTTGTCATAAATGCAATTCGTGTGACAATAAATTTGTGATTTTGCAGTATCTTTCTGAGCTTTATTTCATGATACAACCCGAATAAAAAACGGACAAAGTTATGGAGAAGTGCCAAGACTTTTGCCCTACTCCTGCATTGAAGTCTCCAAGTATGCCACTCCTCGTTGACCAGTCCAACCAGAAAACTCCATATGCACCTTAAGAGGTACACGTGCGATCCCGTTTGCTAGCCATATGGCTTTCTCTGGCCTTGAAAAAAAAAAAAACGTCACCGTTAATGTCGTTTGGAAACCTGTCCGGTTCGATGAACTCCGCCAATTTGAAATTGGCCACAACTACCTCTCCTCCTCCACGGGGTTGCCGCCGCAGCGAGGCAGGGCGGGGCGGGGGGAGGTGGCGGGGGTCCTCCGGCCCCTCCCTGTCCGGCCGCGGCGGGGCGGGGCGGGGCGGGGCGGGGCGGGGCGGGGTGGGGCGGGGCGGGGCGGGGTGGGGCGGGGCGTCGGACGCGCGCCTCCGCGCCGCACCGGACGAAGCCGCACTCTGGTGCTCTCCTCCGCGCCGCCGACATCATGGACGCTCAGCGACAGGTAAGTCCGACTTGCCAGTCAGCGAGATAAGCAGGGGCCTGCTGCATGACTGCATGACGGGGGTCTCGGCCAGGGTCCCGGCGCCATGCCTTGGCCATGCCTTGGCCATGCCGCCCCCCTCCCCCACCCACGCGTAGCGGGTCACATATGGAAAGCCAACATCCGTGAGGGCATGCGCGCGCTTGTGTGTGTGTGTGTGTGTGTGTCTGTGTGTGTCTGTGTGTGCACGTTTGCTTCTGACAGTGTGTGTGTGAGCGATTGTCGTGTCATGACACTGTCACGTCATGGCATGGCGCGGACAATCATTCCGGCGAAGTGATGTGAGAACATCGCGATGATTTGCCTGAGTATTTGGTTTGCGATGTGGATGACGCGGTGAATCGAGCAGTCAAGGGTTTTGTGTCGTGTACCGGCATGGCTGGCATGGCTGCCGGCAGCTGGGGTCAATGATCGGCTCGCTAGACTCTCGTTGGAGTGGGGTCATCTCTGCAGTGCGTGTGGACCGCTTTCCTGCCCACATTTACGTGCCAGTCTAATGGGCACAGCAGATTGAACGGATGAATGAATGAACGAATGAATGCATAAATGAATGAATGTATGTATGTATGAATAAACGCGTGGACGAATGAATAAATTTTAAAAAAGGCAGTTTTAAATGAATGACACTATTGGCGATTCCATTAAGTGAACCAAGACCAACGCCTGTATCAACGAATGAAGAAGGAAATAATGAATGAGGACCATCGGGTTCGATTTGCCCCCTACGAAGGACGCCGAAGGTGCATTGTCCTCGACCATGGCCTTGAGTGGCTGCACCACGCCTCGCCACGCCTCGCCTCTTCGGCCACGGCGGAGGGCTGCGTGAGAAGGCTGCTCTTAAATCAGGACTAAGTGAGGGCGTCGGTGACAGGACGGCCGATCCACACGCAGCCGGGCGCGGCCCGCGCGGCCGTCTCGGCAAACCGAGAACCGAGTGGAACCGAGCCGAACCGAGCCGAACCGAGCCGAGCGCGGCTGTGAACCCATTATCTGCAGCCTGGGTGGCCGGCTGGCCGACCGAAAGCCCGGCCGGCTGGCCGTCGCGGCCAAAGCACAACAATCGACAAGGCGCGACGCTACGCTCTTCGCTCGTCCGTCGGTCGCGCTACGAATTTGGGCGGCCGCTGTGCAGTGTGTGGCCAGCCAAGTGCAAGCGAGCCATGTTTGCCTATTTGCTCGCGGCCAGCGCCAGCCGAACAGTGCTTCGTCGCTCTGTCTCTCTCGCACCCACACGTGACGCCTCATGAGAGCGAGAGAGACAGCGCGACGAAAGCACTGTCCTAAATCAGCTTGCAGCGGGCCCTGCGTTCTTCCAACGCGCGGAGGACGCCGCCGTAAACAAGGTGGCAGCGTGGCCGCGCGGTGCCTTGTCCAGTGTTTACACCGCGCGATCGGTAGAATATGTTTAGCAGGCGGTGTGTGCTTAAAACGTCACGTGCTCCGCCGGGCAGGGCTTCGGTTTGGCTTGGCTTTGGCTTGGCTTTGGCTTCGCTTTGACTTGGCTTTGCCGGCGACTTCTTATTCGTGGTCGCTGACCCCTCCGACTCACTTCGGCTTGGGCCGAACCGCATAGCATAACCAGTGCCGAAGACTCTGTTACTCTTTTTGGCAGCCGGCCCATGAGATGGCTATCCGCCGCGCCCACCCTGCCGGCGGAGAGTCTCCACTCCACTGGAGATGGAGAGGGGACGCGAATGTCAACTATTGGCGGAAAAAGATGGCGCCGCCAGCGTTTGGCGCGGCCCTTTTCGGGCGTTCCAGTTGGCCCTCGTCGAGGCCCTCGTCGAAGCCGCCATCCCCAAGCCCTTCCGGGGACGAACCCGTTGTGCCGAACCTGTCGGTCGAGCCCACGGCCACGTCGCCGGCCTGGACTTGGTAATTTTGGCAGAACTGGCGGTCGATCGGCCCTGCCTCCTGCCGTGGGGCCGCGTGGGGCCGCGCGGCCGTCCGGACGTTGACCCGCGGCGCCGCCCCGCCAGTCGCCCGCGTCGTCAACCAAATCAAATCCAAATCCCAAGCCTCGTCTGGGAAAAGTTTCATCAGGTCACGAGGACGGCGAGGACGGCGCGTGGCCTCGACAGCCTCGACCTCCCGGAGTCTCGGAGACAACGGGGACCGTTCCTGTTTGAATAAAACAGGGCGAGGGTTTTTTTTGTAATAGCGGGATCTTGATAGAGCGAGGCGAGGCGGTGGGTGACTCAGCTGACCCGGGCCGGCGGGGCGGGACGCGGGACGCGCTGATGCATCTCAGCTGCTGGACAGCATCGGTCTTCAGTCTCGCTCACAAAAACAAGGACTGTTCATCTCGGTTCATCTCGCCTGTCATTGAGTCCCCCTTGCCGCCGGGCGGTCAGTCGGTATCGAGCCGCACTTGCCGCTTTACTGCGTTTTACTGCTTTTTAGCGCGTGCCTGCGCGACTCCATGGACTCCATCCACGCACCGAGCAGACTGTAAACAAACAGGGACAATAAGAAGGAAAAGGAACCGGTTGCCAGGCCCGCCGGGCCGCGGGGAGCGAGGGGAAGGGGATTGCCGCGCGGGTCAAGAACCTGCTGAGCGCGCGGCGCGCGGTGCAAAGCCAACTTGCATTGCTCATTGTCATTTGTTGCAGTTGCACTGGGCCGTGGCCCTGGCCGCCCTCGTGGTCTGCGGCGCCGTGCCCGCCCAGAGGGAAGTCTTCTACAACCAGCCCTACCCCGCGTTCTACAGCCCGCAGTACCAGGCCTACCAGCCGCAGCAGTACCAGCCCTTCCAGGCGTACCAACAGCCGTGAGTGGCCCCGCACCGCGATGCGCGCACGGAGTACAGGCAGCGCCAGAACGAGAAGCTGACTCGCCTTTTGATTCGCACAGGCTGCAGGTAAGGTCCGCCGTGCCGGCCGTGCCCCAGTACCAGCAGTACCAGCAGCAGCAATTCCCGCAGTACCCGTACCAGCGCGTGCTGGTGTACAACCCCGCCGCTGGCCAGGTCGGCCAGGTGGGCCAAGCTGCCTACCCGCAGCACCTGCCCGCCGGCGTGTACAACCTCCCCGCCGGGTCGTTCCTGCCGCTGCCCCTCCGCGCCGAGGGTGAGACCGGCGGCAGCACCGGCGGATTCCCCTGGGGCAACCCCTCCGAGTACCTCACCGTCCTGCAGAACTACTGGCAGAACTTCTCCACCACGGGCACCTTCAGCGGGAAGCCCCCGGCGGAGGCCGCTGGCGCCAACCCGACTCCAGCGGGTGAGTAGCGCGCCGCAGAGCCAGAACGCTCACTGGAAGGGCACGGCCATTCATTGACCTTCGCCAACAGAATCTCCCGCCGAGCCCACCGCCCCCTCCGCTTCTTCGGAGGGTGCCAAGAAGCCAGAGGCCCCCGCCATGCCCGCCGCCCCGGAGATGCCCGCCGCCGCCCCCGCGATGACCGAGACCCCCGTCAGCACGGCCCAGCGCTTCCTCGTCGTGTCCCAGCCGCAGGTCGTGGCCAACCCCGCGGCGCTGCCCAGCGCCTCCAACGGCGCCGTCTCCACCTACCTCCTCCTCCGCAACGAGCCCTTCTACGGCTTCTCGGCGCCACAGCAGCAGGTAGAGTCGCTGAAGCTAGGGTGGCGTGGGGTCGCGGTGTGAGGTTAAGGGCATTTCTCCAGGCCAAGACCATTTCTCCAGGGCAATCTGCGAAGGCACACGCAAGAAGTGTTGCCTACGCGGAGCCCGACGGGCGTTCGGTGGCTCCTCGCTCGCGTCGCGCTCGAAACAGTTCCTTGGCGGCCCGCCATGGGCGATACTCCCTGCCGCAGGGGCACGCCAGCACGGAGTAGCGCGGTCTAGCTGACACTACTCGCCGTTTTCCAGGAGCCCAACCTGCGCGTGCAGCCCGGCCAGCCGCAGCAGCAGACCGTGCTGCCGTCCGCGTCCGGCCCCATGATCCTGGTGCGCACCGCCGACAACAAGTACGGGCTGGCCGCCGCCTCCAACCCCACGCAGGTCATCGTGTCCGGCGAGGGCATCCGCGCGCGCGACGACGTGCAGGTGTCCGGACCGGGCAGCCAGGGCCTGGCCTTCCAGAGGTTCCTCGTGGCGCGCCAGGGACAGCAGGCGCCCGGTAAGACTTAAGGACACTCTTTTCCAGGCTCGGACTGGCCAGGGCAGACAGGCAGAAAAATCTGCCGGGGCCTTTGGATTTGTGACCAGTAACGTCACGAAGTTGGTCAAAAAGCGATTGAATCTCCGAAAGTAGCCGTTTTCGCTGAATTTGAGCGGCCACTGCTTCGATCTAGTAGCGACCAACGGCCTCCCTCGACGTCCTAGTATTCTTAAGACCCTACTCTTTCATGCCCTGTACCGGGAAGACGTTGACCACAACGATTTTGACTTTGACCGCAACGATTTTGGGACCAAAGTTGGTCAAAAAGTGGTCGAATCTCGGAACTTTGCTGATTTTGCTGACTTTGGGCGGCCACTGTGTCCAATCTAGTTGCCGTAAAAGGCCTCCCTCAACGTCCTAGTATTCTCAAGACCCTACTCTTTCATGCCCTGTATAGGGAAGACGTTGACCACAACGATTTTGCCTTTGACCGCAACGATTTTGGGACCAAAGTTGGTCAAAAAGTGGTCGAATCTCGGAAATTTGCTGATTTTGCTGACTTTGGGCGGCTACTGTGTCCAATCTAGTTGCCGTAAAAGGCCTCCCTCAACGTCCTAGTATTCTCAAGACCCTACTCTTTCATGCCCTGCATAGGGAAGACGTTGACCACAACGATTTTGCCTTTGACCGCAACGATTTTGGGACCAAAGTTGGTCAAAAAGTGGTCGAATCTCGGAAATTTGCTGATTTTGCTGACTTTGGACGGCCACTGTGTCCAATCTAGTTGCCGTAAAAGGCCTCCCTCGACGCCCTAGAATTCTTAAGACCCTAGTCTTTCATGTCCTGTACGGGAAGGCTATTGACCGCAACTTGTGTGGGAGCGGCAGCCTCACAAAGTTGGTCATGAAGGGTAAAAACAATGATGATCGGGGGCCTTTTGCGGTCTTATCTGCCGGGGCCTTTTGGGGGCCAGTCCGAGCCTGCTCTTTTCCAAAAGGTTATGCTTGTCTCTCAAATTTGTAGTTTTGCTCATCCACGCTTGACTTTCAGGCTTCTACCCCGCCCCTCACCCTGGCGTGGTGCACTCCCTGACCGACGAGTCCATCGCCGTGGAGGCGCTGAGGGACGCGACCAACTCGTCTGAGGCGGAGACTCCCGCCCCCGCCGCCACGACCGCGGCGCCGACCGCCAACAACGACGAGGAGGTCGTGGACTCGGACGAGAAGCCAGTGTCGATCGCCCAGGTACGGTCTGGCGTGCAGCAGGACGGGCAGGACGAGAAGGGAACCTCCCCCGTGGTCGTGGTGCCGGTGACGGTCGCCCTGGCGACGCGCGGCGAGAAGGACACCCCCAACGCCGTGGCCCCAGCCTCGACGGGCAAGGACGGCGGCAAGGACGACGTGTTCCTCGAGGCTCTCGTCCTGGGAGAGGGGGTGCTCGACAACGGCGCCGCGGCCTTGGACAAGGCGCAGTGGGAAGAGCTGCACAAGCGTTTCGGCCCCGACGTGGCCGTCATCCTGATGGACGGCGCCGACAGTGGCGTTGACGGGGAGGGTGTTGACGGGCAGGGCCGACGCCGCCCGCTGTCGATCATCAGGCGGGTCGTGATCCGGATGGGCACGCTGGCGTACAACCAGCTCATCAAGCCGCAGCTGCCCTTCGGCGGCGCGGGGCTGGGCGCGCTGGGCACCACCGGGGGGCTGCTGCTGGGGTAGCTGCAGCAGTGCAGCGTGCTGCAGGGGTAGGCGTTCACGGGGTGCTCGAGGGACAAGTTGTGCTCGGGCGGATGCTTTTTGAATCTGAATGTGAATGTTTGGTTCCGGCCTTGCGGGCGGCACGCGGGTCCGGCCGGGGCACGGCAGCTCCGGACAATGTAGCACACCATAGCGGTGAGTCGAGATAAAACGAAATAACTGGAATGGTAATGAAAATGGTATGGAATCATGTCTTCCGCACGCAGATTCAACAAGGAGGAGATTCGTTCTTACTTCCCTCTTCACATAACACCGGCCTGATTCTGATGTGTTCTTTTGGCGTCTGGTGCGATGAAGTGGTTTAACGACCATGTATATACCCTGTACTAATAACCAAAAGTAACCGCATCTTGCTTCTTGTGTGAGCGTCCTCACTTGAATCCCTTTCTTCCCCGTTAGCGGGTGAGTGGGTGCCGACAGGCCTGACCTTTCACGAGAAACGAGTACCGCAGTAGTTGGCCTGCGAACAGCGCTTTTGTCTTTCTCGCTCTCCAACGGGACGCCCCGCGAGTGCGACAGAGACAGGGCGGCGAAAGCGCTGTTGGGTCTGCGGCGTCACCGTCTCCCCCTTGTTGCAGGTGAAGCCTCAGGCGATCGCGCTGGCGGGTCCCGGTGGCGTGGCCGCGGCCGCCCCGGTAGGCACGGCCCTGGTCGGCCCCGGCGGCATGGCCCTGTCCGCGCCCACCGCCACCGCCGTGGCCGGCCCCGCCGGCGGCACCCCGCCCATCGCCGTGCCCTCCGCCAACACGGCGGCGCACAACGCCGACGCCTTCCGCAAGTGGCTCAGCAAGAAGAAGCCCGCCACCGCCGCGGCCAGCGACGACGTCCTGGTGGACGCCCGCGTGGACGCGCCCATCATGCCCGAGCTCCTCGTCGAGTACGGCGCCGCCGCGTAGAGGCCCGACACGACCCCCGACACCGCCACACCGCCAAGCACTGCAAAGCCGATGCACCGAGCCACGGAGCACGGAGGAGCAATCGCTGCCGAAATGACGCAATTTCCTTTGACGGCAAAACGGAATTTCGGCAGCGATTGCGGGGCACGCCCTTTTCCACGGCCCTGCCAGACATCCTTAAGTTATTCCCGCGGCAGGTCCTGGCAGACCGGCGTGCCAACAAGACTGTGAAATGATTGACTGCCTATAATGATAACTGAATAAAGTGAGAGTGGAAGTTGTTTGCAGTTATTTGCGACTCCCATCCCATCCCGGCGGCGGTGGGTACCCACATGGCCGTGGCATATGCCGAGCAGGGATTCCGCAGGCTTTCTTCATGAGGTTGCCACACGGGATGTCATCGATGTCATCACGGGTAGGGTGCCCACTCTCCGCTCATTGTCGTCCGCTTGATGGTTTTTGGCACGGCGCGCGCCCGCCCGGGAGGGTGGCCACACTACACGGTCGTCGCGGCGCCGCACATTCCGGGCGGCGGCCACGCGGCCACGCACGGCGCAGACCGTTAAGGACTTATTTTGAGCAGGTTTTACAGGCGGACCCCGACATCCCACTAACTCCTGCCGCTAGTCAAGCAAATTCGAGGTCAAAAACTAGACGAACAAACAATTTACGCTTAGAAACAACAAAAGCATGTCGTTTTCTTTACGAAAGGTTCAATCAAAGGCTTACGTCCCCAAATCAACATAATTTTGACTATTGATGTGGTATTGAAGTTCAAAGTCAAATTGCGACACGATTATGGAGACACATCGCCTGTATCGAAAATGGCTGCAACCGGACTTTGGTTTTGGCTTTCTTTAAACCCATCCACTGCATCGCCTTACCCGTCAAGCTCGTTGTGGCTGATGAGCGGCGGAGGGCCGGCAGGGCGGCGCGGCGTGCAGTTCCAGCAGGCCATCGGCCAGGCCATCCGGTAGCCCCGGGCACGTCCCGACGCCGCCTCCCCCCTCCCCCACCCCCGCGGACATCCTCTCGATAAAACGCTGGCGTGGCGATGGTGGCCGGTCACTTCTGCCCCGATCGCCGGCCACTCCGCGAGCCCGTCCCACCGAACGTCCCACCGAACGTCCCACCATGCCCGCCTCCAGGCCCGCCTCCACCGCCGCGGGGGGCAGAGCCGGCAGGGCCGGCAGAGCGGTGAGTACCCAGGTACCCGGGTCAGCCGGGGCGGCGCAAAGCGTGACATCGCAAAGTCGATCAAGCCGATACGGACGCGCCAGGCATGCACCAGGCATGCGCCAGCCCATCGACTCCGCACAAGCGCTCCGTCGCTCTGTCTCGCTCGCACCCTTAGGGCACGCCCGACGAGTGCGAGGGAGACAGAGCGACGGGAGCGGTGCTCGGAATCAGCCTGCAGGTTTCCCTCGTTTTGACGGCGATCTGATGCGACCTGGCGTCCGATCGCGGACCGCGGCTCGCTCCCATCGGCCCCGATGTAGGCCGAGCTGCATTCGGGACTGCATTCGGAAGCCGGCCGCGCAGCGCGCTCTCGGAGAGGAGAGACTGGGAGCGGCGCGCGACTCCCGCCTGGACGGCCTGGGCCGCCTGGACTGGACGGCGACGTGGGGCGTACGGCGGCTCGGGCGGCCTCCTCCGAACGCGTCCCAGGACGACTTCCTCGTAGTGGGTCAGTGCGAATAGGATATCGGCCACTCCTCCATGCACATGCCGCGCCGGCCCGGGCAGTGGCATGCCGCGGGGCGGGGCGGGGCGGGACGGGGCGCGGCGGGCGGGGCCAGGGCGTGCGCAGCGCGGAGTATAGAGTTGTCCGGAGATAGTGACCCGCGATTGCACGGCCGCCACGGCCGCCGCGGCCGCTCCCCGAGACGGATGTGAAGTTTACAGCAATCATCAATTCGGCCTCTCAAACGGACCGAAATGGCGTGGCAAAATGCACACCCTTACACCTGTCAGTTACGGAGAGGCCCGTGAGGGCTCGGGGCCGAGACAGTACAATGGCGGCGGCTCGGCTCGCGCGCCTCCGAGGCGCCGAGGACGGCGACGACGATCGGGGATAACTTTGATCCGAACGGCCATCTGTCAGCGTCTTGGAGCGTCTCGCGGACGGCGAAAACGTCCTGAGGAACAGCGCAGATTCCGGGACTCTGCACATTTGGTGCTAGAGAGACAGAGCGAAGACATTCTGTGCGGATGAATTAGTCTGCGGCACTCATACGAGCGCAGCGCCTTCCGTCGGAGAAACAAAAATCTAACCTGAGGCGAGACAAGTGCCCGCGGACAAGTCGCCGAAGACAGCGCCACCCAGGACGGCGACGAGGACGCCGACGAGGACGCCGACAGCCCGATTGTCCTTTGCCAGGCCGACGTCAGGCCTCGACGTGCGCGTGTCGGCGGCGGGCCGTTCGAGCCAAAAACAGCCAGCCGATATAGGAAACAGCGAAGTAAGCGAAGCAGCTGGGCTGACTCCGAACAGTGCTCTGTCTCTCTCGCAGCCCTCCGGCATGCTCCATGAGTGCGAGAGAGACGGAGCCCCCAGGCCGCCCCAGGCCACACGCGTGACAGAGCGACAGACGTGACACAGTGTCGCGGCAAGGCGTGCGTGTCACGCGTGCGATTCGAGTCACGCGTCATATCGGGGGATCTCCTGCTTTCCCGGCAGCGGGACTGCCGAGCGATGCCGACGAGGCGTTGCGTCTCTCTGTCTCTCTCGCACCCCTACGGACCGCCTCGTGAGTGCGAGAGAGACAGACGGGGTGACTGGTTGGTTCATTCGTCCATTGATTCCCCATTGCGTCACCGCCGCCCACGCGACGGCCGCGGGAACGCTGGCACGGTGGTGCCACTGTACGTGCGCCCGTGCAATCCATCTTGTGGACAAATTCCAAGAGAGTGACGGAATGGCATCCGGTGTGGGCCCTGGGCCTGCACTGGGAATGGGGAATCGAACTGCCGTCGTTGCGAAGCGGTGTTTGGCAGGCCGCGTGGGTTTCGTGTTCGCCCCGTCCGCCCCGTTCGCCCGCAGCACGCGCGCTGAGCTCCCCGCAGTCCTTGTTGCAGGCCGCGCTGGTCCTGGTGGTCGCTGCCGCCGCCGCCGCCGCGCCGCACGAGGTCGTGCTGCCCTCTGCGTTCGGGTACGTAGCTTCAAATATCGTCCTGGACGTGCCGGCTCGGCGAAGTGTCTCCCTGACCGCGTTCCACAGAGTGCTGCCCCAGGCGTACGCCCCACTGCCCCCGCTGCCGCCGCTGCCGCCCCTGTCGGCGCCCGGCCTCAGCACGCACCCCGCCGTGGTGCTGCGCTCCCTCAACGCCGACGTGCCCCTGCTGCTGCCGGCGCTGCCGGCCACCCCCACGCCGCTGCCCGCGCTGCCCGTGGCGCCCGCCGTCCCCGTGGACCACGTGTCCCCCGTGCTGCGCGCGGGCGCGCCCGCCATCCTGCTGCTGCCGCAGACGTCCTCCAGCGGCGTGTACCACCTGTCCGACCAGCAGCACCGCTTCCCGCCCTTCCTGGAGAACGTGGTGAACCGCGTGCAGAACCTGTTCTCGTCGTACGTGCAGGTAGGTCCTCGCGGGCCCTGGCGGCGGTCAAGCCGCCCACAAATTCGCCGCAAAGGCTAACCAGTGTGTCCTGCAGGTGGACCCTTTCAATACGCCGTTCGGGACGCCACGACCCCCGACGGCCTCCGCGGCCGCCACCGCCGCTCCGGCGTCTGGCGACGGCAACGCCTCGACGGCGGACATCACCACCACCACGACCACCACCACGTCGGCGCGCACGCATGGCCGCGGCATCAACCTCCGCCTCAGTCCCGGCGTGCCCGGCGTCGCTGCCCCTGGAGGCCCTGGAGGCCTGCCCCGCGACGTGGAGCTGCTCGACGGCAGGCTGCAGCAGCAGACGGCCTCTGACGGCGCGGACTCCCGGCCGGGGCAGCCCGTCGCCTTCGCGCAGGCCACGGCCCAGGTCCACCAGCAGCCCCTCGGGCCCGAGTCGGAGGTCGACAGCTACCTGCCCGTCGGCAACGCCAACAAGGGCAGCAAGGACAAGGGCGACAAGGGCACGGCCGTGGACGAGAGGCCGCCGCCGCCCGCCACCCGCCCGCCGTCGCCCTACGGCTACGGCCGCGGGGTGAGGGGGCCCCCGCGGGGGCAGCACCCGGGGGACAAGTCGTACTACAGGCGGCCGTGAGCACCGCGACGACGACTAGAATGATCAAAGACAAATGACAAGAATAAAAAAACCTGTACTGCGGGCGGAGCGAGAGAGAGAAAGAAAACGAGAGAGAGAGATAGACTGATGAAAGGCAAGGTGTGCGCGTCTACTATATGAGTGTGAGAAAATGCGGTGGCGTGGCGCAGTGCGGCGCCGGTGCGTGCCACTCCGCCACAACGACGTCTGTGCGAATGCCGACCAAATTGTTATGAGAAAATTGCGATTGTTGTTAATAAAAAAAAGCTAGAAACGTATACCCATAACGAAAGCCCTATCTGTATCCCTTCTCCCGTGACCCGGTTGCTGAGAAAGGGCCTGGAGCGCGCGTTGAAGGCGGCAGGCGGCGGCAGGCCTTGATGAGGGAGTTAGTCCGTCGTGCATGCGGACTACATCTATCAGACTGGGGACCAGGACCTCCGGCCGCCCGCCCGGCCGCTGCAGCCTGCAGGCCTAGAGCACCGGAAGTCTGCGTTTCTCGACACATTTCCGTCACAACCAATCAAGCAGGTTGTTTTTTCTTTCCTCCTCGAGATGTCGCGTAACGAGGGAGAGGGAGGACGTCAGCGAGCACGGCGACGTGAATTCGGTGTCGCCGTCACCCTCAAGGCTGCTTTCTTCGCTCTGTCTCTCTCGCTCCCCTTCGGCACGCCCCCTCGGCCCCCGAGTGGGAGGGAGACAGAGCGGCGAAAGCGCGGTTCGGTTTGGAATCAGCCTGCAGGGCGACACCGACTCCCGATAACCCACTTCTGCTAATCCCGCGGGAATCCCGCGCGAAGGGGCCCAGGGGTGAAGAGCATGCGGGATTCGAGGCCATGCCAGGCTTGCCATGCCTGGCCTTGCCATTCTCGCTGGTGCCGGACGGGGCGCCCAAACAAGTTCCGCCATCGGCTCGTAAAACATAATGCAGTTGTACATCGCGCGGGGGAGGGGGAGGAAGGGGAGGAAGGACACAGGACGCGGGGGTTTCTCTCGAGTACGTCACCTGCAGCTAGCTAACCAGCAGGCGTGATGCACGTACCAGCGCAGCTGAGTGTATGTATGCGTTTTGTGTGTGTGTGTGTCTGTGTGTGTGCATGTGTGCGTGTTTCTGGGTCCCAGGCCCCCCTCCCCTTTCACTGTCGTCCCTTCCCCTTTCACTAGCCATCCCCTCCCCTGCCCCGCCCGGCCGGCGGCGTCCCTGACGTGCCCTACACGGTCCATCTCTCTGCCGCCGGCCTGCCCAGGCCTGCCTCGGCGGCGGCCCCTCCCGCCGGGTCGGCGAGCGAGATGGAGCGAGATGGAGGATGGCAGGGCGGGCAGGGCGGCAGGCCCTGGGCCACGCCGCGCCACGCCTGGTCTGCAACATCGCGACACGCGGGCCGCAGTCTTGGCCACGGCGAGACCACGTCCACCACGTCCAGCAGCACGGCGAGGCCCGCGTGGACACGGCGTGACACGCAGCAGCGCGACGCCGCGGCCGCCAAGCGCACGGTGGAGTGACTTACAGCACAGTGTGGTGCAAACAGTGATTGAGGACCATGCGGCCCTTGCCGGCGGTGGCGGCGTAGAGGATGGCGTCCACCAGGACCACCAGGACCACCATGGCGCAGGTGAGTGGGTCCCGCACCGCGGGGTCCTCCGGGACCTCCTCGCGGGCAATGGGGGCAGCGCGGCGACCCGCTTCGAAATTTGGACCGCGACACACCCGAGCCGCCCGAGGCGATGTTCGCCGTTAATGACTTCTTTTCTCCCGACTGGAGGCAATTATCAACCTTGTACGTACTTTCTTGGGCACCCGAGCCCGAGTTGGGTACACTGATAACTTGAGCAACGTGACTTCACGACGTTCGTGAAAAATCAGAGTCATGTTCATCAACCACTGAAGTTTCTTTGTTTTGTTTTGTTTGGGTTGTTTGAGCTTGAACATCAACTATTGTGACACTAATGGAGAGTTTTAGAGTTCCCCTGGTTCGAAACAACGCTTGTATTATTTTTCAAAAATTATGTTGTGATGTTAGTTTAGATGTTTCCCCCTCCGAAAATAAGATGTAATGTAGCTCTCGTTCATGTTAATATTTTTACCTCAGAAGGGAGTCGGGGGGAGGAGATATAGAAAGCGAACGTGCTGACCATGTCAAGTGTACAATAAAATGGAAAACACTCTCAAATTTTGATGCAAATGGCTTAAACCAAAGTAGGCAAAACTTCCCTCGATGCGCCAGTGGCGAACGGGTTGCCAACCTCAGCTTGCCTACTAGGCAATAGCTAGGACAGCGGTTTTCAACCTTGGGGTCGCGACCCCAAATGGGGTCGCGAAAAAATTTCGAGGGGTCGCGGCGAGGTGGCTGGGGTCGCCTGGGGTCGCGGTGGTTTCCCGGCTGGCCCACACGCCGAGCACTGGCTGCTTAAATGCCGCAAAGTTGATCAAAACGGTCACAAATGTGTGTAAAAGATCGTGTTTTGGGTCGACTTTAAGCATCCAGTGCTTCTGATCCGAGGCGGTAAATGGCCCTCCCTCAACGGGCAATTGGTCTTTGGACCTTCCTTTTGCATGCCTTTGTTACGGAGTGCAATTATCTGACTCAGTTTGGAAGCAGTACTGCCGCAAAGTTGGTCTAAACAGTCACAAATGTCTGTCAAAAATCGTGTTTTGGGCCGACTTTAAGCATCCACTGCGTCTGATCCGAGGCGGTAAATCGTCATCCCTCAACGGGCAATTGGTCTTTAGACCTTCCTTTAGCATGCCTTTGTTACGGAGTGCGATTATCTGCCTTAGTTTGGGAGCAGTTTTGCCGCAAAGTTGATCAAAACGGTCACAAATGTCTGAAAAATCGTGTTTTGATCAACTTTGTGGCAAAACTGCTCCCAAACTAAGGCAGATAATCGCACTCCGTAACAAAGGCATGCTAAAGGAAGGTCTAAAGACCAATTGCCCGTTGACGGAGGACGATTTACCGCCTCGGATCAGACGCAGTGGATGCTTAAAGTCGGCCCAAAACACGATTTTTCAGGCATTTGTGACCGTTTTGATCAACTTTGCGGCAATACTGCTCCCAAACTAAGGCAGATAATCGCACTCCGTAACAAAGGCATGCTAAAGGAGGGGTCGCGTGGGGTCGCGAAATTTTTCCTGGGGGTCGCGGAAAGTTTTGGCTACAAATTTGGGGTCGCGAACCGAAAAAGGTTGGGAACCGCTGAGCTAGGATTTCGCTTCGAGATGTTGTTGCCCAGTCATCAGGCTGAGGTTGGCAACCCTATTGACTCTGGCGTATCGGTGCACCGTGGCCACACTGGGGGGTCCTCCTCGGAGCGGATTTGGCGCCCGCCGCCCTCGGCGCGTGCAGTGCGGCGCGGCTGCGCGTCAGAGAAAGCCACATCCAGGGAAGATTGGTACTCATAAGCTCAGCCTATTTGCATGTGGCCGCTTTATTGCCGGTGGGATACTCGCGGCACTCCACTGCTAGACGCGGAGCCGCGGAGCTCCTGCACTGTGAATTTGCATACCGGGGAGCCAACCCATTAGAGGCGCGTGCGGCACGCGCGGCGACCGAAGGCACGACGAGCAGGCGCTGTCCGTCCCTCACCCCTACGGGACGCCCCAGCGACGAAAGCGTCAGCGGTTCATTCCGAACCTCTCTTTCTCTCTCGCACTCATGACGCGTTCCGTCGGGTCGCGAGAGAGACAGACTCTGCTCGGAACGAGCCTGCTGGCAGGCAAGGCAGGCGCGTGCCAGGTGACAGCCGCCACCGAATAACGCGAGTAGCAGCGAAGTAGTAACGCGACGCAACCGTAATAACAGTGCGGCGACACCGAGGCAAGGCCCGTGCGTGCATTTCCCGTTTCCCATTTCCCATTTCCCCGGGCGGCCAGCACACTGTGGCAGCCCCGACCCGTCCGCATTGTGGTGTCAACCGCTGCCTGCTTATATCACGGCCCGGCGTGGCGTGTGTCTGCGAGTGTCTGCGTGTGTCGTCCTCCCTGACGGATGTGGGTGTGGGAGCAGGCCAGAGGCCAGGCAGGCCCGACAGGACTATGCAAAGACTACCGAGAGCGCATGGTCGGTCGGAAATATAGGGACTCGGAGGCCCCGCCTGACTGCCATAGCACGGGTACGCTTCCGAACAGGGGTTCTTCGTCTCTCCCGCACACCCCGTGAGTGCGACAAAGAGAGAGAGAGGGACAGAGCGAAGAAAGCACACCGGGAAAACAATCATTTTTATTCACGGCACGTCCGGCTAAATTAATTGCCGGCGTGGCGGGTGGCGCCATTACGGGGCTTCCCTTGCACTGCACTGCACTGCCCGCACTGCGGGCTGCTTCTGGACACTGCCTCGCTCCCTCTCTCTCGCACTCGTGGGGCGCCCCCTATCGGGCTGCGAGAGAGACAGAGAGAGAGCTCGGAAGCAGCCCGCTGCACTGGCGGCGCGGCGTCTTTGGCGGCGCCGGCTAATATGCAGAGCGCGCCTACAAACACACACTCGGCGCATTGCACTGCGCGCCGCATACGCCCACGGTCCCTGCCAGTGTGTGAGTGTGTAGGTGTGTGCACGTATGTATGTGTGTTTACTGTGAAGGGACGCGCGAAAAACACGAAAGCAATCGCCATTCTTCTTTTCCTTTCGTTTATAGTCAGTCGTGTGCAGCGGAGAGGTGAGAGCGTGCATCGGCCGCGGCGCCATAAGGGACGGCGCCAGTGCGTTTGAGTGTGTGTGTGTGTATGAGGAGCCGAGAGGGATAGAGGAGTAGTGCCCCGTGCGAACAAAAACATACGCGCTGTAATTGTGTGGCTGTTGGCAGGCCTGGCTATTGTTGCCGCTCGTAATAGCTGCAGCCGCAGTGCCTCCTCGTCCTCCTCGTCCTCCTCCAGCCGGACGGCCTGGCAGGCCTGGCAGCGCGGCGGCCGGCGCTGCAGCGGCGCCGACGTCGTGGTCGCCAGCGGCCCTCGCGGCGTCAGCGGCGTCAGCAGCGTCAGCAGGCAGGTAAGGAAACTAGCAGCGTCGCGCGCGATAGTGCCGGACCTCCCCCCCCCCTCCCCCTTTCCCGCTCACACGCATGCCGGACACGCTGTACACGGTGTACATGAAGGGGCAGGGTGTGGCGCGCCATGGCGGCCATGGCGGCAGGGCAGGCTGCGTGCCACAGGCGTGCCATACCCGCCATGCCGCGAAAGTGCTCCAAATAGCGCGGCATGGCGTGGCACCGCACTGTCCGCGCTGTCGCGGTGTCCACCAGGGCCGCGCGGGTCTACGCCGTCCACGCGGCTAAGAATCCCATGCGCGCACTCTCGCCCTCATCAACGCGTGATAAAATTATTGTTGAGCTTTACAGCAATCCCACGTCGAAACGATTCAGAGAAAAGGCCGCCGTCGTGGCGGAGCAGGCCGAGCAGGGCCTTACAAAGGAAGGCGTTGAAACGCCGGGCCGGGCAGGGGGAAGGGGGGGACCCTGAAAAGGTGCCCTCCGTCTCCTGCACTGGGCTTAGAAGAGTCTTAAGTGGAGCAAGGGAACCATGCTGTGGGTCGCCCCTCACTACTTGCTTCCTTTAAAGACTTTATGGAGAGCGGCGGAGGAAAAGGATTTCGTTTTTAGTTTCAAGCTCTGTAATCTGCCTTGCAGGCATGCTGGCGGCGTGCTGCGGCGCGGCCCGGGGCCCGTCGTGGGCTACGGCCTGGGCTACGGCGGCAGCTACAGCGGCTACAACTTGCACCCCGGACGCGGGCCCCACCCCGGAGCGAGCCCCGGCCACCGGTACAGCCTGCACTCCAGTAGGCTTGGTGGCCTGCAGCGGAGGACCATCTACAGCGGGCGCGGCCCGCACGGCCTCCACCCAGGACACGGCATGGCAGCGCGCAGGACGGGGCCGGGGCCTGTCCTCGGCCCGCGGCCGCAGCGCAGTCTGCAGCAGCCGCGCCTCCTGGGCAACTCGCTGGGCGACGCCATCGAGAGCGTCGCCTTCCTGCCGCTCACGGTCAACGTCCCCGACGTGCTCTCCTCCATGGCGAGCGGCGTCACCTCCCTCATGGGCCAGGCACTGTCCTTCGTGCTGCCGTCGTCCGACCCCACGCAGCCGCGCCGCCCCAAGCCCAAGCCCACGACGGCCAAGCCCGGCGTCAAGCCCTACGCCAAGCCCGGCGAGCAGCCTGCCGTCAAGCCGGGTGTCAAGCCTCCTGTCAGGACCCCGGCCAAGCCGACAGCCAAGCCCGGTTTCCAGCCGCCGGCCGTGGGGCACGCCCCGCTCAGGAAGAAGAAGCCGACGCCGCAGCTCGTCAACAAGCCCGTCAAGAAGCCGCTGAGGACGCAGCCGCAGTCCAAGCCTCGGCCGACTGCCCCCACGAACACCATTCCCAATAGGAAGCCCTCCACCGCGGCCCTGACCACGCCGACGACCGCCCCGCCCACGACAACCTCCGCTGCCACCGCCCCCACGACGACGACCACCACCTCCACCACCACAGCGCCGTCCACGCTAGCGCCGGTCTTGACCACGGCGGCGCCGACCTCGAACACTCTCGCCATCACCAAGCCGTTGGTCGCCTCCAGCCCCAGGCCGTCGACCGCCAGCTCGCACTCCAAGCCCTCCGTCAGCACCGCGCCCGCCTTCGTCACGAGGCCCAGCAAGAGGCCGAGGCCACCGTCAGACAGCTTGAGGCCCGCAGCAAGCAGCGCCGTGCCGAGGCCACCCGCGCCGAGCACCGCCATCACCAAGCCGGCGGCGGTCTCCACGTCCAGCCTGACGCAGAGCACTGCCGGCAGCCAAAGGCCGGCAGCGCACACCGCGGGGAGCAGGCCCACCCCGGCCTACACCACCCAGGCCACCCAGGCCACCCAGGCCACCCAGGCCACCCAGGCGACCACGACCGTCGCCACCAGCACGCTCAAGCCGGCCACGGTGAGCAACGTGGTGCAGAAGCCAGCGACAGTCGTCAGCCTCGCGCCCAAGCCGACGACGACCAGCACCAGCCAACCGCCGGCCACCATCCCGAGCCAAAAGCCGGGCGGCGTCACCCAGGTCACCCCACTGGCAAACCAGAATCAGGTCGGGCCGAAACCAGCTCGGAAACCCGCCAAGCCCGCCAAGCCCGGCAACGCCAACGCCACCACGGCCAAGAGGCCCGCCAAGAAGAAGCCTCCCAAAAGCGCGGCGCCGACGCGGCAGCCGGACAGGCAGCCCGACAGGCAGCCGACCAGTGACGTCAAGAAGAAGAAAAAGAAGCCGGGGAGGAGAAAGACTGGTTCGAACCGACGGAGGGACGCCGTAACGGAAATCGCTGTTACAACGTTCTAGATTGTCATATTGTGATATTTAACATTATTTATACTCGTTTTGTAATTATAGTTTTCGTTGTTTTCACTCGTTTCTCTGGTTTCTGCGACGACGTTAGGTGGCCTGGGGAAGCACAGAAATCGACCCGCACCATGCTTAGAGCTAAATTAATTTTATTGGATCACAGCATCTCACATTCGTCGACATCCGACGATTTTCACACTCCCGAAAATAATTCCTCGCAGGCACTTAATACAGTTTTCTTTTTTTGTCTTCTTTTTGTAGCAATTTGCTTGAAGTGGAGTTAATCTTGCACAGTGCATTCCTGGCATGGTGTCGCTCCCAGGAAGGAGGACCAAAGCAATTATCGCGATCCATGCACCGTTTGTTGTTGTTTTTGTTGGTGTTGATGTTTTAGTCTCAAAGATCGCGATGAGTGATGAACTTCGCTGCGCGGTCTCAGTTTGGCTCCGGCTCGCCATCAGGCCCCAAGTTTGTGATTTACGGAGGCCAGTAAAGAGCCCTTGGCCTTCTGCTTTACTGGCGAGGCAGCGCGTCGCAGCGCGCAGGAACGCCGTTAATAAGGAAAGCACGGGGGCAGCCTTGGGGGCAGCCCGGCCCGCAGACAATGCGCGCTCTGGCGCAAACTTTCAAAAAGCTAAAGGCTCTTTTGGCGCCGGCGCGCGCATTTGACGCGCGAACGAGCGCACCCCCACTCCCCACTCCACTGGTGGACTACGCCTGCGGCTCGGTGTACACGGGCTTGCGGGCGTACTCCACGGCGTCGGCGCGGGCGCTCGCCTGGCCGGGGGCGACCTGGGCGTCGTGCACGGCCGCCACGGGGATGGCGCCGAAGAACACGGCGCGCTGCGACAGCGACAGGGACTGCTGGTCCGGGGCGGGCGCGCTGCCCAGGCGACCGTCGCTCGCGGACGGCGGCGGCTGCACGCCGACGAGCACCGGGGCGGGGTAGTGGAAACTGTAGAAGAAGCCGTCCTTCTTGTCCTGTTGGGAGAAGAGTGTGGCGTTAGTAGTTCAGCCTGCCCCGCGCGTTGAGGTCTCCGGCGTGGGAACGGCCCGGAACGGCCTTTTTTTAAGCGCCGCGCCGCTCTGCTCGCCCTCCTTACCTGCTGCTGGTTTTGCTCGTCCTGCTGGTCGTGCTGGTCCTGCTCGAGCTGCCTGCGCGCGCGGACGCCGCTGCCGTGCCGGGGGTGCTGGACCCTGGGGTGGTAGCCCCTGGCGCGCGACCCCACGGATCGGAACAGCTGCACGTCGTTGAACGAGTCGGCCTCCAGGTCGGGGTTGTTGATGATGACGGCGTCGCGCTCGGCGTCGTGCAGGTGGCTGGGGTCGTACAGGGAGGCGTGCTGGGGCGCGGGGTAGCGCCGCAGCTCGGTGCCGTCCGCGTCGTACACGGGCGGCAGGTCGCCGCTGGGGCCCTCGACGCGGGTCTGGTCCGACTCATCCCTGCAGCACGGCAAAGCACGGCGGTGAGCACGTTGGGCTGCCTACCTCCAGGGCGCTGCTCGCGGCGCGGTGCGCTGCGTCGAAGCGGACTCATCCCGAGCGGGGGTCTCTGTCTCTCACCCGTTGCCGGACAGGATGGCGGCCTGCAGGGCGTGCGCGTAGCTCGCCTCGTGCTGCAGCCGCGCGGCCGCCACCTCGGGCGTCTCGGTCACGGGCTCGGGCACGTCGTTCTCGGTCGGCAGGGTGTTGCCCGCCACGTGGAAGCCGTCGCCGTCATCCCAGTAGTTGACCTGCAGCAAGGAAAAAAATCAACACTCCGCCCTTCCATCCAGTGAGCGAGGCGTCGGGCTGCGGCAGACCCACCTTGACGATCTTGCCGGTGGGGTCGCGGTACGAGTAGGAGCCCCTGACGCGGCCGTCCCCGGAGCGCGCCTCGACGCGCACCTGGTCCGGCGTGCTGTAGCCGAAGACCGCGCGCCCAGCGCCGTCCTGGGTGTGGAACTGTGAGACGTCCACCTCCTCCTTGCGGAGCCTGTTCACAAAGTCCTCATCAGCTCGCTCCATCTCTGTAGGCCTCATCGATTGTTGTTGTTGTTTTTACTTACAGGTGCTGCTCCCCTGGAGTGTACCGCGACGCGACGGCCACGGGCGCGTTGGGCGGCACCTCGCGGTAGTTGCTCAGCGGCACCCTGGAGATGAGCTCGGCCACGTCGGCGGGGGACAGGAACCACAGCTGCACCGGCGGCGGCGCGTAGCTCGCCCTCCGCGTGGCCGCGGGCGTCGGGTAGCCGCCGGAGTAGTAGGCGCCGTAGTTGACGGGCGATGCGGCAGCGGCCGCCGCCAGCGCCACCTGCGTGGGTGGACAGGACAATGAGCATGACGGAGACGGAGTGGCAGGCGGCGTCGCGGCGGCCCTGACCCTGGTCGCGGCCCTGGCCGTGATGCGTGTGTCACGGCCCAACGCGGCCCAGTGGCTTGCCGGGCCCGGGCAGGCAACCCGCGGCATGCGCCTGTGGTAGACGGGACGGCCTACCCGGACGCCTTACGAACAGAGAGTAGGCAACCCGCATGCATCCATGGTTAGCCCGCCAGCTCAAGCGCCTTACCAACAGAGGGTAGGCAACCCGCGCGCACTGGTGCTCAACGGGATTGCCTACCCTCTGCTCGTCAGGCGCTCGACGGCGACGTCAGCGCGCCGTGTCGTGCTCGTCCCCGGGGGCTATCTGTCAAGGATCGCACTGCGCAGGGCCGCCCCGCCCCGCCCACACCGTCACGACTTACTGCTGCTCTGGAAACGCGCAGCCGAACGGAGGCAAAATTCTCGGCAGGAGGCGATCGCTGCGGGGCTCGGGGATTACACCGAAACCAGTCAATCTGCCCGCGCGCACTGTGGGATTCTATTTTTTTTGGTGTTTGGAGCATGAAAGTTGGTCCAAATGGGGCCTAAAAGTGGCCGCGAACGAGGATTTCAAATTTGGCGAACGGAACCGACCGCTCGGATGGGTCTTGTTTGATGGATAGCCCCGCTTCTAATTAACGCCTTTGTCCTGAATAACCTTCCGCGGACGGACGGACCGGGCGGGGCGGGGCTGGCGGGGCGGGGCGGGGCGGCCCAGCCTCAAACCGGGACGATCGGCTCGCGTTTCGAGTTTACGGATGATGGATAAGATTGGCCATAGAACTCCCAGACCGCACAATGAAGAGACGCGCGAGTGAATCAATTAATTTTTTTTCTGATTTGACGCGACAAGTGCAGAGGCGTGGCAGTCCTGACGTGTCCTGCGGTTGCCGATAGAATCTTCCACTGCCAAATTCCACCCCGGACGCAGCCCCTGGGTACAGCGGACACAGCACCTGGCCGTCAAGCACTCCGGACGCGGACGCGCACTAAGCGGTGCCGGACGACAGACGATTCCACACAGCTTTTCGTCGCTCTGTCTCTCTCGCACCTGTGCGCCACGCCCCGTGAGTGCGAGAGAGACAGAGCTCGTCAGTCACTCCGATTTGTCTTCGCCCCCGACTTTTGGCCGCCGCCCCCCGAGCGGCCCCCAGCGGCACAGCGATTCCCAGAGCCCGACGCCTCGCAGAAACACTGACACACACACCCAAGGTTCCTTCCTTCCTTCTTCCCGGTCGGGCCACGTCCACGAGTCGGGTGCTCGGAAAAACCCGGCGAACACGAAGGTGGGTCTCGTGAACGGGTTGAGGCGCTCCGAGCTTGGAGTCCGGGGCGGAACGGAGAAACCGTTTCATTTCGCAGCTCATCCGCGAATCACCGAGACGCCGTGTCAAACACGAGCAAGATGCGCGCACTCATGGAACACGTCCGTACCCTACCGAAGAGCACCATCAGCCATAAAAATAAACACCACAAAAGAAAAACGCCAGACTGTCGGCGAAGCCACTGAGAATTTTGCAATAATTTTGCAATTTTCGAGAGCCGGTAATACCAGTAATACGGAGCAGTCGCTATGCCTGTCGGGACGCAAAGTCTGGAGTGGTTGCCCTCTCGGTCCTCTAGCACGCGCGCCCGAAGCGAGTCCCGTCCGCTGAAGCATCCGGAGTGCAAATAGACTCTTCGGCCGAGAGCTTATTGTTCCGGCAAACAGCTTCTCGCCGACTCACCGCGGCCTCCGCGTTACGCGCCGGCCGCCCTCTCCGCTCTGTCTCCCTCGCACCCCCACGACGCGTCATGAGTGCGACGGGGACGGAGCGACGGGCGCCGGCCGGGTCGCCGGCAGGGCCAAGTGCCAAGGGATAATTATTGATGATCGGCGAGGTGACTCACACGATCGACGAGCGATGAACGCCCCGTTGCCGGCCGGCGCGATGGGCCGCGTGATACCCCGCCTCAATGAGCGTCATGATGTTGGTCTGTTTGCCCGTCTTTGTTCGTGGGCCCCCGGTGCGGCGCGGGCGGCACCGTCACCGAGACAAGGTGACAAAGTGGCGAAGCGACGTCGAGGCGAGGCACCCGCTCCACAAAGAGTCGCTCGCGTGCGGACGGGACGGACGGTGCCGACTGCGGGCTGCTTTCGAGTAACAGCGCGTCTGTCTCTCCGGCACGTCTCATGAGAACGAGAGAGACACTGTTTGGAACCAACCCGCCAGCGGCAGCGCGTCATCGCCTTCCTCGCGCGGCGGGGAAGGGAGCGGCGCGAACTTGATCCCGCACCGCACGAACCACGACCGCGTCCGAGTTTGCGCCGGATTCCGCGCGGCGGGCCCACTGCCCGCAACGCCCGCAACCCGAACTGGAGCGCCGTGCCGCCGTGCCGCCGCAGAGCCGCGCCTCGCCGCCGGCGACCACTGACCTGGGCGAGGGCGTGGCACGCCTAACCTAGAGGCAGCTCGCGGTGCACGCAGGGACCTCCAAGGACGCCCTTGGCGAGCCCTCGGCCCTCGGCCTTCGGCGTACCGTCGGCGTGCCGCGCGCCAGGTTCAAGTTCAACGGCCGGCCAGTGCGGCGCGGCGGTGCGGCGGTGCGACCCAAGAATCAAGAATCCAGACCAGCTTCGACGCGATTAACACAAAAATGGCCGTGGCGGTTGGCAGGCGGCGCCCATTCCAAGCATTCGCTCCAGCGGCTCCAGCACGTCGGGTGGAATCTCCATTTGAACAAGCGGCACGCCGCCGCGCTCTGTTCGGCCTGTCGCCGCGGCTCGGCTCGGCCCTGTTCTGCTTTGCAGTGCTTTGCAGTGGCGCGACTCGAGCCGCCCGCATCGATAACCCTTCCCTCTCCGAAGACAGGTGCGCACCCGCACCGCGCCGCGCCGCGGGCCGCATTCGCGCGCGATGAATGTGGCAACAATAAATAGCAGCCGCCTGATTCCGAACACGACAGCGCTTCGTCGCTCTGTCTCTCTCGCACCCCTGCGGGACTCCTCGTGAGTGCGAGAGAGACAGAACGACCGTTCGGGATCAGCCTGGCCCGCCGGCAACGAGCCTGCATCTTCATCGCGTTCATCCGCACTGGCGCTCTGCTTTGCTGTTGTTTTTCGCTCTGGTTTCCTTTTTTTTGCATTGTGGGTAGGTGCAGCGGCGCAGAGTAGCGCCCCTAGCCAAGGACGCCCGGCCGGCGACACTGCAAGTCCTGCCGCCCGACGGCCGACGCGACGGCCGAGCCGGTCGGCACAACTCACCGCCGACGCGAAGCATGATTCGATAATGCCGCCGTGCCGCCCCACCCCATCGCAGACGCAGCGCTAAATTCTGCCCACTCTCAGTGAGTTGCAGTTCGGCGTCTCTATTGTGTTGTTATTGGGCGTATTACAGGCCTCCCTTCCTTTTGCTTTCGTTGAGCCGCCCGGCCGTCCCGGCGGACTGGTTCCGACCGACGCGCTTCGCCCCGCCACGCCCCGCCCTGCCCGAAGGGACTCGCTCTGTCTCTCTCGCACCCCCACGGCGCTCTCCGCGAGTGCGAGAGAGACAGAGAGACCGCTACCGGCACACGGTGCATCGCGCGCATCACACTCTGCGGGACGTGACGTTGACGGCACGGCGTCACCGTCACCGTCACCGCTCGTCCGCGCGAGACGAGAACGAGTTCAAAGACACCCGTTTGTGGCGTTCAGGTCGCGCACGCACGCGGGGGCTTTTTGTCAACGTGTTTTGCATTGGCGCGAGGCCAGGGCAGCTTGTTTCGTCCGAAATGCTACCCGTCGCGAGTGTCGCTGTGTTTTGGCGGCCCTTTCGGAAGGGGAAGGGGTAGCTTTACGGTTCGCCGTGTTTTTCTTTTCCTTTTTCGCCTTTCCAGTGGAAATTTTTTTTTCTAGGCAGAGGCAGCTCTAGTCGTTTGGTTATTGGTTCGCATGGATGTGCACAAGGCGCCAGGACCGCAAAAAAGAAAAAAGTCATTCCGCGTGCCGCTTCGCGCTTCGCCCCAGGTCATTCCCCGCGGCCGGTCAGACGCGATACAGGATTATCAAAACGATAGGGGTCCAGATGACTGGCTCGCTCTGCCTCTCTCGCCCTCGTGGAGCGCCCCGATGGTGTGCGAGAGAGACGAGGCGATGCCTCGGGAGCCTGATCAACCAAGCCGGTGGGATGAGTAACGCCCTGTCGCATTTCGATTCCGTAGGCGGGCTGTGCAGTGTGCACTCGGGCATGCCGGGGCCGCCGGGGCATGCAGAACTCGGAACGCAAACGAAGCATGCATATTCGAAAGCCTGACCGACATCCCGAGGAGCGCGACGACGTGTCTCGGTTTGCAAATCGGCCGCTGGCCGCTGGCCGCTCCGTGCTGGTCCATGCTGGCGGTGGCGGGTCCATCCGCGAGTGTGTTGCCCGGCTGCTACTCGGCGTTCCTCTAGCGCGGACGCTTCCTGAGAATGCCGTCCTACTCGGCATTCAATCGCCGCGGGAGGTTTGAAAAAAAAAATATAAAAAGGCGCGCATGAACGCCTTTTGTGGAGGGACGATCCTAAATCAAGCCCGCCGCCGCGCCCGCGCCGCCACCGGCCTGGCAATGGACCAAGCCCTGGACCAAGCAGCCGGACGGACGGGTCTTGCAGAAAGCCAAGTGCAGGCAGTCACGCCTCACTTCCTTAATAACAATAACCACTGCAACAGCAAGGTGACAACGTTGCCAAGACGCTCGCCCTCACGGCCCTGGCGGCCCTGGCCAAGCCGACGTGACCGGCCGAAAAGTACGCCCTAGCGGCCCTTCACAGCCGCCTGAGGGACAGTTTCGTCGCCCTGTCTCTCTCGCACTCCCACGGGACGCCCCGTGAGTGCGACAGAGACAGGGCGACGGATCGCCGCGAGCTGCGGCACGGGGCCTCCACTCACAAGCAGCACGGTCAGCATGTCGTGTCGGGCGTGCTCCTCGTCTGCGTGCAGGTCGTCGCTTTGGCAACGCGTTGGTCGAAGTGCGGGCGCGGTGCGGGCAGTGCGGGCGCGGGTGGCTATCCGAGTTCGCGAATCAGAACCAGACTGCGTGCTGGCCACGCCGGTGCCGGGTCTCTGGAGCCCTGGAGCAGGGTCCTGGAGCAGGGTCCTGGAGGGGAGCCTCTGGAAGCACCACCCCGGCGTCCGGCTGTCCGCCGGTCCGGCCGTTCTTCTGCGCCGCCCGCCGGCCCAACTCCCGTCCCTGGCCCTGGCCGCCACGCCCGCCCCGCCCCGCCCCGCCCCGCGCCTCTCCGAAGCGCTGCGTTCCATCGATATTCGCGAACCCCTCCCCCTCCACCTGTGCCGAACCTGGTGCCTTAAAACCCTCACGGCAAACCTACTGTACTCGGCCTTTGCGAGGTTTCGTCGCCCCGACCGGCCGGGCCTCCGAGGCTCCGCGCCAAGGATGTAGATAACCTCACCCCGGGACCATCCCGTCACTGCAAAAAACGTCGCCCTGCAATTTCCCACGACGGGCATGATGCGCCGCGCCGCCCGATTGGCCGATCGGGCGACAAAAAGTGAGATTCGTATTCATGAGATTAATTCGGCAACGGCCCGCTGGTGCCGCTGGTCGTCGAGCGAGTCCGGAACGTTGGCGATGGCTCGCTGCTCGCGCCTCGTCCGACACAGGGACGCCGCGGTCGGTCCTTGTTCCTCTGCGGCGAGACGAGACGAAGAGGCTCCACTCGAAATCTCCAAAACGCTAAACGCCACGTCGCGATATAGAGTGACAAAACCCGAAGCGATTAGTGAGAAAGCCTAAAGCAGTCATTATTTTCCCGAATGACAGTGTTATTGTGGGGCTACTTATGCTGCTCGGCCGTATGGCCGGCGATCCTTACGCGGCTTTGGCCTGGCTTGGCCTGGCTTATCTCGGAATGGGTCCGCTCCTCTCAGCCGGCGTCCCGTCCAGCGCGTCCAGCCGTCAGCGCGGTCGAGGCAGGCCGACGTCCGCCCAGTCTGGCCGGCACGCTGCCCGCGCTGCCCGGCAAAACAGGAAAAAGTCTCTCTTAGTTTATGCGGGGCGTATTGAGGTGACTAAACCCAAACGCTGCAGCTCGTGCCGAAGGCCGCGCGAAGGCCGGCCGGCCTGCCAGGGTGCAGCCAGCCCGAGAGCCTGCCCGTGCACCGGGGGCGCGCCACCATAGCTGCGAAACCGTCGAACCAATAAGTCGTGTTCGTGACATTTTCCAGCCTGTCGCACGAGAAGTTTGCGTCCCTGGCGTGTCCCTGGCGCGTCCGTGACGTCTCCGAGACGGGTCAAAGACGCGCACCGTGCGATGGCCACTTGTGGGCGCGCCCAGTCCCGGCATGGCGCTGCGGCGCTGCGGAAATTGCGCGCTTTTGTGTGAGGTATGGAGTGCCCGCCCCGCCCCGCCCCGCCCCGCCCCGCCCACGCGCCGAGCCTGGCATTCAATCGCGTCGCTGGAACCGTGACAGAGCGACTTAGTTGCGTGCTGAATGCACCGTCTCCGACCGTCTCCATCTCTGGCTTGACTTCCCCGCCCTGAATCATCGGCAGGCGCGTCCTCTCCACCGTCGCCCTGTCTCTCTCGTGTTCCCGCACACGCCCCAGGGGTGCGAGAGAGAGACGCAGCGACGCAAGCGCGCAAGCACTGTTCGGAATGAGGTCCTCCCCGGCCCCCTCGTTGGCTTCTGTTTGGTTTGTTTTCCAGCCGCGCGTCACCGTCCCCGAACTGCAGGGGGTGCTGCACAGTGCTGCGTCTCTCTCCCTCTCTCTCTCTCTCTCTCTCTCTCTCTCTCTCTCTCTCTCTCTCTCTCTCTCTCTCTCTCTCGCACTCATGGCGCGTCCCTGAGGGTGCGAGAGAGGTTCAGTATCAGCCTGTGGCTCTATCGAGATTGCGCCAAATTCAGAGAGGAGGGAGAGCGGGGACGGGATGGGCGGGCAGTGCGATGGACACGACATTTTACGAGCTTGTCCTCGTCCCTCGAGCTTCTGCCCTGCTCGCTCTCGCTGACATGTTTGTTTCGACAAACAGCATTCCGGATGGGTATCCACTCCAAAAGCGTTCGCAAACGTGTGCGATCCGGCCGGGCGAAAAAAAGTAAGTTGTTTAACGCCGCCCCGCGGCGGGGCTGGAGACATCGCTGAAGGCGAGTGTCCAGCAGACTGATTCCGAGAGTCTCTACCGCCCCCACCGGGGCGTCCCGCATAGGTGTGCGAGAGAGACAGAGCGACGGAAACGACTCTCGGAATCAGCAGCCGCAACAAACGGCCACCACCTCCACGCCTGTAGGGCGGTAAAAATAATGTGAGACGAAGGATGACTCTGCAGGGCTGTGGTTGGGCTGCTAGGAGGGGCAGGGAAGGGCATGGCAGGGCGGCGGGGGAGCAGCGCGCCCTCGCGGGGCCCGAATGGGGCCAGTCGTCCGCCCTCCGCCCTACCGCCACGACAGCCCTGCCCGGAGCCCTGCACGCCCTGCCGCCATGCCGTCGTGGGGCAGCGTCTTCCCGCTCATCGTCACTGCGGTACGTCGTCTCACTGTCATCGCCCTGTCTCTCTCGCACTCGTGGGACGTCCCGTGAGAGGCGTGAGTGAGAAAGAGCAATGAAGTCAAGCTGCTGGCGGCTACTGGCCGGTAGGTGTTCCATTTCGCAGCCAACGCGGATGGCGTCGGCGCGGCGCCCGCACTGCCGCCCGCAGTGGGTCTGCACGGCCTGCGCGCCGCGGGGAAGGACCACAACAGCGCGCAGTACTACTACTCCCTGGACCCGCAGCACGGCGCCTACAGCTTCGCCTACGACACGGGTAAGTGCTGCCGCCTGCCGGCCTCAAACTGGATCGCCTGTGCCCCGCAACGCACGCGTGTCCGGCGGGCTTGCCTACCCTCCACTTCACAGGCGCTACACGCAAAATCCGTCCACGGAGCAATCTCTGATGGTCGGCTCTCCTCTGCCCCGGTGATGCATCAATGTTGTTGTTGTTGTTGTCAGGTTCGACGGGGCACCAGTCGTTTAGAGAAGAGACTCGCACAGAGGACGGAGGCGTGCGCGGCAGCTTCGGCTACGTGGATTCCGGAGTGCTGCGCGTCACCGAGTACACGGCGGACCAGCGTGGCTATCGGTAGGACAAGCCGTGGGATGACAAACAAGTTGAAATTTTGGAAGAAAAATGAAGTTTACTTTGATTGTTTTCAGGTGTCATCAAACAGTTCGTTATCTAGTGGAACCTGGCCGCGGAACATTTGTGCCAGCTGAAAAGCCTGATGTAAACAAAGCTAGTCTGGAACCTGAGCGACTACCCATTTCCAGTGGACAGTGGAACTTACAAATGCAATCCCAGAGTCAAGAAAAGAACTTGCGGCATAGATCCGCCACAGTGGAAAGAGACAACTCTGACTGGGAAACTTCTCGTCGGGCCAAACAAAATCGTCAGAGTTGGAGTAAGACACGTCTAGCTCAACCAGCAAGAGTGCTGGGAAAAAAAGTCATGGGCCATTATAAAGACTTCACCAGTGAACCAGCTGTTGGTGGAACTGCAGCAGTTACTGCCTGGGACTCAGCACACCATTCTGAGCTAAGGGATGAAGAGATATTTGGGTGGCAACAGCAACACAGACAGACAGACTCAACGCCCGCAGTGGGGGGAACATTGGTGTGGCCTGTGACAGAAGATGGAATGAGAGTCGTGTGGCAGCCATTTTAAATTGAATGATAAATACTACTAGGTTAACTTCCTTACATTTTAATTAAACAACTTGAGAATAAATGCAGTATGACAGTGATTTGTGATGATTTGAGACAATAGTAAGAATAATTGACAAAATTGTATTAATATTAACTTTCCACAATGTACATGATTGTAAATGCATCTTCACTCAAAAAATCAACAGCAATTGATTGATTATTAAAAGAAATATCACATTTTTTATTGACTTGGTATTCAAGAAATTATCTCTTTTCCAAGCTCTTGAATTTGGCTTCAAGACGTTTGCTGTAGGCATCCAATTTATAGGCCGCTTGCTCCAATTTATTCACACTGCTTTCTATTTGGTCAATTTGGTCCAAGTAAGGCTGGAGGCTCATATCTGTCAATATAAAATCAATGGTAAATTTTCATTCTTTAAAATAAACAAAAAAATATTTGACTAACAAACACCTTACATTTTTCATTGAGATCTGCCATAGTACGCGATATGTTGCCAGAAATTTGTTTCATATCAGAGTACTTTGCTATGGTAGCTTGGTTCATGGTTTCTAGAAGCCTGTAGTCCTCCTGAAAAGATAATATGACCTTTAAATAACACAGGTTTAAAACATGTCTCGAATAAACAATGCAAACCTCAAACCTGTGTGGCAGTCAGTTCACCAAACAAGTAGTCAGACGTTTTCTGAAACATAGTGGTGGCGAGGCGACTAAGGTTCGGATCATGTGGATCGAGAGCTTCAAAACTGCTTGTGCTGGTTGAGAGGGTTGGTCCTGCACACAGGTTGAAGAGTAGGTAACACAGGTTGTCGAAAATAAAAACAAACTCAGAGAGAAACTAAAATAAATAAAAAATTGCAAAGAGAACTCGAGGTTACCTTTCTTGGGTGAATCAGTAACACCCTCATTATCACCATCATCAGCCATTATAGCGTTGGAAACAAGCTTTTCTAAGAACAAGGCAAAATAAAATCAAATAGATCGCCAAGAAGTTAAAAGATCACAATGCAAACAGTGTGTCGCCCAGTGTTTACCTGCTTCTGTCAGTACCAGAGCTGTCCTGAGCTGTCAGTCAGCTGTCGTCTGCTGGTAGTTTGCAGTCGTAGCAACGTGACAACCAAAACACAACGGGAAAGGAATAAGTAAAAACCTAGCAATTTGAACAAATGAAAAGATTGGCAATAAGAGGCGTCAAAAAATACCCATAAAAGGTTTTAAAGAGGTTTAAATGACCTAAATCAGCCGAAAACTCGAGCTACATGTAGCGGCGTAATGTTTCTTAAGCTGTATAGTCATCGAATACCAATGTGAATCTGGTTGTGTAGTGTCAAAACAGTGACATGAGAAACATGAAGTGGTGGTTCTGGTCGACGACAGTGTTCTGCTGTCATTTTGTGACTCTGCAAAACGTAGTGTTTCGCGCTGGCCGTTGCGTGACTTGCCGGGATCCCGGAGACCTCATCGATTCCAAGCGACGCCTGTCCGTTTCGGCCTACGACATGTCGGAGAAACCCCCTGCAAACTGCATTTTCTGTCAGATTTGTGGAGATAACCCCAGCGGCACGGAGCTGGTCGTCTCGGCCGAGGACCTGGTGGTGTTCCGAGACATCAAACCGGCCGCCAAGCACCACTTCCTGGTGGTGTCGAGGCAGCACATTCGCGACGCCAAGGCGATGACGTCGGAGCACAAGCCCCTGCTGCAGAGGATGGTCAGCGTGGCAGAGCAAGTGCTCCGGGACCACGACGCCGACATGACGGACTACCGGCTCGGCTTCCACTGGCCGCCTTTCCACTCCATTTCCCACCTCCACCTCCACGCCATCTCGCCCACCGCGGACATGGGCTTCATGGCGCGACTCATATTCAAACCGAACACCTGGTGGTTTGTGCCACCCGAGTATGTCATGTCTCGACTTTGATCTTTACTTCTAGTGCTGAATGTTAATGTGAATCAGGTGCCCCAGTTTTCAAGTGTAACTGGTTCAAGTGCTTCTATGAAGTACTTCTATAAGTATCCACACAATCAACCACACGGCGTGGCATTTCACCTAGTCAGTATCGCGGACAAGACCAACTCGTCAACACAACACTCGCCATGGCGTCCACCTTCCGCGAGCACTGCGTCTTCTGTCAGATTTGTGGAGAGAACCCCGCCGGCACGGAGCTGCTCGTGTCCGCGGAGGACTTGGTGGCGATCCGGGACATCCGGCCGATCGCCAAGCACCACTTCTTGGTGGTGGCGCGGGAGCACATCCGCAACGTCAAGTCGCTGACGAAGGAACACAAGCCCCTGCTGCAGAGGATGGTCAGTGTGGCAGAGCAGGTGCTCCGGGACCACAACGCCGACATGGCGGACTACACACTGGGCTTCCACTGGCCACCCTTCTGCTTCTACGCCCACCTCCACCTCCATGTCTTTTCCCCAACAACTGGCATGAAGCTCATCAACCGCATATTTTTTAAAGAGAACTCTTGCTGGTTTGTCTCACCTGAGTTTGTCATGTCCAAACTCGAGTGTCAGTAACTGTTTTTAATTTAGACTGTACCTGTGGCTGACTGAAACTGTTTGCTCATATATGATAAGGTAAAACAAAAAATATACATTATGATTTACTGAAATATGACTGATTTATCATAATCACATCAAATATGATGTGGAATTAATTATATTACATAGTTGCACTGATGTTATTTTCAGCATTCACAACCATACCACATTGTTTACAAAGGAGATTGCCAGATAAAGCCCACAAATTTAAATTTAAAAATAGTACAGTGAATTATCAGCTTGTGTTAACGGAAGACAAAATGACACAAGAAAAGTAATTCAGTACTCAATGAGAGAACCAATCCCCATGCTGTGCCATTCGACATTTTTGAAGGAAAACCCAAACAGCTACTACTTGTAGATTGAACAGATTTATCAAATCTTAAGATTAAATTTTACATGAAAAGTACACCATTAGTAAGTTGATTGATGTAAATAAAAATGACAGCATCAGATTCCATGATTTAAAGAAGAAAAAGAAAACCTTCCTAATTGGAGAACATTATTGCATTCAATAATGCAATATCTTCTGCTAAACAAACAAAAAATCTAGGGAATAATTAATTATGAATGTTCTTACTGATAGACATACTGATATTGCTAGACTGATGGTGTTGGCATGCCATTGAATTACTTTTTCTACAGCTATGTATGAAGAAAATGAGTACTACCACTAATGAGAAAAAAGACAGAGACAAAGTATCTTCAGGACACACAAGAGAAAAGGAACCTGTGAAATAAGTGGAATTCTCCTATGACTGACACTCAACATTATTTTCACACTGGCTTGAATCTTAAAGACCGTTCTTAAAGAAACAGCATATTTTTAAAAAATCATTGGAAAGATAAGAGAAACGACAATTTACAATGTACAATGCAGAGAAGATCCATATTTGGTTTTCTATACAGCTCACATTGAATTTACCACAGTATCTACAAACATGCAGACTAACACACATAAACCAGCAAAAGGGCATTGTAACCACAAAGACATGAACAACATTAAAGATTCAAAAATACAACATTTACACAATATTTTTCAAATTTCTTAGACAGGTATTAGAAGTTTAACCCTTAGATGCCAGAAGCAAAACAAAAATAAGGCAAGTCACAGACATTTTAGAGAAAATAATACAATTGCAACAACATGAATGAATTTTGATAGAAAAAATTGAAATGACCAGATACAAGAGACATTAGAAACGGGTTTTTGTGAGAGCCACTAACAATGGGTTACAACTTCAATAATGTTTGCATATGTTATGAGAAATGTCACTCATCTTTGGTTATCTTCAACAGAATTTATGAACCTGCTAAAGGGCCCACCTGGGATCTGAACATTCTGCTTGTTAGCAGCACTTGATCTAGAGAAGAAATGGACTTAAAAACAGTTTCACAGAAGTTTGAACTTCAATTTTCCCAAAGATAAACTAAATGAAAAGGACTTTGGGGGACTAGGGAAGTTGTTGAAAACCTCATAACAATTCTGCAATTCTGATTTCATGTGATGATACATTGTCTCAGTCCTTACATCCAAAAAATCACTGGATTAACTTTGAAGCCAAACTGTTGAAAATGTTAATGCTAACATCAACATAAATTAAAGATAAAAAATATTAAATTTGGCACTCCTCACATTAAGGAAGCATGATTATGAGTACACACATGATTTGAGGCATTTAGACAAAAAAAGTGGCACATTCATTACATGCATTCAGGATAACTTCAGATTTAGAAATTCTTTCTTTTCTTTCATAAAGAAAAAAAGCCCCGAAAGACATGTTGCAAAATAAACAGAATGTTGTGAACAAGTGTCTGAGCCAATGATGAATAAAAACTAGACTTACAAAAGACACACTCATGGCAAATCACAACAAAATTTTCAAACAAATCTCCTCTCTTCTACAGTCAATGTGCAACAAGGAAACAATAGCTGCATTTACTTGCATTTAATCTGCGAGCTGCTTTCATAGGGTTGGACAAAAGTAAATTTTTGAAACTGAACATGCAGGTTACACACAAGTAAATACAGTAAGTGTTTGTTTTCCTACTAAGTAAAGACTATGTTCTTCAAGCAGGACAATAAATCCTTGTCCTAAAAAAGAAAATCAGTTCAGTCTAATAATAACACATTGTACAAACCATACAAAAACCTGCAGTGTGTTTTATCACACTAATTAGAAAGAATAAGTGTCAAATAAGACAAGCTAGACTTGTAACAACAACTACTTTGGCTTGGCCATGGTATTAACAAGAATACTTCAGAAGAAGAGACAAAACAAGTTTCTCTAATTCCAGAGAATAAAAAATGTACAAGTGGCCTTAAAAGGGCAACTATCTTTGTTTTTCTTTTAGTGAATAACATGATAACCCTGTTAGAACTGAGTTTTAAACATCAAAATAAAGTATTGGTGCAAAGCACACATGTTGACTTGCAAATTTAACACAATTTAAAAATTGTAAATAACAAAATTTGAATCAAATACTAAATGGAACAGTTAGCCAAACTGATTATTACATCACAGAATAAGTGCAATCCACATGGATTAGAAGCTCAACTAACTCCTTTAACCTTTCCCAACATCCATGGGAGAGGGCGAAAGAGAAGCATTTGCACCCGATGCTGGTGACATGGGTGGCGCTGGGGACATGGACATAGAGGACGGAGACATGGCAGGTGCTGGTGACATGGCATATGCTGGAGACATTGCTGAAGCTGGAGACCCAGCAGGGCCTGGGGAAGTTGCTGGAGCAAAAGCTGCAGGAACATATGAGTTGTGACTAGCCATCGGAGAAGCCCCTCCAACTACACTCAGCAAAGATCCAGCATTTGAGGGGATGGCCGGCTTGATGAACCTTTCTGATGTTCGTTGACACACCCTTCCAATCATACCCTGTTTAAAATAGAACAAACAGAATCAGTCAACAGAGTTGTTGAAATGGGATGAGTGCCAAGCCTCTCTACTCGACTCACAGGACTGACGGCGAGAGGAGGGGCCGGTGGGGACGAGGAACGCGGGAGGAAGCCCCCCACCACACTGTCCCTGTCCCTGCACGGAGGCATGGGGATGGGAGTGACCGGAGCGATGCCCCCAACGTGAGGATAAGCCGGCTGTCCGCATGCATAGCAACGGCCTAGGCCTGTTCCACAGGCCGGCCCTATGGGACCAGAGAAACTATCCCGCGAGTTTGAGCCAACCAAGGTCATCCCTGAACAGAACAGGTACATCAAAGGATTAGAGACATCTATAACCAATACATGTGATTTAAAATACAGTGGCTTCATCAAAACTCACCAGGACTGAGGGGACGTGATGAACTTGGAGATGGGTTGTAAGGAATGGGGCTGGACAATGTGCGAGATCGGATATTTCCGCCAGAAACAGCCATTTCATTGTAATAACGCTCTTCTTCCATTTCCAAACTAACAAAAAATACACATTGGGTAAGAGAACTTCAAATCTCCTGAACACTAGGCCAACAATATTTATATCATCCTACCTGCTCTCAGACTCTGACAAATGACGACATAGAGCTTCCCGTCTCTCCACTTCAAGCTGAAGCTTCCGTTGCAACCTTAAATTCTCTTCACGGATGTGACGTTCTTCATTCACGTAATGTTGCATTTTTTCTGTGTCTGTTAATAAACATCAGACAAATTATTTTAACTAGCATGTGAGCTCGTAAATCAAAGTGCCTATTAAGGACGGTACAAAAATATGGTGTATTATCAATAATTGAAAACTTACGTTCTTTCTCTGCAAATGACAACTGATGCCGAAGTTTGTCTACTTCACTGCGAAGAGTTTGAATGTGTATACTTAAGTTAGCAGCAGTATCACCATTGCTTATTTCTCGAGGAGATGTAGGATCTGACACAGGCTGATCAAGCTTAATTTGCAAAGAGCTAAAATTCAAATAGAGGGCATGGTTAATTAACTATCTGAAAGTAACAAATGTTCAAATCAAACTGAATGAAAGTGTACCGTTTTTCAGCTTCAAGCTTATCCATGCGTTTCCAGAGCCTGTTGACAAGGAGTTCCTGCTCTTGCTCAAGAGTATTTTCAAGTTCAACTTTCTCCCGGCGTAGCTGCTCAAGATTACTTTGCTTAGCTAAAGTTTCTGCTTCAAGTTTTTCAATTTTACGCATCAGTTTGTTGACAAGACACTCCTGTTCTTGCTCCAGGGTCTGTTCCAGCTTGCATTTCTCTTGGCGCAACTGAAATTTAAAAGTACATTCTTGTAAAGCAACAGGGTCAAAGACTATGCTGTCTGAAGAAACATTAGAAAATAATACACACTTGATTTAATTTCCTGGAGAGGTCATTAGTCAAACATTCTTCCTCTTGTTCGTAGTTCAGAGCCAAAGTTTCTTTCTCCTTCTTCAAAGCTTGGATCTTCTTCATGAGCGTATTACTGATGAATTCTTCCTCCTGCTCAGCCTTGGCTTGCTGTGAACAAAAAGATACCATCATTCAGCAACTCGAAAGGCGATTGGATGTAATAACTGTTCAATATGAACAGACAACATTGATCTAGAAGCAAGATATAAATATTGGGTAAAAAGCTAAATAAATGTTCAAATCAAAACACTGTAGAAGGCTAATTTTGAGACATATGAATGAAACTAACAACTGAGAGAAAACAATATAAAAATTGTTTGACAACTATCAGTGCTAGGGAAGGTGGCTAGGGGGCTAACCAAACTTCTCTCACAACCTGGTTGAAAGGCGCACAGTCAAGCCGAAACTGAACCCAGTGCTGAACATCATACCTTCTACAATGTACGAGAACAAAATACAACGCGTAAATCAAGCAGAATAAAGAGCAACTCACAATAATGACTGATGCTTGACGAAGACCCTTGTTCTCCTCCTGAAGTGCCTTGACCCTTAGCTTGTATGTTTCCAACTCCACTTTAAGAACACGATTTTGTTGAGACAGGGAGTCAATTCTCTTTTGAAGCTGCTCCCGAGTCACAGGACAGGGAGGCATCATTATAGGACCGCCGTCTATCGAGCTGGAATCACTCTCACTGGCACTGTCCGCCATGTTTCCCCTAAAAACGTGGGTGTACACAAAACGGAAAGAAAACAAGGCCCAAGACAACGATTGTAGTCGATTCGGTAGGCCACGTATCTCAGTACATTTCAGTGTTCTAGAGGGATCTAGGAAGAGACGCAAAAATGCTTCAAACGAGAAACAAGCTGTATACTTTCGTCGCTACGACGATAAACTTCAGAATCCGACCGACAGAAATGAAGTTGGAGGGGGTGCGAAGGAATGTTGTCAGCTGTTTTGTTTCAAGTTGTCAAAAATTCATACTCATTCACATTGCAGTTCAATGAGCTTGATCTTGGTAGTGTTGGTAACACTGCTGTTCAACAGTTCCTCTTGAACTGCAGAAAGATTTTGTGGTTAAGCACTGTTATAGTTGTGGTTGTCAACAACTTTTCCTGACTTAAAGACTAGTATGTCGTCTCCTATTCTAATCAATGTTGAACTTAAGGATGCATTAACAGCTTCTAGTTGCTCCCACCTCGCAGTAGAATTTTTTAAACATATTGCATATCAGCGACAGCAAATACCATTCCCATACAAACAATTAAAGTCTGTTTTGAGTAGAAAAATAGAACAGGTAATTATAGTGACGGCTTACTAAACTGATGGAAATCATTGGATTGATCTGAAGTTGCCTTTCAACTTTTCCCTTTCTGCATACAGGATTCTTCGACTGTCACTGGAGCTCGAAGTTGCCAGGCAGAAAATGAATTTATTAAAGTCAAAGGAATGTTTGAATCTATGCAAAACGCATTTCAGGTATGATTGGTTGTGGTTGTATCACAATCATTTACCAACACTGTGTCATTCCCTATTTGTTTAAATTTAAGAATTTGGAAGAAGAGCTATGTTCCCATGAAGGGATGATTCAAGAAATAGCGATGATCCTTGGAGCCACACCACTGAGCCCTCGAGATGTTTATAGATTTCAATTTCCTCCTCTTCTACTTGGGCACCTCGACTCCAAACACCCTCACCAAAGCAACTTGCTCTCATTATTCCGGTTTGTGATATTTGGCTGATTTGATGTGAGGATATCTCTTGAAATATTTGTAGTATTAGTCAGATAATGCCTCAATTCACTTTAATTCCAGGTGCTTGATTTCTTCTGAAGATCTTCATTCATTTTTCAAACAACCTTTGTCACCAACCAATATGTTCTTATTTATTCGCAAAAATAACACCATTCTCGCTACATCTGCCTTTACTCCAAAGGAGCGCTACAATCTTCCTACTAGTGGAAAACATGCTATAATTCGATTGATACCCCCCAGTGATCCTCCAAAATGCATTTGTGGAGGGACTAACATCTATAGCGATGATGAAAGTGATACTGGTGAAGTGAAAAGGCCTATTGATAACAATGAGGTGGAAAATTGTAGTTCACTCTGGTTTCAAGCCCATCAAACATTGAAGGGTTTCAAGGATGTAAAAATAAATGGCGTCGCAGCTTCTACAATGTGGTTACAAAGTAGATAATATTTGTAAGCTAATTTTGTTAGAATAATTGTTGTACCTCAATGAAAATCAAAATCAATTTTTCAAGGCATGATTTTAAGAGAGATATATCTCAATGTTTTCAAGACTGATTCATATTAATTTTTTGTATCTCTTTTCCCCATATTAGTTGTGTCCACCTGATTTGGATCATTGTTTAGACATTATCCATGTCTATGCTATTTTTTTAAGCATTTTGCTTGATCCATTATTGATAATGAATTCTATAATAAAAAGACATTTTTAGAACAAGTGTATCTTATTTCCTTTGCTTTTAGGTGATATGAATGCACAGGGCTAATCTATTTTCTTGTACTTAATTCTCAAGTGCTCACAAAGAGAAGATGTCTTCGTCTCCATGAATACAACCTGCTCCAAAGTACCATCATCATTGAGAGACCATGTGCGCTCAAGCTAAAACAGAAAACAAAAATGAGATTCTCATTACACTTGAAGATAAATTATCCGAATCTTTAGCATTTACCTTTGTTACTTCCGGCTCTTTGGCCCATGACATTCGAGAAATTTGAGTTGACTTCAGAGAAACTTGATTACCAGATATGTTTCCCTCTTCTAACGATGTCAGACCTAGATAAGAAATTCTATTTCAATATATGTTGCTACGTCAGACAGTACTCTAGATTTTAGGGAAAACCATACCAAAATTGTGAGCCACCATGAATGCAACTTGATCAGTTCCTGGTTTAATTCGCAGATACCCAGTCTCCATGTGCATTGCAACCTTCTTTTCTGGATGCCATGAATGCGACGAATAATTGAGAAAAGGTTGACCAAACGATGAAAATTGAATCCGCTCGCAGTAAGTGAAAGGGTTGATGGTAGGAAAGGATCCCTTCCCAGCAGTGGCTTCCCAGGTACCAACAATCCACAAAATTGGTTTGAGGGAATCGTTAACAGGCTTCCCCTGCAATACTGCAAGTGTGAAAAGAGATTCATTAGTTTCATGACAAACCAGACATGTGCAGACTAGACAAAAAGTTATTAAGCCAACCAAGGACGTTATTATCATAGCCTAGGTACTTACCTTCAGGTAGGGATGTCATTTCTCCCACAAACACAAAAATTTGAAACAAAACGCTTTCTTTAACACAACGATCTTCAGGCTGTGAGGGCGCGAGTCGCGCAATACTATTTTTTCATAACGACCTTATGAGAAATTCATCCTTCTTTCTTTTTCACGACCACAAAATTTAAGCGATTTGACAGGAAGAAAAAAGAATTTGTTCATAAGTGGTTTAACACTTTACTCTCTGTTAGCTGATCAATTCAATAAAACGTCATCTTCGGCCCTTTTTTTAAAAATACAAATTAGGTTGGTAATCGCTTGTTCTGCAGCTGTTGTTTACATCATGGCGGTCCACGAGCATACCTTTTTAAGTTTAAATTGCTTTTTTATGGGAGTTTCGTCATGTCTTGGTCTTTTAATTGTTCGAACTTGGACCCACATAGCTGCGTTATTGCCCGCTTTTCTCTGTGTTGACTACATCTATTTAAAGGGATTCCTGCGAGATGAGGAGTATAGGGTAAGATAAGCACCCTTTTCTGTCATTTTCATCTCTCCCACTCTTACTATTTTGAGTGAATTTTAAATATTATATTCATTTTAGGTTGGAGTTAGAGCTACATTTCTAGGTGTTGTATTTGCAATTGGTGTTATAATTGTTGACCTCGGATCCAGTCCCCTCAAACCTCTCGGAGTGTAAGTTTTCTCGCCATGACATGATGAATGTTTATTTATCATTACATTTGTTCTAGGTACCATTTCTTAAAAATTACAAATTTTTATATCTCTACGTTTTATTTCAGGCATACCTGTGTGCTGTCTATGTTTCACTTCTCTGAATTTTTGGCCATTGCAGTCACTAACCCAGGCACACTTTCCGTTCGCTCATATGTATTAGACAATGGTTGGGAGTATAAGGTAGCTGCTATAGCATGCTGGCTTGAATATTTTGTGGAATTTTATCTTTTCCCAGGTTAGTCAACACACATGTTTACCTTAAATTTTTGCAGGGTTTTAGTAAATTTCTAATATATGCCACTTTATGTTTCTGCTTAAAAGGTTTAAAAACAACATGGTACTTAAATGCTATCGGATTGTTAATGTGCGTCTCTGGTGAGTTTTTGAGAAAACTCGCTATGTGGACTGCAAGCACAAATTTCAATCACGAGGTTCAGAGTGTACACAAGAAAGACCATGTGCTCATTACTGACGGAATCTACAAGTACATGAGGCACCCATCATATGTAGGATGGTTTCTCTGGTCTGTAGGATCACAGGTAATTTCCGGTTTCTGTTTACAATTAGTATTGTACCGACTTTAAAGCGAACAACTTAAGAGTTGTTTAACTTAACCCTTCTTTACTTTTTACAGATTTTAGTTGTGAACCCCATTTGTTTGATTGGATACACTTTTGTGAGTTGGTCATTTTTCAACCAGCGAGTGTTTTATGAAGAGATAACTTTGCTGAACTTTTTTGGGAATTCGTATTACAATTATCAGCAGACTACAGGAACTGGACTGCCCTTCATCAAAGGATATGTTCTCCCTGAAAGCGATATTGATGCTGATGACTCAAACACTTCTTAAGGCCATATAATTTTACTTCACTGTCTCATTGACCTTCCCCTACTTTGTGGTCAGCTCCATAAATTGTTTTCTCACATTTTAGTTTGTACTTCCTATTGTTAACTTCTTTTCTTCGACAAACTGTGTGACTGTATGCGTTTAATTAATAAGCTAACTTGTGCCAATGTATACTTGCATTTCATGTGCCCATTAATATTATGTGTGTATAAATGTATAGAATGTCTATGTGGAGCATAATTTTCTCAGGAAACGAGGCAGACCCTTATCAGGTATTACAAAAACAGAGTGGTAGTGTGATGCCATACAAATGTCACAAACCATGTATCAATTTTAATTGTGTATTTGTCAAAAATGAGTTTCTAATTTTCGATTTGTTTTTATGGGTGAAAAATGACATTAGGACAGCAAACCTATTTTTGAACAATTTGTACTTACCGTTAGAAGTAAGTACTATATGACTGACTCTAATTTTATGTTGTGTTTTTTCCAATCATTTCTCATTTAGTACCAAATTGTTATTATTATTACCAATTGAAACCTAATGTAATATGTTGTTTGCTTACACTCTTGTAATGTTTGTTTTGCTGTGGTAACCTGTGATATGTTTAGTTGTATTAAAAATTGATTTTTGTCCCTTCATATTCTTTGCCTTTTTCAAAATCCCGGAACGACGGGAGGACTGTGGATTTCGAAACTGCACCTTCCCTTCCCGCGCCAAAAATGGGGCCGCCGTGCCGTTTCTTGACGGGGTGGCGCGCCTTGGCGGGGCCGGCCGTGATGCGTGTAGATAAGGGTGCCTACCGGGCAAGCTCGCGCTGTGCAAGCGGGCCTGTGCCTGTGTCCTTGTCGCTCCCGCAAGGACGCCGCCAACGCGGGCGAAGGCGGGTGGCTGGACCCTCGCACGCGGCCGCGCACTGCGCACCGCCACCGGGCCTGGCGCCGTAGGGAGGGCCGCCCGCGCGCACCGCACTTCCCCGTCGGGCTTCGACCAGCCACCGCGACGCGTCGACATGGCCGCCCCCAGGTCCACCGTGGCGCTGTCCTTCGCCCTGACCGTGGCCGTGCTGCTGCTGGCCGTGCACGCCCAGCCCGCGCACCACAAGGGTAAGGGTAAGCATCCAGGCGCGCCGCATTGGGGGTAGCAACTTGGCCGCGCTGGCGCCGCCGTGCTCTTGCTGCACATGTCGTTCTCGAACTTGCCCAGCAGGCAAGACCACTGCCGCGAGGAAGGCGTCCAAGTCCACGGGGAAGCACGCGACCACGCACAAGGCCTCGTCGACGGCCGAGACCGGCAGCGGCAGCGGCACCGAGGCGGGGGTGGAGGCCGGGAGCTCGGCGGCTGTCGAGGCCGCCAACACGCCCCCCATCCCAGAGGCAGGCAACACCCCGCCCATCCCGGAGGCCGGCAACACCCCGCCCATCCCCGAGGCCGGCAACACAGCGGCGCCCGCGGAGGCAGGCGCCACCGACGCAGCGCCCCCGCCAGCCTAGACCAGCTCGACCAGCACCATCAGTACCCGGAGGCTGCTCGCCATTCGTACCTGCCTCGCCCAGCAACCAGATCAAAATAATTTCCAAATATTCTGTTGTCCAGATACAAAGTTTAAACAGGCAATTACACAGCTTTATATAACCATTATTCAACATAATATTTTTATTTTTCAACATCAGTCTCAAGAAAATATGTTTTCATATAGCTATGAATATTTCTAAGAGTAAAACCGAAATAAGTAACTGAGCATGAGCCCACTTCTATCTTACCAGGAAAATTGATTAAATCTGACCTACATTTAAAATTGATTTCTTTGACTCCATTGACTGCATTAAATTACCATAACTCAGACAAAATCAACATCAGTCATAAACATGAGAATAATGATCCTGAAATAGTTGGATGTATGAATCCTTTTCACTCTGGGTCATCTGAGCGACCAAATCATCATTGACTTCACTCAGAGGCACGATTCGGCCACCAACTGATACTGTTGGCTCCATGTCATCGTCATCTGAATCCATGATTTCTGAAGAGAAAATTGAAAAATTTAGTCACACGGGTCTATTGGAAATGTTGTGTATCACTTTTGAAAAAATCTTCTGCATGTAATGAAAGACCTTACCTGGCTCAGCTTTCACTATGTTGTCAAGGCTTTCTGATTTGATTCCTAAAGCTTCTGCTGCAGTAACAGATGCAGCACTTGGTGCTGCTTCGGCGGGTCTCTCATGGGCCAGTAACACCGACATGATGTCCTCATTTGTTGCTGAGTTTGTCTTAGCCGAATTCATGGATACTGATGATCTTTCTGCAGCAGCAGCCACTGCTGCCATGTCTGGTAACCCACTGTCCATGCGATCAGCCTAAGAAGAGATAAAACACATTGATGAATAAAATCAGGAATCAAAGTACCCCTTATATAGTAGATACCAAATAACAAAAGCTATGTACCATTTGGTCGCTTGATGACATGACAGTACTTTCCACCATCCAAACTGGCCTTTCTTTTCGTGGTGCACCAGAAGCATTTGCATTGGCATCCTCATCTCCAATAGTAACATCAACCCTTGCTTCTTCCACAGCAAAGCCATGACCTCTAGTAGCTTCTCCGGACCAGTTCTCTCCCGCTGGTCTAAGACTAGAGCCCTTCTTGAGGTCAAGCCTTAAAAAGCAAATAACGAAAATCCATGAAAAATGCAGTACATATGGGAGTTCCAATTTTAAGACAGTAGATAAATAAATACCCTCGAATAGTATTGATGTCAACAGGCTCAGGTTCTAAAATTTCTGGTGCTAATTTGATGCCCTCTACTTCCCGTAACAGTATATATAAAGGTTCTAGTTGTTCATTAAATTTTGCTAGCAGGAGACGAGAATCCTTTTTAGGCATAGCAGATTGATCTTCTTCAACAACTTGACGACAATAAGTACACCTAAACTCCCCGGTTTCCATGTCAAATAGTTGATCTGCCTTTAAGATAATAAAAACAATAATTAGCAAAGTTTAATAAATTCAATTGCAATAGTTTCTCAATAAGCGGAAAAAATTACGTATTTTTGTACCTCTAGATCAGTGAATGTTTTCAAGCAGCCAGGGCAGCGAAAACTTGCTCTACTTGTAGCATCACGTTCTTCCGTTTCCATACGTTTTCTCATCATATCCAGTTTGTACTTCACAACGTTGACAAAAGTCTGTAGAATAAAGCATTATAGTGAATTTTAAAAAGTAAAATGAAAATAGGATGAGCAGTTTAGAAAACGAAAACCATACCTTGTAATTAATAAAATAATAGTTGACTTTCTGAGCCTTTCCATCTGGCCCAGTCTCCATACGCAACCTTACTTGGATGAACTTATCAGCCCGTAAAGATGCTATTCTAGCGCGAAGCATTTTTCTTTCGAAACGGAGGAGTTCACAGATGTCATCTTCTTTCATACATGGGTTCCTCACGAGCATATCAACCATGAGGGAGTCCTCAATGCTGTAGAACCCACGAACAACTAAGCGGGCCAGTTGTTTGAGGCTGCTGGGGACCTCAGTCACAAGCCTTTCGTCTGACATGTTGAAGATGTGAAATGATCCTAAATATTAACAGTCTGTAAAGAAAAAAAGAAGATCAACGTGAGAGTGGACTTTACAATTTGATTAAATGAATGGGCTGGTTGGGTTAACTGCATGAAATCCTAGAGGCTAAGATATCTGTTAGAATAAGCTTAACACATTCAGTGCGGAAAGATGGAGTCTCATGTAAGAATATTACATTAGGTTAGCTAGTTAAGCTACGATACAGAACCAATATCTTTTTTAAAAAATCGAAATATGTCAGACAGTAGTCTTGGAAAGGTTAGAAGTTAGCACTCAACACTTAGGCGCCTCACCACAGAAAAAGTTTGGCGTTCGTAGAAGCGTGATGAACCTGCCTGTGTGAAAACATTTTCGTTTTCTGAATTGAACCGAACAAGGGCCACTGATTACGGTCTAAAAAGAAAGAAAATGCGAAACAACCACCAATGTTGACACTTGTCAAAACAAAACACCCGCCGCGTAACGCCGCGATTTTTCATGGCACCAAAAATGAGAAATTTATAGCCGTGGAAGAATTTTTCATGAAGGAGCAGCAGAAGCAGAAGACAAGGCAAGGCAGTCAAATCGTGCTGCAAGAAGAAATGTTCTTTTTCTGAAGAATATATTTCTTGAAGTCTACCAGCAAACATGAATAAAGTTCCGTTCTGGGTCAAAGTGCTCACCGGTGTTGGTGTAGGAGCGGGTGCCTCTGTCGTTGTGAAGTGAGTAACTCTTGTACACCTTTTGGGTGATACACCTGAAAGGGTTAGCTGCTGATTCTCTACTAGTTCTCATTTATTTTCTTATTTATTTAGTCTGATTGTATTGGTTTATGTGTGTCTTCATTGCTGCTCTTTCGAACTCATTCAACTTAGGTTTTTGTGGAATGATGTTTCCTTTGTTTTCATTTTTGGTTTTGTTCACAGAGAACGACTTTCAGGCCCAGATTTTGATGCTCCTGTCAATATTGGAGGAAAAGTAGCAGTCGTTACAGGAGCCAACTCTGGCATTGGGTTTGAAGTCGCTAAAAATCTAGCACAACGAGGGGCAAAGGTTTATTTAGCCTGCAGAGACAAAGATCGGTGTGCTACGGTACGAATGCTTATTTCTAAAATTAAGCTTCTTGTCCTGTATTGTGTTTTAGTAAAAAAAGCACTTACCACATTATTGTTACCCCTTTTCAGGCACGAGAGGAAATCTTTTTAGAGACAGAAAACAAACACATATATTGTAGGTACTGTGATCTAGGATCCTTCGAATCCATCAAGAGATTTGTACGCCGCCTGCAAAGGGGTGTGTCTTTTCAACGTTTTCTTTGAGAACATCTTTTAATGTTTCAACATAATTCAAAACAAAACATAATTTATTGTCATTTTCTTTACATTTCAGATGAAGAAAAAGTGGATATCTTGATCAACAATGCTGGTGTGATGTGGGGTGAACGTGAAACAACTCAGGATGGCATTGAGACACAGTTAGGTGTTAACCATATGGGCCACTTCCTTCTGACAAACTTGTTGATTGATAAGCTTAAGGTATTAGTTTCAAATGTTTCCTTTAAAAAAAAAAAATCATCATTGTAACTGAAATGAATTTTGTAAAACTTTTTAAATTTATTTCAGCAAGGAGCACCCAGCCGCATAGTCAATGTTGCCAGCACAGCACACTACAAAGGCAAGATAAATGTCCAAGATTTAAACAGTGCAGATAACTACAGTGAGAGTGGGGCCTATAATCAAAGCAAACTTGCAAATGTCCTCTTTACAAGAGAATTGGCTAAACGTCTTCAAGGTAGGCTGAGGAATTCGAGTATTGGCAAGCTTCAAAATGTTCACAGTTTAATTTATGGCACAAATTGTTTTGATTTTCTTTCAGGAACTGATGTTACTGTAAATGCTGTTCACCCGGGTATTGTGGATACCAACATCGTTCGCAACACAGGGTTTTTCACAACTTCATTGATGTTCATTTTACGACCAGTTGTGTGGGCTTTCATTAAATCCCCAAGGCAGGGTGCTCAGGCAGTGTTGCATGTAGCTCTACACCCAGACCTCCAGCAAACCTCAGGGCAGTACTTCAAGTAAGTACATAGCACATCAATCGTGAAGTTTTCTTCCCTTTCCCACTTTTTCTAAAATATTTGCCTTATCTGTGATTTCTAACAGTTTACGTGAGATTGCCGAGCCTTCAAAGGATGCGTTGAATGACAAGTTGGCACTGTGGCTTTGGCTTACCAGTGAAAAGTGGACCAAGTTGGAGGAAATGAGGAAAGAATTGAATGTTCAACCACTGCTTCTCCCTGGAGAAACGGTTGGAAATGTGCCTTTACCTAATATGAAGCAGAGGGCAACTGCTTCAAAAGTTGTTTCCTCCAACAAGGATATTATTAGTGATGTGAACTCCAATGTTCTTGCCTCCTAGCACCGGCTTCCGTGCCCCCGCGGGCACTATAACTACTCCTTGTAGACTGGATCACTTTTTTCAATAAATTAGAAATTTGAGTTTCTTCTGGGAAGTTTTGTTTATTTTGCACATTTTTTGTTCCTTGCTTGTTTTCTTGAATTTTTTCATTCATTTTGTAAAGAGTCTCCCCCCCCTTGTTTCCCCCATTTTTAGTGCAGTTTTGTTTTTACTTTTTGTCTTTCCTTTTTTCCTCTGTTCTTATTCTATTCTGTCTTCCTCCCATTTTCTTTTTGGAAGTGATCTACAAGGATGAAGTTATTCGGATACACACAAAATTTGCCTCCCAATTAATTAGGGAAGGATTTGTTCTGCATTTGATGAAGAGCTGTGAACTGGAAGTTTCCTAACTGTAGCATACTGAAGCGCCCTGAGCCCTGGTGAGACACGGGAAAATATCCCTCAGAGATTTAATTCTTTTTATGGGAAAAGGGGTTAGCAAATGTAAATATTGTAAAAACTTGACAGCATGTAAATGATATAACCGATATTTATGGTGGGTTCCTGACACCGTACTTGGGTCGGAGGGCCGCGCCGCCGGTCCCGGTCCAATTTGCTCATGGTGTAGTGAAGGACATCGCGCACATGCTTTTATCAAATTACGAGCTCTAAAAATACATGCGGCGGTCTAGCAAGCTAGCAAGGCTGGTAGATACAAAGTCGTTCTGCACGCGTCGCCTGGCGGTGAGGCTGGCCGGGCTGCCGGGCCTGGAGGAGAGACAATGTAGCGGCCAAGACTGGCGGGGCACGGTCCCTGCGGCCCCTGAGGGCAGGCAACCCAACGCACTCGTGGTGCACAAGCTGTCTAATGGGTTGCCTACCGCTGATGAGGTTCGCCCCCCACCCCCGCAGTTGACGCAGTAGCAGCCCAATGTTCCAAACGCTGAAAGAAATGAGTTTTCTTTATCGTCGAATAAAACGCTATGTCTTTCTTCGTGCGGCGTTCAGTTTCTTACCTTGAGGCCCCAACCAGCACAACATGAAGCGGACGTGGTGTCATGGTGCTCCGTCACAACGGTCTTGATGTGCGAACCGCGCTGTTGCCATGGGCGAGGGGTGGCGTGGTGGCGTGGCCTGCCCCTGCCCGCCCTTGCCGAGACGCACGTGATCAGGACCATCATTTGGCGAGGTCGGTTGTAGGTATGCCTGGTACTCGCAATGCCGAGTCAAGCCGGCCGAGCGATTTCGAAGAGTCGTTTCATTGACACGTCTCTGTTGCACTTGTACAGAACGCCCCACGAGTGCGAGAGAGGCGGACAGGGCGACGAAAGCAGTGTGCTGAATCAGCACTGCGGTCTCCGCGCGTGTGAATGACGCCCCTTGACTAGCCCGGCCAAGAGCGGCTGGGCCAAAGCCGCAGGCTGATTCCGGAGAGGCGTTCCGTCTCTGTCGCACTCATGCGGCGTGCCGTGGGGGTGCGAGAGAGACAGCGACGCAACGACTCTCCGGTGGCCGCGGTGCCGCGGTGCCCGTCTGCAGGGCAGCAGGGCCACTGCCAAACACACAGGAAGCGCACGCGCTGCGCACGCGTGGAAATGGGAGTGGGACTTCCGCACGCCCCGCGTATAGCCGCGCGCGCCTCGCCTGCGGAGTGGCTCCGAACCGTATAGTTTGGTCGCTCTGCCTCGCTCGCACTCGTGGGGCGACTCGCGGGGGTGCGAGAGAGACAGAGCGGTGACACGATGGGCTGGCCTTGGTCGTGGGGCGTCACGTCTAGAGAATGCCCGCTGGTTACCATGGCCCGCACCGCCCGCACCGCCGCCCGATAGAGCCACAGTTATCATGAACCCGACTATTTCCATTCACAGCGACGGGAAAGTGAAACCACCAGCACACTGCCCTTCTCCAAGGGCGGTCTGAGCGAATCGGGAATCGAGACAGCCTTTTTGCCACCGCACCGGGACTGATGGACTGATGCAGCGGCGCGCGTGGCGAGGGCTTCTCATCCGTTACGGAGAGGGGAGGGGGAGGGGGCACCCACGCGCCATATCGCGCATGGAGGAACAATGTAGGAGGCTGCGATAGCGGGCGTGCCGTCCGCGGCCCGTCGCGTCGAGAGGGGCCTGGAGCCCCAAGAGGAAATGGGCCTGCGGCGAGGAGCAGGTGAGCGGCGGCGGCAGCGGAACAGGAGACAGTGTTGTTGGACTATCTCGTCCGCGCGACCGCGGGGGTGGGTAAGCTCCACAGCCAGCCACACGCACGTGCAGCAGCTCAGGTTGGCAACGAACGGGCAGAAAAGAGCGGCGGGACCCCTCGAATAGTGATTCCCTATGGCTCTGCCAAGTGGAGAAAGTTTTCAGCTCCGTTGACTTTATACAATAGGCAACCAGCAATGCGGGCCTGGGGAATTTTCTTGCTACTCTACTCACGCGGCAACACCGGCACTGCGGGTTGGTTCCTGAAAGTACGTCACCCCTTTCCGCTAACGTCGGCGTCGCTGCTTCGCGCCATGAGGAAAAGGCGCACACACTGTCAGCATCCCGAGAGATGGCAGGCAGCATGGCAGCCGCACGGGCGATTTGCGTGAGGAGTGGTCTGTCTGTCCGACTGCCTTACCGTCTGCCTCCCCGTCTGTCTGTCCGTCTGGCTGACTGACTGCCGTGGTCCTGGCGGGGCGGCGTGCGGCGTCTTTGTCTGAACCGCAGTCGGAGTTTTCATGGACCACCAAGAATCCTCCGCAGCCACTGTCTGCAGACTGCATGCAGTCGGCGAGCCGCCCGGACCAGACACCTTCGGCGCCACCGTCTGCGGGGAACGGCTGCAGCGTTGCATTGTGGCTAAAAGGTTCGAGCTCGATCAAGCGACTTACAACCTCCGCGAACTCCGGACGAACGAGTATTTCGGAGACACATCTAATGGTGTGCACATGGGCGGCGCAGCGTCCCGCGGCGTGCACTGCTGCAGCGTGGCCTCGAAGGAGGAGGACTCGTCGTGCAGGCGGAGGGCAAAAACGGGTAGGGGATCCGTCTGCTGGGCTTGCCGCTTGCCGCTTGCCCGGCTTGAGGAAGCCAGAAAACCCTTTGACGGACTGAATGGAGCCGCTACCCCTTCCCCTTCCACTCGCACCGCCACGTCGGAAAAAACTGGTGAACCAGGCTATCCAGCCAGGGAGGGCATGGGGGCAGGGGGCGCAACTCGCCTCGTACGGAGCATGAACGAGGGCGGCTGGGCCGCGGAGTACGGAGTGTATGGAGCCCCCCGAGTTGAATGGCGGCCGAGGAGGGCGAGGAGGGGGCCCCTCCTCCCCCCGCGCGGCACGCCGGCGGTGCTGGCGGTCCTGCGCCCCGCTCGGCCTCTGCTCGGGCTCGGCGGGGCTCTGCCGGCTCTGCCTCTGCCACTCGGCCTCTGCCTCTCGGCTTCCCGACAGCCTTCCTGGCCGAGGCGTGGCGCGCCTCAGTGCTGTGAGGACCGGGCCGCGCGAAGTACGCGAACCACCGGGCCAACGGCGTGCTTGGAGACGCGACGGACGAGGGTTCGGTCCAGGACGCGTGTGCGGGGCGCGGACTAACAAACGTGACAAGGATCCAGGATTATGTGACACTGCAAGGCAAGCCCTGACGGAGCTCGCAACGCGTTCCGCATCTCAGAGGAGGGAAGCCCCAGCGCGGGCTCACCGGCTTGGCCATGGACCTCCACCGACTTCTCAGGTGAGTTCGTGTTGACGCCCGCCCTGCGCCGCGGCGGTGTGTTTGTCCCACTGGTGCGTTCAAGTCACCCGGCCGCGAGCGGCGCGCTGACCGTCCGGACCGTCCCCGAGCAGACCGAGTCCGGCCAGCCACCCGGCCCGCTCTCCATGCAGTGCCTTCCCGCCCTTCTCTCTCTCTCGGTGAATGATCGTTCGATGTGCCCTTGCCGCCTTGCCGCCTTGCCCTCATGGCGCTTCTTATGGCCGAGTCGACAACGGCCAGCCCGACCCGGCCAGGTCGTAACCAGTGCGTCCCATCCGCGTGCCAGCCCTGCAGCCCGCAAGAACGTTTACAGATATGGCTCCCTTGATTAATGAGGCCCGCCTCTTGCCTCTTCTTCTCTCGCCTGTCCGATTCCGATGCAGAACAGTTCCCTCCGTCTCTCTCGCACTCGAGGGCAGCTCCGTTCGAGTGCGAGGCAGGCAGGGCGACGAAAGCAGAGTTCGGAATCAGCTTGCAGGGCCCGCAAGCCTCATGGAGGCACCTGTCCAGGACGACTCTTTTTTGGTCCCGAGTCACAGCCACAGAGGCGTGCGCGCTGCAGACATTATTCGCTGCATTTGTTTCCATAAATGAGTCGCGCTGTCTCTCTCGCGCCCCTGCGCGACGCCGCGACGCCCCTTGAGTGCGACGGAGACATCGGCCCTTCGGAACGAGACGGACGGGCGACGCGAGAACAACCCGTTCGGCGGCACGGCGGCGGCACTGCCGGCTTTGCACATTTCGGGGCCAGCCGGCTGCAGAGGTCCTTCCAGGAAGACGACGTCCTCCTCCACCTCCTCAAACGCCCCGCTGCCGCCGCCCTGCCGCCACGCCGCCACGCACGGCTCCGGGCCGGAAGTAGAAAAAGAGTGCCTTCGCTGTCGACGGGGAGGGCGTGGCGCTTTTTGCTACGACAGAAAGTCCTCAACAGGTTCACTTGAACGCGCGAAAAAGTGCAAACTCTAGACGTGTGGCGCTGCGGCGCTGCGCGGGGTGGTCTGGTCCTGGTCGCGGGGTGGCTTCGCTTGCTTCGCTTGCTTCGCTTCGCTACGGCGCCCCGCTACGCGCCGCCACGCCGCCGGCCTCACATGGCGTGGGGGCTTGGGGGCCACATGGCGGGAGGGGTGTGACGGTGTGACCAACCCCAGCTGGCTGTGCTAGCTGCGCTCCGTCAAGTCCCACCAGACCACGCCCACCCACGCCCGCCCCGGCGCGCCCGCCCCGGCGCCAGCGCGCAGACGGCCAGACAGGAAAGGCGGCAACTTCCCCAAATTTAAAGCTGCACTTCATTCGTCGAACAACTTAAAAAAACGCGATCATTCTTCGATGGAAATATAAAATGAACGCAAGTGTGATTTCCTTGCGTCCAAAGCTCGCTCCATTATGCTCGTCCTTCCCGGGACTGGGGCCCGCTTCGGTGAATGGTGCGAACGGCGGACACGTGCTGGGCTGGTTGCAGGGCCGCGGTCAGGGCTTTCGTCGCTCTGTCTCTGTCGCACGCGTACGGGACTCTCCACGAGTGCGAGAGAGACAGAGCGACGATGGAGCACTGTTCGGAATCGGACCGCAGAATGGCGGAGGATCGCTGGACAAGAATAGCGGCAACGCACAATGGACCGGTCCTCCCTTGTTTCGAGTGGAGGAGAGGACATCTTTTTATTGTCTCTCGTCTGAAATGTCCCTAATTTCTTCTCACACGCGCTGCTTGCATCTGTTGTCACGCGTCCCGAAGGATTCCGAACGGTCGCTCTGTCTCTCTCGCACCGCTATGGGACGCTCTGTGCGTGCGAGAGAGACAGAGTGACGACAGCACTGTTCGGAATCAGCCTGCTGCAAGGCGCGAAACGGACACACATGCGAGTGCATTGTGCGTGCCATGCATGCGGCCAGAAACTCTCATTTGTTCTGTGGGCCGTTGTCCACGCCCTGTTATCGTCAGAGTGAATAGAGTGACTAAGGTCGGCCATTTTCCGCGACCCGTGACCCGGACCGCGCTGAAGGTCAGTACGGGCTTATCAGCCTCGATGACGGTATGATAATGAGGATGATGATGGATGACGTCATCACTCCTTTGATTCGCGTTCCTGCGTTGCCCATTCAGGTGCAAGGCTTGACCGGCCTGACTCGTAGCGACCGATTCGCGATCTCCACCTGGGTGTGACTTTTTCTCTGACCCCCCACGGGGATCCTCGCGTTGTCGTTAGTACCCGATGACAGCAGGTAGTCCGGGCCCTTGTCCCTCACTAACGGAAGACCCGAAGGTCACTGCACGACACCCATACAAACCCTTTCCCTTTTTTGCTTCTTCTCATTCCCCTCTCCCTTTTCTGCTGTTTTTATAGTAGCGGCCCAACAGGTAGACAGCCTGCCTCCTCGCCGCTTCAGGTGAGAAGACAGTGGTCCTTTATGGCCGAGCTTCGTCTCGGAGACTCAAGGGTTGCCAATTACGCGTTGCGCGAAAAGGATTGGGCTCTCGAACTTGACCTTCAGTGTTTTCCGCCACGCCACTGAATCAGCATAGTTCCCGAGCACCAATTAGCTCCCCTCTCGACAAACGCGACGACAAATCCCGGTGCAACAAGTGGAGTAAGGAGTTTTCTGGTTTTTTGCTCCGGAAAGGGGAGACATGGCATGTTTTCGACTCGACACAAGACAGGAGTGGGTGGGGGTGGGGGGTGAGGGCGCTCCCTGGCTGGGGGGCCTGGGGGCTGAAGCCACAGCAGCCTTGAGGCCTCGCTTGAGGCTCCCCGGGCACCGACAGGCAGCCAACGCAATCTGTCATGAGTGCCGCGGGGTGGGAACTGGAGGCTGGAGACCCCTCCAGAGACCACCAGACGCATCTACATGCCGCAGCGCAGCAGCGTCGGAAGCTCTCCAGGATCATGCACTCCTGGAGAGCGCCACGCCACGGTGTCCAGGAGACTTATGCCGCATGCTCGGCATGGGGGGCCCTGCTGGGCTTGGGCTGACTCTGACTCATCGCTCTGTCTCTCTCGCACTCATGGGGCGTCCCGTAGGGGTGCGAGAGAGACAGAGTTGCTGTTCGGAACCGGCCTGCTGCTCGCTGTCCCGGTGGGAAACTGGAGCCCCTCGCCGTCAAGAGGCGTGCGTGCCTGGTGGTTAGCGCGTCCCTCTCGCGTCCCCGCCGGCCCAGAGGCCCAGAGGCCCAGTCGCGGTGCACCGGCGTGCCGGACCGGACTGCCTAGGACTGCCCTACGCGTAAAGTCACAGTAATTAAAGGGCTCGCGGACCGCGCGGAACCGCTGCAGTCCCATTTTGAAAAGCGCTTTCGTCGCTGTCTCTCTTGCACCTCTTCGAACGCCGCGCGAGTGCGAGAAAGAGAAACCGTTGTTCGGAATCCACGCCGGATGATGGCACTGCGCCCCGGTTCAAGACCAAGGACAGCGTGGCGGTCTGATTCCGAGCAGTGTTTCCGTCACTCTGTCTCTGTCACACCCCTGTGCAGCGCCCCGGGAGTGCGAGAGAGAGAGCGCATGCCGGTGCACGCCGCCGCCCACGCGACGCCGCTAGACGCCGCCACTGCGGCCGTTTTGCCCTTTTGGCGCCACCGCCAGCGGCATGTTAGCGGCGTGCGGCGACATCGCCTGCCCTGCCTGCCCCGACGTCATTCCGGGGGGGGGGGGGGGGGGGGAAGGGCCTTAGCACGTTGCGTCCTTTGTGGTTCGGCCGGAGCCGAGGCCGGAGCGCCTCCCGACCGGAGGAGGCCGGGGCCTGGCCGGGGCGGCCGTGCAAAAAAGTGGCGGTTTTGGAATCACCTGAGCGCCCCGGCCGTCGGCCCGACCAATGGCGTGCGAGACGGGGCCGGCCGACCGGCCAATGGCACGCCGACCCGGCGTCACGTGGCCGTCGTGGACGGGTACCTGTGGGTGCCCCGGCCCCGGGCTTCGTGTTCAACTCCTGAGCTCCGTTTGCATGAACGACGCAAATAATTGATTTTCTTCCTGGACCCGGTGAGCCCGACGGCCGGCTGAGCCCCAGCGCCCCACGAGTGCGAGAGAGACAGAACGACGAAGCGGCGATCGGGATCAGCCTACAGGGCCTACAGGCAGTACAGTACGATAATAGTCGTGATCGGCGCGTTGTGCGGCCGGCGAACCGTCGAACCAGCGGGCCGTGTCATAAACAGCTTGGATTCGCCGGGGGCGTGGCTGGCCTGTGGCTGGCCTGTGGCTGGGGCTGGCCTGGACCAGTTTTAGGGATAGGGAGACGTATCAACTTTGTTGCGCTCATGAATGCCATGAATGCCGGGCCACCGCATCGTCTGATGTCGCGCGTCGGACGCGTCCCCCCTCTTGGAGGACACATGAGCCGTGTCGGGTGTCGCTCGCTGCGACCGAGTCGCCCGCCGTCCGCAACCCTCAAATTTGGAAAGTAAAAAACAAAGAAGGGGGGGGGGAAGAGTAAAAGAGTTGAGTGACCCTCCTTGATACACAACGGGAGCGGAGAATGAAAGAATGAAGACGTCGCTCCATCTCTCTCGCACTCATAAGGCACCCCGTTTGGGTGCGAGAGAGACGGAGCGACTGAATGAAGGAGCTGCGGTCCGGACCGCTAGCGCCGCCAGCGCCGCCACGTCGGGGTGGCTGGCTTGGTCCACACATGCTCCATGTCTCTGATTCGTCGCGCCCGCGGCCTCTGCCTGTCACGGACGTCACTCTCCGCGTGACGTGACGACGTGACGACGCGACGCGTCACCGCCACCGCGCCGCCACAGCCGCCACATGTGTGGGCCGTGCGAAAAGCAGCGCCCAGTGGGACTGCCGCTCCGAGGAACTCTCAATGAACATGCCGCCTCACTATATCTGGATGCGACAAATTGACAAAAAGAGTTCTGTTCCTGCCAGCACTCCGTTTTTCACGCGGCCTTCGGTCGCACCCCTACCGGCTTGTTTACAAAACAGAAGGGGCTTCGTCTCCCTCATCTTCCCTAGGCGTAGCCTAAAGGGTGCCGACCGCCTGGTGTGTGTGTGCGCGACTGAGTCCAAGCACACAGTCACCAGTTGCAACGCGCGGGCGGCAAGGAGGGGGTGGGGAGGGGCTGCCAGCTGGTGGATGTAGTCCGGCCGTGCCCCGCGGGGTCCGCGACTGACCCCCCTCCCCTCCCCCTCTCCCTTTCCATTCGACCATGGCATTGATCTTACCGCGGGCGCCGTGTCCCATTATGCAATTCGAAGGCCTGGCCGCCGCGCTCAAGGAGAAGGGGGGGGGGGAGGGGCGGAGGGGGAAGGGCAAGGCCGTCTTACACAGTGCCCCTGCTGCCCCTGCTGCCCCTGCCCCGTGGCCCGCGTGGTTCTTGTCACTTCCCGTCTGCACCAACGACGCATCCCCTTCAGACTTTTCAGCTGACCCGTTCCCCCCTCCCCCCCCCTCCGCAGTGATTTTGCTGATGTAACTTAGCCTCTTCGAATTTGCTCTCTCCGTCGGCAGTGTACTTACCTATTCACATAGCGCTGCGACTTGAATGCACTCGCGGCCCCGTCTACGAGTTTTTCGATTTGGCCGGCGATAGTCGGTCGCCGTTCTGCGAACCGCGCGGCCGTTTTATTCATTTTATTCATTTCCTTTCGTTTTATTTGGTTTCATTGCCCCTTCCCATTTGCCAGAGCGCCCCATCCACGCCGGACTCAATTCTATCCGCGTTTCCCCCTTTTTTTCGCGGTGTAGCGGCGGGGCTTACTGAGGCGTGGTCACGAACTTGTAGCCCTTCGATAATAGTGAGTGCGTCCTTTTTGCCTTTTGTTTGAATGCCATCGTCCCGGCAGTCCCGACCGCCGCGAGCGGAATTATTTGTCTAATGTCTGGCATGCGATTTGTGTGTGTGTGGGGGGGGGGGGACTGGGAACTGTTTTCCTTCTCCACCGCCATCGGTCGGTGCACGGCCCCTCTGCGATGGCAGCGACACTGGTGCATTGGCAATTTTTCTCCCTGCCGTCGTCGGGAATCGAACCGACCTGCCAGAGCAAGTTGCTTGTGCGTACTGCATGACTACTAGTGCAGGCCCTCTGGACCAGGACGCTGCATCGCGGAGATGTTATCTCAGATGCCACGGTGGAAAAGGGAGGGGGGAGTGAGTTCATATTCAGGCCCTTCCAGTTCCTTGTTTTCTTTGGCGTGTCCTTTTGTCCGCCGACCCCAAAGTTTGGGATAATCTTCGAGGTATGCTGGAACAATTGGACTTCTGGATGCGAGACGTTTGTGTGTGTGTATGTGTGTGTGTATGCGTGTCTGTGAGTCTGCGTCTGCCCACAAAGAAATGTAAGCAGCGGCCAGCGATAATGCATGTGTATTCGGCCGGCCAAACTGCCTACTCAAGCGGTCAGCTGACCGATCCGCACACGGCTGCCATCGCTCTGTCTCTCTCGCACTCGTAGGGCGGTGGAGGTGGCCAAAGCTCTAGACTCGTTTTGAGCTCCAGAGTCGCTAAATGGGACTCCAACCGAACGTGTCACCCCACCAATGGATTCCTCGTTCGGAGAGCAATCCATTGGTGGGGTCACACGTTCAGTTCGAGTCCCATTTAGCGACTCTGGAGCACGAAACGCGTCTTGAGCTTTGGCCACCTCCACCGGTCTTCTGGCCCACTGCGCGCCTGGCCCCGGATCCTTGACTTGCGGACTGGGAACGGGGTCACGCTGGCCGAAGCTGTGCCGAACTCCATCCAGGCAGGGCGTCCCAGGCAGTCGCGGCAGGCACACTGTGGGCGTCGCGGCGGAAGCACAGCGGCAGGCTCCGCATCTGTTTCCTGTGGCAGTGATAGCGCTGCTTTCGTCAGGCTGTCAGGCCGTCAGGCCGCGGACTCGGAGTCAGCCTAGCCGCGGGCCGCGGGGTCAGTCCGCCCGGATGTCAGACGCGGCACAGAGGCTGAGAGAGCAAGGTGGCGGCATGGCGGCCGTCGTCGAGGGCGCCGAGGGTGTCGTCCTGGACGTCCACGACGTCCAAGGTCACGGCCGCCCGCGTCAGCGTGGCGTCAGCGCCGGGGGCGCGCGTCGAGAGCGTCGAGAGCGTCGTGGGAAGGCGGCGACGGCTTCGGGGAAGCCCCCGGCGTCATGCCCGTCATGCGCGCGGCGTGCGGAGCACCCGAGCACGCCGAGCAGGCCGTCGTAGCGCGGCGCGGCGGGCACCGCCTTCTCTGGCGCGCAGACGATTTCAAGCCCCATTGCATTCGCAAGTGGCGCGTCTTTTATGAACGGCAAAGAAGCGCCCGATCGGCTTCATTAGGCAACAGCTGCTGTACTGTGGCGACCGTGGCGACTGCCCCAGCAGACAGCTTCCCAGCGCTACTGTCTCTTTTGAAGCTACATTGGGCGCCACATCTGAGTGTGTGTGTCTGAGAGAGACGGGGCGACAAGAGCACTGTTCGGAACCAGTTGTAGTGCCGCCGCGAGGGCTCCGCGGCGTCCGCGGCGTCCTGGACGCTGTCGCGCAGCCCACGACGCGGTGGTCGGAGCAACGGAGAAGAAGTGCGAGGACCAGGATGAGGGCGATGAGGCGCAGGGCGTAATGCAGTGCGAGCGGTGGCAGCAGCGAGCCCCGCCATGCCCCGCCATGCCCCGCCATCATCGTAACGAGCTTTACGACCTGCCTCTTCACTCCGAAGGACCGCTTCGTCACTCCGTCTCTCTCGCACTCGTGGGGCGTCGCGTAGGTGTGCGAGAGAGACGGAGCGATGAAACGATCCTCTTCGGAATCAGGCGGCTGCGTCCCCCTCCCCCCTCCTCTCCGTCCCGCTGGTCGTCCTCCCCGCACCAGGCCGCCCAGGCAGGCAGGCAGGCCGAGGCAGGCGTGGACTTCCCCTGCGTTCCTCGTAACTCTAGCCCAACGCGCGATATGCGGCATACAGCCCGGGGTGCGGGCAGGTGTGTAAACTTGCCGTGTCCTCTCGGGATGCACGGCGTGGCGGTGCATGGCGCTGATGCACCGCGATGCGTGTGAGCACGCCGTTGCCGTCGAGATGCTGGCGGTGGATATGCGGCAGCACCGCTCCAAAAAGACGAATTCCAGACCGGGCCCGGGATCAAAACACCGTCTCTCTTCTTTTCCCCCTTGTTTTCGGCCACGTGTAGAGTGCGCGCGCTTTGCGAAGAGCGAGTGTCGCTTGTCGTGCAAGATCTGTCTCTCTCGCACGCACGGCGCACGTGTGCGGCACGCGGCGGCCCCCGCGGCCTCCTCGGTGTGCTCCAGCGCGGGGCGCAAGCAGGGGGATCCCGAGCGGAGCTCTGTCTCTCTCGCACTCGTGGGGATGCGTGTGTGAGAGAGGGAGACAGAGCGATTGTTCGGAATCGGACTACTGGTGCTATAATTAGGCCGACTGGGCCGACTCGCCGCGCTGCAACCTCTGGCCTCCGCCTGCAGTGCTGCAACGCCCTGCAGCGCTGCAACGGGGTGTGGAAGGATGGCGAGCAGGCGCCGGGCGGGGCTGCCACTGCAGCCGGCGTGCCACCACTGCGGGGGAGGAAAGCTAGAAGCTCTGCAAATATGGGGTCCTTACCCTCACGAAATTCGTGGCGCGATTTTCAAATTTCGGTCTGCAAACAGCCTGCAAAATTATCTGCAGGCATGTGGATCGTTTGCTACCCGTTGACACCCCAGAAAGAACGCCCTCGCGGAGGCCCATTGGCCCTCCGTGACGTCATCCAGTACAGGCTGCAGACGGCAGGCCGGCAGGCCCGGGGGACTCCCACGGTCCGCCTCGAGGACCGCGAGTGGCTCAAGTGCACGCGCAGGGGCAGCACGGGCAGCTCGTTGCACTGCAAGCAGGCCGATTCTGAACAGCGCTTTCGTCGCTCTGTCTCTCTTGCACCACGAAGGGACGCCTCACGAGTGCGAGAGAGACACAGCGGGCGGAGCTTTTGCTCGGGATCACTTTGCAGGGCCCTCGGCGGCGCGGCGCGCCACCCACAGAGAGACGCCTGTTTAGCGCTGGCTCCGCTGGCCACAGCGACGCAGCCCGCCGGTGCTTTGGCGTGACGGTGCGCCGCCCCGCCGCGCCGCCCCGCCGCCGCGCGGACAGACTCTTATTCTTCTCCGTGTCCACGAGGAGGCACGCCCGCACGGCCACGCCGACGCGGAGGCATGGAGGCATGGCACGCTCGCGGCCCGGGCGGGGGAGATGAACCAATGATCCACCGACACCCGGGGCGGCGGGACTCCCCGTCCGGTCCCTCGGCCGCGAATCCACGCACCTGCCGCCGTCTTATGAGTCTGTCTCTGTCGCACTCGTGCAGCACGCCCTGAGGGTGCGAGAGAGAGGGCTCTCTCGGCTGCAGCCTGCCCGGACGTGACTCCGATTAGGGATTAGGGTACATACTGACGGTAATTAGTACTTGTCGAGTGGTGGGGCGGTCGGGCGGTACTGTGCCGCCTCGTGGAATCGGGTAGATAGACGGACGGACGGGCGGACAGACAGGCGGACTGGCAGTCTCAGTTCAAGTGATGAGCACATGGGCGGACCGCGGCCAACGAGAATTTGGTTGTGTAAACACACATCACGATTGGGGGGGGGGGGGTATACTCACCTCAGCATAACAGCGGACCTGTGCCAGAATCGGTCGACGCACGGCCAGCTTGCTTGATGCACTGTCGCAGGAACCTCAATCTCACCGCGGCTTCTTTCACTTTGTTGCAGATCACTGGGGTTATTAATATTCATTCTAGCAACGTACTTCAGTTCAGCAATAGCGAGACATGTAAGTGGCTGTAAAATATTTAATGGTGCCCATGTGTGTGTGTGGAGTTGTACGTGTGTGTGGCCTGACGGCCTGACGGGGACGGCCTTACGGTGTGCTTGCAGCCGATCCGACACCACCATGACGCGGTGAGCCGAGGGCTGGTCCGCTACAGACGGCAGCACGGTGCGGGGCAGCCCGAGGAGCGGCGGCAGTCCGAGCACCCCCACCAGGCGCAGGGCCAGGCCGACTACCAGCCGCAGACCTACGTGTGGGGCGGCAGCTCGGCGCACGAGGGCGCCGGCGGCGGCGACTGGGGGCCGTGGTCCGCCCCCGGGGCCTGCTCCAGGTCCTGCGGGGGCGGCGTGGCCTCCCAGACGAGGCAGTGCCTCGGGCCCAGGTCAGTACAGTGTACAGTCTGCGGTCACAGTCGCTGCCGCGGTCATCGCCTTGGCTTGAGAGGATTGAAATGACGTGTCTTGTTGCAGGTGCTCGGGTGCAGACCTCCGGTACTTCTCGTGTAATATACAAGTAAGTTGGCAGGCACGGGCTCCGTCGGGCTCCGTGCGCTGAAGGTCCACTGTGTGATTTGTTTGTTCCTGCGAATTTGCAGCCGTCTGACGCCCTTCTTTCCCTCGCCTCTTAGGACTGTCCGCCGACGGCGGTCGACTTCCGCGCCGAACAGTGCGCAGAGTTCGACAGGCAGCCGTTCGAGGACAGATACTACTCGTAAGGACCCCGATAACCCTTTTTCTTTTGGCCCTTTTGGCCGTGCCAGTGCTTTCTCTGACCAAGTGGTCCCTGCCTAGGTGGGTGCCGTACACCAAGTCCACCGAGGTCTGCGAGCTGAACTGCATGCCGCGCGGCGAGCGCTTCTACTACCGCCACCGGAGGAAGGTGGCCGACGGCACCCGCTGCGACGAGGAGCGCCAGGACGTGTGCGTCGACGGCCGCTGTCTGGTAAGGGGCCTCCACTGGGAAACTGCAGCGTGTTGCACGCTTAGGCCGCGACGCGACTCACTCTGCCATTAGCAGACGCGTGCTGGCGTCACAGACAAGCGCACGGCGCTAAAACCGAGACGGAGGGAGGGGGGCGCCCTCTGGTCGGGCGTCAATGTCGTTCGATGCCCCTCTCGAAACGGTTCCCTCTGGCCGTCCCGGCCGTCCTGACCCTCGTCTCCTTTCCAGCCCGTGGGCTGCGACCTGATGCTGGGCTCCTCGCGAAGGGAGGACCAGTGCCGCGAGTGTGGCGGCGACGGCTCGGGCTGCACCACGTACCAGAGGCAGTTCGAGATCAACGACCTCCAAGCCGGTGAGTCCCTGCTCCCAGTTGCCCAAGGCAGCCCAAGGCACGGCCGGCGCCGTCGGACGCGCCGGCACGCAGCGCGCGGGGCAACGCTGCGCGTTGGGCTGCCTACCCCCAAGGCGCTCTCTCGCACCAGCTTTGACGCACTCTGTCTCTGTCTCTCTCGCCAGGCTACAACGACATCCTGCTCATCCCCTCCGGCTCCACCAACATCCGCGTCCGGGAGGTGAAGCCCTCCAACAACTACTTGGGTAAGTGCGTGCCGTGCACGGTAAAACCGCGTCCTGGGAAAACCAGGGCCGAAAGTCTCCAAGGTTGTACGGAGGGCCCGTTCCAGGATGGTGCTGGAGGAAATGGCAAAACTTCCAGGACCGTCCTGGAACATGATTCCCCAGGACGCGGCTTTACCGATTGCACCCTGGCCGTTTGATTCCGAACAGCGCCCTCGTCGCTCTGTCTCTCTCGCACTCACGGAGCATCCCGCAGAGGTGCGAGAGAGACAGAGCTTCGTCGCGCGTCTGACCGTCCGGCCGTCGCGTTGCAGCGGTGAGGAACACCAGCGGCCACTACTACATCAACGGCAACTGGCGGATCGACTACCCGCGCACCTTCAACTTCGCCGGCTGCATCTTCCACTACGAGCGCAAGCCGCAGCCCGAGTTCTTCGCGCCGGAGAGCCTGTTCGCGCTGGGCCCCACCAACGAGGACCTGTACATCGTGATGCTGTACCAGGAGCCGGGCCCCGGCCTGGAGTACGAGTACAGCGTGCCGAAGGGCATCGCGAGCCGCCTCAACGACCCCGACAGCTACGCGTGGCAGACGGACGAGTTCTCGGGCTGCAGCGCCACGTGCGGCGGCGGCTACAAGGTGCGGCGCGTTTGGTGCGCGCGCAAGCGGGACATGGAGATGGTGGCCAACGGGCTGTGCAACACCGCCACCATCCCCGTGGCCAACCAGACCTGCGCGCCCGAGCCCTGCCCGCCCGGCTGGATCACGGACAGCTGGAGCGCCTGCAGCGAGTCCTGCGGACGCAACGGCACGCGCACCCGCCAAGTCTACTGCGGCCAGATCATGGGCAACGGGCTGCCCACCGTGGTGGACGAGGGCACCTGCAGGATGCTCAACGTGCCCAAGCCCGCCACCAGCGAGCCCTGCGGCACGGACTCCATCTGCCCGTCCTGGTTCAAAGGGCCGTGGAAGGCGGTGAGTTGAAGCACCCTCTTTACCTCCGATCCAACAGTGGAGCCGAGTGACTGACGGACTTGCTTTCCCTCCCCCAGTGCGACAAGCTGTGCGGCGAAGGCAAGCAGCGCCGCCAGGTGACGTGCTACCTGCGGCGCGACGGCCGCATCGAGATCCTGGGCGACAACTACTGCCCCAACGCCAAGCCCGCCGCGGAGCAGGACTGCTTCCTGCGGCCGTGCGAGGGCGTGGACTGGGTCACGTCGCCGTGGAGCGGGGTGAGCCCAGCCCTCCCTTCTGGACATGCGTGCGCATGCGTGCGACAGGTTCTCAATCACTCCTCTCTGCTGCCCACAGTGCGAAGACAGCTGCGGCCTGGTGTCCGAGAGCAGGACGGCGGTGTGCGCCTCCAAGTCCGGCAAGATCTACCCCGACTCCCAGTGCCACGCCTACCGCAAGCCCAAGCTGGAGCGCGAGTGCCTCGGCGGCGGCGCCTGCGACTACGAGTGGTTCGCCTCGCAGTGGAGCAAGTGCTCGTCCAAGTGCGGCGCCGGCGTGCGCACCAGGAAGGTGTTCTGCTCGTCCTGGGACAACGACACCCTCACCCACGCCGACGACGACAAGTGCGACCCCGAGCTCAAGTACCACGACTCGGAGGAGTGCGTGGGCAACGCCACCTGCAAGGGTGCCTGGTACTCCGGGCCCTGGTCTGAGGCAAGTGTACCAAAACGCACTCGTTTTAAAATATTTTGCTCGTGTTCGTATTTAAAAAAAATAATTTTAATTTTTCAATGGCAGTGCTCTAAGCTCTGCGGCGGCGGCGAGATGACCCGCAAGGTGCTGTGCATCCTCAACAACCAGACCGTCCCCATCACGGAGTGCGACGCGGACCTGACAGCGGACAGCAGCGACTCTTGCAACACACACGCCTGCGGAGAAGGCAAGCAAACTCCCACCCCTTCGCCTTAATCTAAAAGCAAAAAGTCTGACCCTGTTCCTCTCGCTTCTTAGACGAGACATTGTCGGTGTCCGCGTCCCCCATCACGTCGGCCAGCCCCGAGGAGGTGTCCACCATCGAGAGCATGGACGACGACGAGGACTGCCTGGAGTACGAGGAGGAGGAGGAGGTCATCGAGGTCCGCGGCGGCTGGGGGCTGCTGGAGGACGACGACGAGGAAGACACCACGGACGAACCGGTGAGACTTCACCCTGGCCCTCCTGGAGGCCTCTGCTGGAGCAGTAGAATTTTGTTATCGACGCTGTTTTGTTGAACAGGAACCGACTGAGGCAAGCTCTGTGCCGTCCGCGACAGAGCCTGGCTCCGCCGCCACGGACTCCACCGCGGCCACCGAGACCAGCGGCACTGACGCCACCGGCGCCACCGACGCGTCCGCGGCCACAGACGCCACCTCGGGCACGGACGTGACGGAGGCCAGCTCTGGCACCGACGGCACCGCGGGCACCGCGGCAAGCGTCGGCACTGACGCCAGCGCCGCGACGGAGTCCAGCGCGGGCACCGAGGCCAGCTCCGGCACGGACGCGACCGCCGCGACGGAGTCCAGCGCAGGCACCGACGCCACATCCGAGGCCAGCACGGACGCCACCACCGACGCTACGACCACCGACGCCACGACCACTGACGCCACGACCACCGACGCCACGACCGTCCAACCAGCAGGCGCTACGGAGCAAATGAGTGCCGACGACCCCGGCGCAGGCGCGGCCGCGACGGACGTCCCCGCCGACGCCTCGACCACGGACGCCTCGACGACCGACGCTTCGACGACCGACGCCGCCACCACGGAGGCGTCCTCCACGGATGCGACATCCGCCGCGTCAGTGGACGCCTCGGCTGCCACTGACGTGTCCAGCGCCACGGAGTCCGCCGCCGCCACCGAGTCCTCGGCCGCCTCCGTCGACGCGTCCGGGGCCACGGCGGCCACGGACACCAGCACCGACTCCACGGCCGTCGGAGTGCGCGCCGGCGCCACGGACTCGACCGCCGACTCCGCGGCCACGGACGCCACCGCGGATAGCGCGGCCACGGACTCATCCGTGACGCCCGGCATGGACACGGCCTCCAGCGTGACCGAGAGCACCTCCTCCGTGTTCGGTGCGTGTGGCGGACAGAGACAAACGAAACTGTAGAGAGAATCCATTGACAGCCTTTTGCTTTGCCGGCTTTGCCTCTAGACCCGTGGGGCTCCACGACGTCGGCCACCCTGGACGAGGTGACGGGCAAGAGGAAGCGCAAGTGCAAGAGGAGGAAGCGGAAGAAGCCAGACCCCGCCAAGTGCCACGCCTACGAGTTCGGCTGCTGCTGGGACAAGGAGACCGAGGCCAAGGGACCGTTCGGCGAGGGTGAGTGTCGCTGTCCTTGAGATTTTTTTTTTTTTTGAGCAATGTAACTGAGAGCGAGGGTTCCAGGCTGCCCCGAGGCCAAGACCTGCAAGGAAACCAAGTTCGGCTGCTGCTCCGACGAGGTGTCCCCCGCCGACGGACCGGACCAGGAGGGCTGCCCGGTGTCGCAGTGCGCGGAGAGCCTGTTCGGCTGCTGCCAGGACAAGACGAGCGCCGCGCAGGGCAACAACTTCGAGGGCTGCCCCGAGCCGGAGACGCTGCCTTTCGACTGCAAGAAGACCCAGTGAGTGGCGGGGACGGCCCACGCAGCCCGCACTGCCGACTCGGCCTGCGTTACACACCCCTTGTGCTTCTCCCTTCACAGATTCGGCTGCTGTCCGGACGGAGTGATGGCCGCGCAGGGCAAGAAGTACCAGGGCTGCTTCGAGTGCGAGGGCTCGGGCGAGTGCAACTCGTGCAAGGACACCAAGTACGGCTGCTGCCCCGCCAGCGAGCGCGCCGCCACGGGGCCTTTCTTCCAAGGCTGCGAGGGCCTCTGCGCCAAGACCAAGTACGGCTGCTGCCCGGACAACAAGACCCCAGGTACACACCGCATGCCAAAGCCGCGGGTTCGAATCCCAAACGATCCATTTTCTGTAACGCGTTTTGTCCGCAGCCAAGGGCAAGAAGAACAAGGGCTGCCCCAAGGCCGCCTGCACCAAGGAGAAGAACGGGTGCTGTGCGGACGGCATCACCCCCGCGCACGGCCCGGACCAGCTGGGCTGCTGCATCAACACCGAGTTCGGATGCTGCCCCGACAACATGACCCCCGCCAAGGGGCCCAGGAACGAAGGTAAGCATCGGTACTTGTGCCTCGCGACGAGCGCGCGCAGTGTAGCAACGCCCTCCTCTGTGACAGGCTGCACGTGCGAGAACACCAAGTGGGGCTGCTGCCCGGACAACTACACCATCGCGACGGGCAAGAACAACTCGGGCTGCGGCTGCTACTACACGGAGCACGGCTGCTGCCCCGACGGCGTCACGGCGGCCCCCGAGGCCGGCTACAAGGGGTGCCCGTGCTGGACCTACCAGTTCGGCTGCTGCCCCGACGGCGAGACGGTGGCGCGCGGGCCCAGCGAGGCGGGCTGCGGCTGCGAGAACACCGAGTTCGGCTGCTGCGAGGACGGCGTCACCAAGGCCTCGGGCCCCGGCCGCGGCGAGGGCTGCCACTGCGCCGCGTCGCGCTTCGGCTGCTGCCCCGACGGCAACTCCACGGCACAGGGCACGCGCTTCGAGGGCTGCGCCGACAAGCCGTTCAACCCGTCAGGTAGGCGCCGTCGCCGCCCCCTCCAACGCCACCCTGGCGGCACGGCGCGGCACGCGTGAAACTCTCCTCGTGTTGCAGAGGGCTGCATGCTGGAGAAGGACCGCGGCACCTGCCGCAACTTCACCGCCTGGTGGTTCTTCGACAAGGAGTACGGCGGCTGCGCGCGCTTCTGGTACGGCGGCTGCGAGGGCAACGCCAACCGGTTCCGCAGCCAGGACGAGTGCAGGGACGTCTGCGTGGAGCCGCAAGGGCGAGGTGAGGCACCACAACCTGCGTTTGGAGGTCCACAGCGACTTGCTTTCTCACCATTTCCTTCCACCGCTCCGCTTGCAGACGTGTGCAGCCTGCCCAAGATCGAGGGCCCGTGCGAGGGCTACTACCCCACTTGGTACCACGACCAGGAGAGCGGCCAGTGCAGACAGTTCATCTACAAGGGCTGCCTGGGCAACGCCAACCGCTTCAAGACCCGCGAGGAGTGCAACAGTCTCTGCGTGCCAGAAACGCTGGGTGGGTAACCGCGCCTAGATTAAAGTATCCCAAAAAAAAACAAGTGATTCTCAATGATTCGAACCACCGACTTGGGTGTTGCAGACGCGTGCTCAGCCCCGGTGGAGCCCGGCCCCTGCAACGGCTCGACCCCGCGATGGTACTTCGACAAGGACTCCAGGACGTGCCACCAGTTCGCGTACGGCGGCTGCAAGGGCAACAAGAACAACTTCGCCACCCAGGCCGCCTGCCTGTACAAGTGCAACAAGCCCGGCGAGAGCCGCGGTGAGTGGGCCTGCATGGAGTGCTGGAGAAGGTGCTGGAGAGGGTGCTGGAAGGTTGCTGGAGGTTTTGACGGACATGGTGCCATGGCCTCAATTCCTCCCTGCAGGTGGAGCGAGGTGCCGGAGGGCTTCCTTAACCGAATGCGCGTTGTCTATCTAACCCTGATGACCCCAACTCTGAGCATGCCCCACTAACCCCCTTGCTAACCCCAGAGGTGTGCGGCCTGGCCAAGGAGCAGGGCGACTGCACCGAGAAGCTGGCCCGGTGGTCCTTCGACGCGAGCGAGAACAGGTGCGTGCCGTTCTACCACTCGGGCTGCGGCGGCAACGGCAACACCTTCGCCACCAAGCAGACCTGCGAGGCGGACTGCCCCAAGCGAGTCGGTGAGTCAGACGCAGTCAGACGGACAAACGCATTCCACTTTCAAATCAAATGCTCTGTTTTTCATTTTCGTTAATACCATTTCGCTCTACACTACCCGAACAAATATAAAATTTTGGAGCGTTTCATCACAAGGCAGTATCACGAAGCCTTTTGTCTTCTCAGCAGGAGGATGCACTGAATTTTTGTCGCATTTTAAAACGTGTGGTGCGACAGGCGGACAGACAGACAGACAAACAAGCTTGCAGGGAATCGAACTTGAAGCCTCCCGGTCCAGGACGAAAACCCCTGTGAAGTCAAGGATATGCTGCCCGCTCGGCGGCCGAGCGTGCGGGTTGCCTAGCCGTCGGCGCTCAGGCGCTCCAAGTGGAGAGTTGCATGACGCCACTCGACTAAACTTTAACACTTGCATGCGTTTGGTGGAGGGAGGACTAACTGCTACCCTGTCGATAAAAGCACACAATTTCACGCATTTTCCAGCGTAGTACTCAGTTCCGTTCATCTCCCGCCTACCTAACTGCATGGGCAGTGCCTTCAGTGGCAGCTGTGCGCTTGAATGAAGCGAATGGCTACGATGCAGTCTTACCGGTGCAGCGCCAAAACTACTCGCGTGGAGTTGGTTGAAGGGCATTGCTTTCTGCCCGCAGCCCAGGACGTGTGCATGCAGCCCGCGCTGACCGGCGAGTGCCACAACTACACGCAGCGCTGGTACTACGACGCCCTGGAGGCGCAGTGCAAGCCCTTCTACTACGGCAACTGCGGCGGCAACCACAACAACTTCCAGACGCGCGAGGCGTGCCAGCAGCGGTGCGAGCGCGGCGCAGCGCCCGAGCCGCCGCCGCAGTCCTACCCCGAGCCCTACCGGCCGCCGCAGCCGCAGCAGCCCGCCGAGCCCCAGCTCACCGCCAGAGGTGGGTCAACGCTGTCAACGCAGCGCAGCGCGCAACTCGGCCAGCAGACTCTCGTCGCTCTGCCTCTCTCGCACTCGTGGGACGTCCCGTGAAGATGCGAGAGAGACAGAGCGACGAAGACGACTCTCGGAATGAGTATGCCGCCAGACGCGACTGGCTCGCGCGCTCGCGCCCCCGATCAGGCCGCGCTTCCGAGCGGCGCGTCGTCGCTGTCTCTGTCGCGCCACCGCGGACCGCGACGAGAGTGCGAGAGAGACGGAGCGCGTCCGTTCCGGGAAGTCGCGCTAATGGCCGCACGGCATGCCGACGGCAGATAAGCGGCAAGCGGCCGCGGGAGGAAAAATAAAATTGCCGCCGTGTTTTGACGGGAAGAGGCACGAGGGAGAGAGAGGCCAATTGCAGGCCGCCGCGGTGGATTCCGTGGTTGCGCAGTCTACGGCAGTCTCGGGGCTGTCTCCGGGACCGCCCACCTCGCCGCCAGGCGGCGTCCGCGGCGCCTAGAGCGCCGGCAGTCACGTGGACAGCCCCGGGGGTGAGACTGCGTAACCGCGAGAGAGGAACCCACTTCGCAAACTCAAAACAACAACCTAGCAAAAACCGTCGCGTTCGCCGCGGTGGGATTCGAACCCGCGTGGAAAAGTAGAGTGCTCTCAGTGTGGCGTACGTGAGCCTGCCACGGAGGTTCCCGGTGGTTCCCAGCGGGCCGGCGAGCTCCAGGGCGGCGAGCTCCAAAGCGCCACGCACTTCGCCGTACGCCGCGTCGCGAACTTTCTTCAGAATCCGCAGCTGGGCCAGCTCCACCGACTCCGACTGCAGTGCTTTCGTCGGCCTGTCTCTCTCGCAGCCGGGCGCGACGCCCCATAAGCGCGAGAGAGACAGCGCTCGGAATGAGCGGGGCGAGCGGGCCGGCCGCGGGTTGTGGCATCACGGCATCACGCGCTGGCGATCTCGCTGACGATCTCGCTGGCCGGCGGTCGCGGCTTATCGATGTATCGATTTGGCCGCTTACAGTGTCACCGTGTGAGTGAGGCTGATGTGACGCCGGCCCGCGACCTGAAAAAGAATTCTCGGACCGAGCGAGGCTCATTAAACCTGCCGAAATTTTGGCGCGGTTCCGGGTGGCCGCGGGCCGCCCGCTATCGTCGTGCATGCCAAGCGCGTCCCGACAGTGCGAACGACCTTCGGCCTCAGCGAATCTCCAGTGGCGTGTCTTTTCGTTTGCCGCAGACATCTGCTTCATGCCCGAGGACCCAGGCCACTGCCAGGAGTCGCAGCCCAAGTGGCGCTACGACCGCCGGGACGGCGTCTGCCGCCAGTTCGCGTACAGCGGCTGCGGCGGCAACCGGAACAACTTCGACCGCCGCGAGGACTGCGAGCAGACGTGCGCCAACGTGCAGGGTAGGCCGAGAGAGAGAGAGAGAGAGAGACAACGTCGCGCGCCCTGCAGTCACTAACGCCCCCTGTGCCCCACAGACGCCTGCTCGCTGCCCAAGACGGAGGGGCCGTGTCGCGCCGCCACCAGGGCCTACTTCTACAACGCGCGCCAGGACCAGTGCGAGGAGTTCCTGTACGGCGGTTGCCAGGGCAACGCCAACCGCTTCCAGGAAAAGTACGTGACTCTTCACTCTGTTTTTGTCTCGGATTATGGCGTGTGTTTTCACCGTCTTGGCTGTTTCCCCCGCAGGCTAGAGTGCGAACAGCGGTGTGTCCGCGACCCCAGCCGCGCGCCGGGCCTCAACGCGCGCTTCGGCCAGCCCGGTGCCGGTGCCGAGTCCCCGCAGGCGTCGTCGTGCAGCGTGCGCGTGGACCCGGGCCCCTGCACCGAGTACTACATCCAGTACTACTTCGACGACCGCTCCAACTCGTGCCAGCCCTTCCAGTACGGCGGCTGCGGCGGCAGCGTCAACCGCTACAACTCGGAGGAGCAGTGCGAGCGCGTGTGCGGCACGCTCCGAGGACAAGGCGAGTCCTGCCGCTGTCTCCGTCGCACCCACCGGGCGCCCCGAAGGGGTGCGAGGGAGACCGAGCGGAGGAACCAATTTTATCACTCGGCTGGGCTCGGCTCCAGAGATCGTTTACAATTTTAAACCGGTGATGAGTCACCCGAATACCCACTGTTCTATCAGTGAAATTATACTCCTTCCGTTCATCCATTCTCTGCCTGAAAATGAAACCGACACCGTTTCCAGATGTGTGCAACCTGCCGTACGAGACGGGCCCCTGCCGCGGATCCGCGCAGAAGTGGTTCTACGACGCGGGCGTGGGCATCTGCCGCGAGTTCAACTACGGCGGCTGCAGGGGCAACGGCAACCGGTTCTCCAGCAGCGAGGAGTGCACGGCGCTGTGCGTGCAGAAGTTCGAGCTGCCGGTGCAGACCAACGCGTCGGCGGCCGGTGCGCCGCCGCCCGAGGAGAACGCCATCGAGACGGGTGACCGGTGCGAGGCGGCGCGCCGCGAGTGCGCCGACCTGCGCTGCCCGTACGGCGTGACGCGCAAGGTGGACGCCTCCGGCTGCGAGCTCTGCAACTGCTACAACCCCTGCGAGGGCATGGTGTGCGCGCCCGACCAGCAGTGCGGCATCGAGCTGGCCCGCTCCAGGGACCCCGCCGAGCCCATGCAGTTCAGGCCCGTGTGCCGGCTCAGTGAGTACCGCGTACCGCCACGTGACGTCATAGCTTGGCAGGCTCGGACTGGCCCCCAAAAGGCCCCGGCAGATAAGACCGCAAAAGGCCCCCGATCATCATTGTTTTTACCCTTCATGACCAACTTTGTGAGGCTGCCGCTCCCACACAAGTTGCGGTCAAAAGCCTTCCCGTACAGGACATGAAAGACTAGGGTCTTAAGAATTCTAGGGCGTCGAGGGAGGCCTTTTACGGCAACTAGATTGGACACAGTGGACACCCAAAGTCAGCAAAATCAGCAAATTTCCGATATTCGACTACTTTTTGACCAACTTGGTCGGAAAATCATTGCGGTCAAAGGCAAAATCGTTGTGGTCAACGTCTTCCCTATACAGGGCATGAAAGAGTAGGGTCTTGAGAATACTAGGACGTTGAGGGAGGCCTTTTACGGCAACTAGATTGGACACAGTGGCCGTCCAAAGTCAGCAAAATCAGCAAATTTCCGAGATTCGACCACTTTTTGACCAACTTTGGTCCCAAAATCGTTGCGGTCAAAGGCAAAATCGTTGTGGTCAACGTCTTCCCTATACAGGGCATGAAAGAGTAGGGTCTTGAGAATACTAGGACGTTGAGGGAGGCCTTTTACGGCAACTAGATTGGACACAGTGGCCGTCCAAAGTCAGCAAAATCAGCAAATTTCCGAGATTCGACCACTTTTTGACCAACTTTGGTCCCTAAATCGTTGCGGTCAAAGGCAAAATCGTTGTGGTCAACGTCTTCCCGATACAGGGCATGAAAGAGTAGGGTCTTAAGAATACTAGGACGTCGAGGGAGGCCGTTGGCCGCTACTAGATCGAAGCAGTGGCCGCTCAAATTCAGCGAAAACGGCTACTTTCGGAGATTCAATCACTTTTTGACCAACTTCGTGACGTTACTGGTCACAAATCCAAAGGCCCCGGCAGATTTTTCTGCCTGTCTGCCCTGGCCAGTCCGAGCCTGTAGCTTGGGAAGGAAGGGAGGGAGCCTCTGACACTGACCCTGTTGCAGTCAACAAGCCCGGCGAGTGCCCCGCCGTCTCCAGCCGCTCCTGCAGCACGGACTGCTACTCGGACGCGGACTGCTCCGGGGAGGCCAAGTGCTGCTACAACGGCTGCGGCCAGTCCTGTGTGCACCCCGCCAGCGACGCGGCGCCGCTGTCCACCGCGCCGCCGCCGCCGCAGCGACCCTACGAAGGTGCGTCCGCGGGCTGACTCCGAACAGCGCTCTCGTCCAGGGCGGCGAAAGCACTGTTCGAAACCAGGCTGCACGCACCACGCGAGTCTGACGGCGCCCTCGCCTTTGTCCGCAGAGGCGTCCCCGCAGGTGCAGGTGGCCGAGCCCCAGGTCACCGCTTCGGAGGGAGGCTTCGCGACGCTGCGGTGCATCGCCACCGGCTACCCGCTGCCCACTGTCACCTGGAGGAAGGACTCGGTCACGGTGAGCTCCTCGACGGCGAGCTTACTGGCGCTGGGACGCGCGCTGGGAGACAGTGCTGACACAGTCTCTGCGCAGATCGAGAGCGCTGGCGGCAGGCACAAGATCCTCACGGACGGCAGCCTCCAGATCATCGGGCTGGTCCGCACGGACTCGGGCATCTACCTGTGCATCGCGGACAACGGCATCGGCCCGGCCGTCACCAAGGAGTTCCGGCTCGACGTCACGGGTGAGTACAGTGCACCGGCACACACTGGGCGCGCCGCTTGGTCTAACACGCGTGCTTTGGAGGCTCTTCGGTCGCGTCGCGGAGGCGGTCCCCGACAGGCCAGGCGGGCAGCCGGCTAAGCTCGATCCGATTACCGAACCGCCTGGGTTTATTTCGCGGCGATCTTATCGACCTGGCTGGTCGCACGGACGTGACGTCACGTCCGCGACGGCGGGCCGCGCTCCGCCGCTCCGCGCTATCGCGAGTGCCGACGGTCAAGACAAGCCCTGGACAGAGAGCCTGGGGCGGCCTGGGGCCTCATCGCCGTGTCTCTCTCGCACCGGGCGTTCCGCAGGGGCGCGAGGGAGACTCTGCGATGAAGCACTGCCCGGAACGAGCCCGCTCGGGGGGCGTGTCACGTGGATCATGACTCCAGCGCCATCGCGCCACCGCGCCACGCAGTCCCAAGCAGCCGGGAGAGCCAGCCTCCCATCGCCTGGGATCGGGATGCCTACTAACACTAACACGCGCTAATAATTAACCTGAACTAACCCAACCTAACCTAGCCTTGCCGCGGCCTTTCTCACTAACCCTTGACTCCGACGCGCCGTAGACCCGGTGGACCAGGAGGCGCAGGTGGTCGGCGACCTGAACGCCGAGGTGGTGGCGGTGCTGACGCAGCCCGTGACGCTGCGCTGCTACGCCTACGGCTGGCCCAAGCCCTACATCACGTGGTGGCGCGGCGAGCGCATGCTGCCGCTCAGCTCGGAGCAGTACGAGCAGCGCCACGACCACGCGCTGCACATCTACAAGGTGGCCCTGCGCAACCTGGGGCCCTACACGTGCCAGGCCTACAACGGCAAGGGCAAGGCCAATTCGTGGACGGTGACGGTGCGCGCCGTGGGGCTGCCCGAGTCCACCGGGCCCGAGGACATCCAGTACCACCAGTACCTGCTGCCGCCGCAGAGCGCGCAGGGCGGCTCCACTTCCAGGCCGCCCTACCGGCCCTACCCGCAGTACACGCAGGCGCCCGACCAGCCCGGCCTGCCCGTCACCGAGCAGCCCAACAGGCACTTCGTCGGTAAGCCAGTCTGCGGGGGGACTCTCCGGAGTGTTTTCAGTAGACGCGTCATAAGGTAACGGCGTGGTTTGGGATGCATGCCCTCTTTCACTGCAGTCGCAGTGATTAACGCTTGTTTCTAACTCATCTTCATCGCGACTAAAACCTCTTAGGGGAGGAACTAACAGGGGTCGGTCCGGACTCCCGAGAGTGCCGTCGTTCTAACTCGCTCGCCGTTGCAGCTCCGGTGCACACCAACATCTCCGCGTCCCAGACCACGTTCCCCGTGGGCGGCGACGTGTCCATCCCCTGCCAGGCCGACGGCTACCCCATCCCCAAGGTCACCTGGTTCAAGGACAACGTGAGGCTCGACCCGTCGGACACCATCCGCATCGCAGGTCAGTGGCGGATCCAGGAACCTTTTAAGGTTTTTAAGGGTTTGCAGTGCCTCCCTCACTCATCGCCTCCACCGCGTGCCCCCTTACAGAAAGCAACCGCCTCGAGGTCCTCCGTGCGGACGCCAACGCCTCGGGCACGTACCGCTGCGAGGCCGCCAACCAGTACGCCTCGCACTGGTCTGAGGTGGTCATCACCGTCACTGGCGCCTACATCCACCCCAACTGCACGGACAACCCCTTCTTCGCCAACTGCCAGCTGATCGTCCGCGCGCAGTACTGCACGCACCGCTACTACGCCCGCTTCTGCTGCCGCTCGTGCACCGAGGCCGGGCAGCTGCCGTCGCACGGGCCCCACCTGGACGACACGCAGCAAGGTACACAGCTTGTGGATTAATCTTTCAAAATGGAATGCTCGGGGAACAAATTGACGCAGTGTATCTATCCATGATGCGCGATCTTTTTTGACATTTTGTGCCTTGCCTTTTCAGGCCCCGCCCCGAGAGGAAGATTCGGCAGGAGGCGTCGCAGTCTGTCGAGGAAAATGCTGATCCAGATAGCCCAGCTGGCTAAATTGGCCAACCTCACCTAGTCACATCTCTGCCACCTAAAAGAAACCATCAGTAGTTGTTTTGATTTTGAATGAATGGACCTGATGTACAAATAGTTTCCTAGACGAATAAGCACTCTCATAAAGCCGATTTCCTTAGACTTTGCTTTACTGTAAACTTTCAAACATTAAACCTACAAACCTAGCTGGGAGCTTGGGAGCCGTTAGTTTTAAAAATTACCAATTAGTTGTTCCCTAAATGCCCCGAGATACGTTCTTCGACTTGTGGTGAAAACATGTCGCTTTTCGTTATTTTGTAGAATTAATACCATTCAACCAAAGCTTAATAGGAGTTTCTTTCGAAGCACAAATTGCCTAGAGGCAGTTACCAGCATTAAATCACCATGGCGTTTATTTAATTTAATAATTATTGAACCTTAGTTTTAAGTAGATTTTAATATTACACTAAATGTGCCATCCCTTATGACAATACTTCTTAAGAATCGATTCTTGACAAGTTGCGCCCCAACAAGAACGCACTGCCATTTCCCAACTAATTTAATACAGGCTGCACACCTGCAGTACGAGAGTATGAAGCTAAGTTTTATTCTGTCAAAATAGGAGTGTATAATAGATTAATGATTTTTTACATCATGTAAATAAAAAGAAAATGGATAAAACTGTTTTTCATTGTTTCTTTTTCTCCTTTTTACAAAATCCACACGTGCCCCAGATAGCATCTGAAACTAATAATCAATGGACACTAAAAGTAATTGATAAATTGAGCCCGGGTTTATATTGATCGACATGGACATCTTCGCGTGCCGGACTCGGCTGACTGTAGCCAACCAACGAGTCGCAACGTCCGAACACAGGGCACGAACACAAAGTGTTCATACCCGAGCCAGGACGCGAAAGAGGAAGGTCTTAAGACTACCCACCCGCACGCTTATGGGCTACAATTGCCAACAAGCGTTCAGATGCCCCCTTCGTGGCTACCAGTTGGGACAACAGAGAGTTTCGTAAATTTTTGTGCGCGTGTACATTTTGTCGAGTGCCGAGATGAAGAGAGTGGCTCGCCGCGGATTGGCCAACGCTGAGATCTTCTGCTGATAAACTAATCGCCAACATTTTCTGCAACGGGAATCGGAATGCGAGTGCCGATTACCCCTCCAGGTTTTTTTTCTTCCTGTTATTTCTTATATTGGAAAGACAAATCCGCGCGCGCCGGTGGCGCTCATAACGGCGGGAATAACACAAGTGTGCTACACAGGCAAAAGTCACACTAGCAATCAGTTTTTTCTTTCTTGCCCCGGGTACTCATTTGAGGGTTGGTGTTTGGGCGACAGTGGCCAGCTGACCTTAAGCTCAAAGGTGACTTCTTACCCCAACTCAACTCAACGTGACTTGAGGAACGTATAACATACATATCATAGTACAGCTTAAGTTGGGCACTTCCACGGAGCCGGCGGGGCAGGCGGGGCCAGCGCGCGCGGTCCACGGACAGATGCGCGACGGGCGAAGCAGGCGAAGAGGGGATGCTGCAGGCCAAAGAGCGGTTCCGAACTGAGTTTCGTCGCTCTGTCTCTCTCGCATCCCTGCGGGCCGGCTTGTGAGTGCGAGAGAGACAGAGCGATGCAGACTGCAGCCTGCAGACCGCGGGGTGGCGCGGTGAGGCGCGGTGACCTCGCGCTTCGGTATAAAAGCCGCAGTCCGCCAAACTTCTCTCATCAGTGTTGTGATCAGAGGCAGGCACCATGCACCTTAAGGTGAGTGTGGGTCGGTGCAGCGGGGCCAGCGTTCTCCAACCGGGCCGGACCCCAGTGCTTCTTAGTGCACCACTTGGCCGACTGTGAATGTGTGTGTGTGATTGTAGGTGTTCGCGTGCCTTTGCCTGGCGACGGCCAGCTTGGCTGCGCCTCAGTACCGAGCTGAGGTGCTAGCCCCCGTCGCCGCGGAGGTGTACGCACCGCCGGTGCCCATTCCCAAGCCGGAATACGCGCCGCCCCCGCCGCCTCCACCGCCGCCGCCGCCACCGCCACCCCCGCCCCCACCTCCACCGCCGCCAACCCCCATCGTCCCTGCCGCGGAGTACGGACCTCCAGCGGTGTACGCTGCTCCCGCCCCCGAGCCAGTGTATGTCGCACCAGCGCCACCACCGCCGCCGCCACCGCCTCCACCACCGCCGCCCCCACCCCCACCCCCTCCTCCCCCACCCCCAGTAGCCATTCCCGCCGCCGAGTACGGTCCACCAGCCCAGTATGCCGCCCCCGTCCCTGAGCCCGTGTACGTGGCACCTGCACCGCCGCCACCGCCGCCGCCCCCACCTCCGCCCCCGCCCCCGCCTCCCCCACCCCCTCCAGCCCCTATTCCTCTAGCTGAGTACGGCCCTCCTGCCCCCTACGCAGCCGCGGTCCCAGAGCCTGTCGTCGTAGCTGCTGCCCCTCCGCCTCCACCTCCGCCACCCCCGCCGCCTCCCCCACCTCCTCCTCCACCCCCAGTTCCCGCTGCCGTGTACGGCCCTCCTGCCGCGTACGCTGCCCCTGTTCCTGAACCCGTCTATGTAGCACCTGCTCCTCCTCCTCCGCCGCCGCCTCCACCCCCGCCACCACCACCGCCGCCACCACCCCCGCCCCCAGCACCTATTCCCCTCGCCGAGTACGGCCCCCCTGCCCCCTACGCACCTCCTGCACTGGAGCCCATCGTCGTTGCGGCTGCACCCCCGCCGCCACCCCCACCTCCACCACCACCACCGCCGCCACCTCCACCCCGCCGCCGCCCCCAGTTCCCGCGGCTGTGTACGGCCCTCCTGCCGCGTACGCTGCCCCTGTTCCTGAACCCGTCTACGTAGCGCCTGCGCCCCCGCCGCCCCCGCCTCCTCCACCGCCGCCACCACCACCACCACCACCGCCACCACCACCCCCAGTCCCAGTGGGTACCCCGTTCGCCGAGTATGGACCTCCCCCCACTGCGGTGCAAACTGCCTCCGTGGTTTCTACCGTGGATTCCCCCGAGTTCGGCTTTGCCCCCGCCCCGAGGTCACTTTTCATCTAATAAAGACTGGTAAGCTGTTGTACAATCGAGAGCCTTGGCCGGTAACTCCTGACGTCAAAGTTTTACTAAACATGTTCCTATTTGTTTCCAGATGTATACCTGGCCAACTAGTCCCGAGTAGGTTTGAGTCAAAATGCTCATGATCAGGACGGCGTCGGACCTCTGCGATGTCGTTTCGAGCTCCATGGCAAAGCAGTGTGATAAATCCATAACCGCCCATGTTACAACTATTTATTAACTCTAATGCCCCGTGGGTAGCGTTAGATACTGTATAAAGTCTGTAATAAAATCCTCTATATTAGTGAATTTCTCCTATTTTCTGAATATTAGACTACCCACACGATGAAACAAGAAAGCGACTGATTTAAAAATACGCGCAGTTCCTCAACCCAATCTGCTGCCAACCAGAATAGAAAAAACTTTTTATTATGAGGTTTGCAAGTCATGCCGATACCATTATTCTCCTCTCTCATTCGTGCATTAAAGTTAAAGAAGGTACGGGGTTTTCAAAGAAGGTGGCTGACAGGAGAAACAATATCCTAAAATCACCTAAATCCTCTATTGAATATTTTTCTAGGTTGGTAACAAAGCACACAGTCAAACACTCTCCGTCTCTCTCTATCATTCCGTTTTCTGTCTGTGATGATAATCCGATCAAAATATTGTAATTGTGAATCAGGTATTAGCGTTAACCGTTTCCGGTTCTTCTGAATAAATTTTGTTCAGAAACTGAGAGAGATCTGCTGTTTCTATCAACGTGTGGAATCTACCTATGTCAGAATAAAATAAGAAAGAAATGCCAATTTTGACATACAGACTGTTCTCTAACCTATCGTCTGCTCGCTGTCTTCTTACATAAACATTCTTCCGCTATTAATTTACCATTCTTTGATATATTTAAGTATTGGTCGCAACTAATTATGATTTCGATTTCGCGATCCTTGCTATCTTGGTTTTTATAACAATCAGTCAGTTTTAGAATTTTTGCAATGCATTTTCCTTTCCCAAATAGTGTCTGTGCCCATTGATGAGCCCTGTCTCAGAATATTTTACAAATCTGTGCTGATATCTTAACAATCTTATAGGAGCTGTTCACCGGAAAGATGTGTCAGAACTACATGTTTCTTAGGAGAATGAGTTCATCACAGCATGACTAAGTTAATGTTTGAGGTTTGAGTCCTCGAGGAAAGATAATTCCTGAACGTTGCTTTATAAAAGGTTTGTAACTGCTTTTTACAGTAATTCCACAGCTTTGTTTCCTCGTCACTTTCCATACAATAACTCAATTTTCTGTTTCTATGTCTAGAATTCAAGATGTCGACTTCCCAAGATCTGCCTGGTATAATTCAAGCAAAGCTCAGCTCTGGTGAAGCAGCTATCACTGTATCCTTTGTCATCCATGTGTAGCCTGTCCACAGTGTTATCGGTTTGTCTTTAAATTTAGCTTGCTAAATGTCAATGTCGGGGAAAAGGGAGTGTTGGAGACAAATAATTATGCCACGCCTGCCTATGGAGTTCCATCCCTATTTTTTTTTTGAACCTTAACTGTTGTTCAGGTCCATGAAGCTAGTCTTATGCAGGGTTGGGTGCGTGCTTCACGCATCCTTGCTTTGGTTGAGCATGAAAATGAATGTGCTCTCTTCATCTTCATTTCTTCTCGAATGCCTCCAGAAGTATTTACTGACCTTGCCATTGAAAGAGTTATCCCTGTTGATGCTGACTTCAAATGTGAAATCGGTATGCCAAATAAAATTGTTCTATGGCTCATATAACTCCCCTGGCTACTTCAATTTTATAATGTCAGAGTCCTAATATTTGTTAAATTGTTTCATAGATGCTGGAGAACAAAGTGTTGATGTTTATGTTAACATTTCATCTCGCAAATTAAAGCTTCTCTTTGAGATGATACCAGGGCTTAAAACAAACAACTTTGTTTCTGAAATAATGCGATCAATGGAAGGTAATTTTCCCTCTTCTGAAGTACTTTATTTGATGTTAATGTTGGTTCATATCTAGCTCATACATTGATTTGTAACAATATTGTTCAGCTTTGAGTAAGAGACGAGGTCCACCACCAGAATTTCAGTGGCTCCACAAATATTCTGGATCCAGCAATAGAAACAGTGCAGATTGTGTTGCTTCATCTCTGGACACATCTGACGATGATGCATTCAAGGCATCCAAAACAGAGGCAGAAAAGGTTTGTTTATTTGAGAGTTAGTGCCAGTTGATTATCTCTTTCTGCTGGAAAATATTGCATCCTTGAAAGAAATTGAGAAAAATAATCCAGTGTTGAAATTGCAGATGTTGGACATCTTGGATAGTCCAGACATTGTCGTACCACGACAGAGCATAGCCCAGGGAGCAACTCCAATTGCAGCAAGAGAAAGTGTCATTCGGCATCAAATGTCAATGAAAGAAGATGATTACACGTTTACACAGACCTTGAGGTAAGCAATCCTTGATATTTCTGCTTTCTTTCTCAAACCTGAGTAAAATATGTATTACTAAGAACATTAAATCATTTCAACTGTTATTAATTTTTCTCGTGTGTTCAGGATGTTCATAGGTACGTGGAATGTCAATGGCTTGCCTCCAAGTTCAAGTTTAACACCTTGGCTTGCTTCAGACTTAGAACCTCCAGACATCTATGCTATTGGCTTCCAAGAACTTGATCTCAGCAAAGAAGCTTTTCTTTTCAACGACACACCCCGAGAAGAAGAGTGGCGGTATGGTTCCCTTTTAGTGAATGTCATATCTATTAGAATCATTTTCTAGAATCATACTGCACTATCCGCATTTTTTCAATTCTTTTTTCATGAATGATACATTTTTAATCTTGCTTTTTGTTATTGATTTAGGAAAGCTGTGATGGCTGGTCTTCACCCAGGTGGAAAGTACCGACAGGTTGCTCTGGTTCGACTTGTTGGAATGATGTTAATTTTGTTGGTTGAAGAGAAACATGTAAAACATGTTCGTAATGCAGCCTTTGAAACCGTAGGCACAGGCATAATGGGTAAAATGGTAAGAGTTGTTCCTGGGGTGCAGGTTGCAGGTTGTCAGGTGTGATAGTATATATTTTATTAATGATGGACCCGTTTTACAGGGCAACAAAGGTGGAGTTGCAATCAGAGTAGAAATTCACAACACATCTATTTGTTTTGTAAACTCTCATTTGGCTGCACACGTTGAAGAATATGAGAGGCGTAACCAAGACTATCATGATATTTGTTCAAGACTATCATTTTCCAAATTTGCTCCAGTAAAGTGCATCAAGGATCATGAGTAAGTGAAGTTGCTCCTTTCTGTTGTCAAATACTTAATTTGGTTTTACCACAGGTACAAGCTTTAGAAAAAAATCATGCAACACTTGACTCTTTGTTTTTCAGTCAAATATACTGGCTCGGTGATCTTAACTATCGAATTACTGAAGTAGAAATAAACACTGTCAGGGATCTAATAAATCAAAACTATTTTCCCGCTCTCATACAATATGACCAACTGCACCGTCAGCGCAGCCAGAATAATGTATTTGAGGGTTACCATGAGGGTGCCATCACTTTCAAACCTACTTATAAATATGACCCGGGAACAGATGATTGGGACTCAAGGTGAGTGTGAGAAATGTATTCTTAATTCGATTCAAATTTAAGTATAACTGACTTTCTATGGACTTTTTACAACTCAGTGAAAAAAATCGAGCCCCTGCATGGTGTGACCGAGTTTTGTGGAGAGGAGATGGAATAGAACAGAAAGAGTATCGCAGTCATCCAATTTTGAAGACAAGTGATCACAAACCAGTCAGTGCATTATTTGATTCCCAGGTAATCATGTTATTTTTATTAACAACAAGTCAACTATCATTTCTCCTCTGTCCTTGTGATACTAGACTCATATTGTTCTTTCACAGGTTCGGGTCATTGATGTTGTTAAATATCGTAAAGTTCATGAGGAAGTTATGAAGAAACTTGACAAGCTAGAAAATGAATTCCTGCCTCAAGTGACAGTAGATAATACAGAAATAATATTTGATATTGTTAGGTACCTAGAACCTCAAAGTCAAGAATTGATCATTGCCAATACTGGTCAGGTTAGTATAACTTATTGTTTGAACTGCAAAATTTTAAATGTGCTTTCTCAATGTTACTAAAAATCAAAATAATTCTATAATCTAATATTTTCTCCAGGTACCTGTTCAGTTTGAGTTTATCAAGAAACTAGATGATTCAAAATGTTGCAAAGAATGGCTTAACATTGATCCTCCTGTCAGTTTTATTATGCCTGGTAATTCTTTTAATATTTCCTGTTGTCTTGTCTAGTGTGTCAATTGTTTCAATTGTTCTGCTGTGATTTTTTATACAATCCCTATGTCCTATGTCATTTCTATTTTTCAGGAGAAAAATGTGATGTGAAACTTGAGGTGTTTGTAGATAAAAAGTCGGCTTTCAAACTGAATTCTGGAGTTGATAAATTATATGACATACTTGTTCTGCATCTTGAAGGTGGAAAGGACATATTCATTACAGTAACTGGTATGATTACATTGAATCTCTCACTGGTAGTAACTGTCTTATCACATTGATATTTTATTTGAAATTATGTTGTTATTTATTTTTAGGCAACTATGAAAGAAGCTGTTTTGGATCATCATTAGAGGCTCTTGTTCATGTCAGTGTACCAGTGAGAGAAATCCCTATTGGTAAACTAGTTGAACTTGTAAGTGTCCCACTGTTATTGATTTTTTTTCCTTAGCTTAAGCGTCTGTTATAAAAACAATTGTGTTATTAATAGGAGACCACAAAAGAAGCTCCTGGGGGAATGGAACCTTACCCCATTCCAAAGGAGATTTGGTTCTTGGTTGACCATCTCTATCGTCATGGTTTGAAAAAGCAAAATTTGTTTTTGCTCCCTGGTCTTCACTCTGAATTGTTAGCAATTCGCAACTGGCTGGACAATGGATCATCTGAGCCTCTTCGTAAGGGATTCAATTTACTTAATTCAAGTCTCTTTTTTTATGACGTATATAACACCTTTTTCTTTTTGAAAATACAGCGGGTAGTCTTCATTCCATAGCAGAGGCACTTCTTTTGTTATTGGATTCGACATCAGAGCCAATTGTCCCCTTCAACTTGCAGAGTGTGTGTCTAGGTGCCTCAAGCAATTATTTACAATGTAAACAGGTGAGTTTCATTGCTAACTGCTAATTGTTTTCTGTTGTTCACCTTATTGTTTTATGTATTTTATTTTTGCCTTGCAGATTGTTGTGCAGCTACCTGAATACAGAAAAAATGTTTTCCTGTACCTATGTTTTTTCTTGCAAGAACTTTTGTCTCATGCAAATGAGAATGGACTTGATGCCAAAACTCTTGGTATGGTATTCATTGTGTTGTTTAATATTTCTTCCCAGCACACTCGGGATGGAAGTTGAATTTGTTCTTTTTTTGTCTGTTTTCACAGCCACAGTGTTTGGTGGAATTTTTCTTCGGGATTCACCCCGTCCTAGTGCAAGAGCAAATTCTACTGTGGATAGAAAAAAAGCAAACTTTGTTTACCATTTTCTTGTCAATGATCTTAGTGACTACGTTGTAAGCAAAGCACTTCATCTAGGACCGTCATCATGAGTCGCTTGTTCCAACAGTATTCTATTCAATAATAGTTGAAGGTTGTAATATTTCAAACAATGTGAAAAGTGTAGTATGCACCTGTAAGTTTTTAAGGGCAAAGGTGTTTGCTTCTTACGAAGAAAAGTGAACAAAATTTTGAAGGGCTATCCAGCACTTTGGTACTTGCTTTTTATTTCAGTTTTTTTTTTTTTTCAATTTTAGTAATGCAAGTGCATATTAGTCACATTTTGGGGAATTTGTCCCCCAGTGAGTATCTGTGTTGTATAGTTTACACCATTTAGCACCATGCAAGTAATATTAGTTTGTTATAAATTATGTCTCACTGCAAGTGTATTTAATAAAGGTTATGGACTTAATCTGATAACTGTAATCAAACCAAACTTCTCTTACCATTACCTTTATATAATGATGTTTTTGTGAAATGTTATGAATTTATTTCTTTAATTGCTCCTAAGCATAATAGTTTCTTTTTGAACCCCTCTTTCTATGTTGTATTGTTAACTCTTCTGTTATTCCGTGCATATAGGGACCATTGTAAGGACTTTCAAGTACAAAGTTAGTCTACTTTAAGTTGTACTTTGTTTCAAAACCTGTCATGGGTTGATTGTTACTGCTTTTATGTATCATTGTTTCATACCATGTTTATTATTTAAGTGTGTCTTTGTCTGCCAGTCTTCATAAACCTGTTAATTAGTTTGTGTTCTTGTTGTTTGCGATGTTCCGTCACGTTTTATTTTCTGATTAACTAATAATTAGTTTTAAAGTTGTCCTGTTGAATGTGGTTTAAATTTCCCATATCCATTTGCATTTGTTCTATGGAATATTCTTCCATCCATATCCCTCAGTTACTTTTATCAGGAATCTACCATAAATATCGGAGGTGAACACCTGTGGTGAAATTTTGTGAACTCGATAATCTGCAAATTTGAAATATTATAAATAAATAGTTTGTTTAAAATACTCCTTCTTTTTTATTTCTTTTTCCTTCAATTTTTGAGATATTTCTACAAAATATTGCATTCACTTGAAAACACTTACATTTACAAAATCACAAAAGAGGAATGGGTAATGGATGATACTCGATGGGCAGATGAACAATGACATAAAATATAAAACAAGGATAAAAACAAACAAACAATGGGAACAACTTGCGACAAGAGGATGGTAAATCTCCTCAAGCCACTCCTTCTACTTCACATAAATACTGTTATTACAATCACAATGTCGCCAGCGTAACGCTTTTTCCCGCCAACGAAAAACAAAGGAGAATGGGAAACCTGGCAGAGGGCGGTGCCGGCGGTGCGGATGGCAGGAACCGCAGGAACACGTTTTCAACGGAACGCGCCTTGGCGCCTCGGGCAATCCAACGCAACAACAACAAAACAAGTAACGGCCCCGGGCGCTGCTGCTGCATGCTGCTGCATGCTAGTGCATGCTGGGGCATGCTGGGGGCGCTGGAGGGTGAGGGACATCCAGGCTGGGACCTGGAAATGCTGGAACGGCGTCAGGGCCGCAGCGAGGCGCGGCGCGGCGTGGCGGGGCCTGGCGGGGCGTGGCGGCGCCGCGGGCCATTCCGATGGGCGTCGCGACGCTGTTGCATGCCGTCGCCGCCCCCAGGCACTGCGAGGCACTGCGAGGCACTGGCAGCCCGAGGCCGCGGCGCCGCCCCCTCCCTGCAGCCTGCGGCCACCCTCGCCCACAGGTCGCCTGGACCCCGGACCTGGGACTTCCCCGGGGCCGAGCCGGCCGATGACGCAAGGGAGCTGGCGGCATGCCGCGCGCCGCCCCGGAACCCCCTTATTTGGACACGGCACCTGGTAGAGATCACGCGCTTGACGCGCTCCGGGTCATGACGACGACGACGACGACGACGTGCTTCGGCGCCCTCGGTTTGTGCCGGGGTCATCCGGATGGGCCGGCCGACTCCGACACCCGGAAGAGGACGCCCGGATCATCATGGTTGGGGTCCGGAGCGCTAATCTGCCCGACTGGGGCTAGCAGCTAATAGCTACCGGAGCCCGACGGGGCGCCGTACGAGCCAGAGGGGGCGGCGGGCGCGGGGCCGGGGGCGCCGTAGCTGTCGCCGGGGGCGGACGGTCCTGAGCCGGAGGCGGGGGCGCCGTACGACGAGCTGATCGAATTGGGGTAGCCCTCCTGTTTCTGAAACGGAAAGAGAGAAACAAACAGCGGTACATTAACGAATCGGAAGCTGCATAGCGAATGGCGGCATGGCGGCGCGAGCAGTGGGCCGTCCATTAATTACGTAACGCACTAGGGGGAGGGGGGCTGGTTCTGCGCAACGCTGCGGAACACGTCGTAGAGACGTAACATAAAGCGCACATTTGAGAAAAATTAAGAGTAAAATTGGGCAGAGAGAACTTTAGAAAATGTTTTTGGAGTAACGAAGTTGGACGTCCCACAGAGCCCGAAAGGCCCGAAAGGCATGTCCGGACATGACGGCATCGCGGTTTTGTTTATGTTGATGTTGTTGCGAGTTTGATTGAAACGTTTGCCGGACAATGGTGTTTGCCTAAGGCCGGACCGACGGCGTGGGCGGCGGGTGCGGTGGGTGGACTCACCTGGGTCTTGTACCGGATGAAGTACACCTCGGGCTTGGACGGCTTGGTGGGCGGCTGGGTGGGGATGTTGATTTCGGGCTGCTCCTCGGGCTTCTTGACCAGCACGTAGATGAGCGTCTTCTGCTCGTCCTGGGGCGGCAGCTCGATGGTGGGCGCGGTCGGCGGCGGCGGGGTGGGCGCCTTGATGAAGACGATCTTGTAGTGCTTCTGGGGCGGGGGCAGCGGCGCCTGGGGCCTCCTGGAACAGAAGAGCGGGGGTTTGTTAGACTCAGGTCTCCGTCGGCCGGGGTCCAGGACAGGTACAGTACCGCAACGACTACGCGACCACAGGCGACTACTCTCCTATTTCCACGTCGTCCTCTCCGTTTCACACGACACCGTCGCAAACTTCCGTGTCCTGTCCGTCGCGTTCGGTCCGGCACCCTTCCGGCGTTCATTAGGGTTCATTGGGGCTCGACTGTCGGTGTAGTGGCCGTGCCCTCCAGCGAGGAGCCGGACAGCGCGCCAAGCCTGCCTCGGCGCCTGCGATGCGTCGGGTAGGCAAACCCGCCGAACAGGCGTGCCCTGGGTTGCCTGCCTCCACGGCGCTAGGGGCGAGGTAGGCCACCGTCTCCTCACCGGTGCCTCGGGGGCCGGGTCGGTGGCCTACCTCACAGGCGCTACAGGCGCGATCTCCTGACCCGCAGAGTGGCTTGACTCGACATCATCAAAGTGCCCGAAGCTGACCGGATGGACGCGGCGCGCGCTGGTCCAGTCCGTGGAGTCACGCTCCTGCAGAGGAAGAAAGGCACGGTCCAGGCCACCCAGGCCACCATCTGCATTGCAAATGGCCCGCGGGGCGGGGCGGGGCGGGGCGCTGCACGCTATGCGTGTAACGCGTGTACCCGCGGACCACGCGCCATGAGGGCCGCGCCGCGGAAACTCTCCGCTCTCTCCCTCTCTTGACCGGCCGCTGTTCCCGCGCGTGCATGGCGTGAGGCCGGCGCGACCCCGTGGCCTATCCGAGGGCCTGGACGAGGTCCTGCGGGACGATTCCGAACGGCGCTTCCGTCGTGTCTGCCTCTCTCGCACTCTCGGGGCGTTCAGCGGAGAGGCAGAGCGACGGAATCCGCCCGCTTGCAGTGCGTCGGTCGGGGGACTTTCGCCGGGTCGGGGGTCGGGGGTCGGCCGGCGGGGCGTGCGCGAGGAAGAACCCGAGTGAAGGTCCGGCCGGCCGGGCGCGCCGTCGGAATGCGCCGTGGTCTGGAGTGACGTCATGGCGTGCGGGGGCGGGGCGTGGCACGCACGGCACGGCACGGCACGGCGCCGTACCGCGGTGCGCCCAATGCAGTGGGCGAGGCGAGGGTCCGGTTCGGCGGAGCTTTCGGTCGCCGCCACGTCGCGACGGTCCGAATGCGGCGGTCTGGCGCCGGGCGGCGACCAAGGCGACATCGCGACATCGCACCGCAACTAGGTGTTCGACAAAGCAAACACCCAACGAGAGCGCGCCACGCTTGCAACGAGATGAACCATCACGTCGGCTGGCGTAACTGTGATGTTTTGTAGGCGAAGGGCGCGCTGGCGCCGCTGGCGCGTAGGGACGCACTCTGAATTCCGGCCACGTCGGCGTGCTCTTGTAATGGCCGTGTCATTCCGAATCCGAACCCGAATCCGCCGGGGGCCGCAAGCCTCAGCCTCAACGTGACGCGGAGGTGTACCTCAACGTGACCCTGAATGTGAACCTGGATTGGAGGGGCCTTCTCGTCTCGTCTCGTCTCGTCTCAGCGAAGCAGAGCCAAGCGCAAACCCCATCATAAGCCCGCGCGCACACAACTCAATAAACCTGCCCCGCCGAAAGCAGTGGCCCCGCCCGCCGCCGCGGGAGCAGGTGTCTCTCTCTCTCACACTCATGGGGCGCGCCATACAAGACAGACCGTGCGGAAGAGAGACAGACCGACGGGCCTCCCTCTCGAGGCCGGCCCACTGCCCAGCGCCAGCACCCAGGAGATTCTTGATTTCGCGTTCAGCGCTCTGGCTTCTTTTCATCCGGGCACTACGCTAAGTGCAGCCAGCACTTTCGGAGCAGGGACACAACTTTCCGCACCGCGCTAAGAGGACGTGCATTACAAATTCATTAAATGGGAAGGCGCGATGATCGCGCAGCGCGGCGCAGCGTTCCCTGCTTCGGAAAGTCCCCGAGCGCGAACCAGAGCCCAGCCGAGTGAAGGGGGAAGAGGGGGGGGGGCACTCCGTGCCACGGCACTGCGCTACGAACAGCAAGTTGCCCCTTTTACTTTGAGGCGGCGCCGTGACTCCAAGATCGTGACTCGCACGGCGACAAGCGGACTGACACATCGACCGACACGTGGACTGACACGCGGACTGACACGCGGACTGACACGCGGACTGACCTCAGATAGGACTCGAGTCAACCACACAGATTCATCTTGGACGGGGAGTACCCTCCTCGTGTGTTATATTTCAGCTCAAATCAGCCCGAGTCATGTTCACCTGGACGAGACATCTGTCTGTTACTGTCCGTACAGTGCATACTGGGTGCGACTAGTGTACTGTACAAGGAAGGACGGAGCCTCGGCAGGCACTGGCTTGGCGTGATGGGCCGGCGGTGATTCCGAGGGCTCTTACTCTGTCTCTCTCGCGCCCTATGAGTCCGAGAGAGAGAAGGAGCGAGCGATGAAAACGACTCTCGGAACCAGTCCACGGACCTCCGGACAAAGGGAAGTTGACCGGGCTTGACCGGCGGCGCGCCCCGCCTGCTCCGCGCCTCGCGCTCGCGGCGTCGCGGCGTCGGCGTCCTGGACTGCAGCTACACTGTCCGCACTGCACACTGAAAGCGCCCGGCCCTCGTCCAGCGCCCAGCCGTGTAAGGGCAAAGGACTCCTGAAGGGTGCGCCGTGTCCTGCCACGCCCTGCCCTGCGTTGGTCCTGTCCAGCCTGTCAGCGTGTGCCCTTTGTACTTGTCGCGGCCAACTCCAAGACGAAGTGCCCGGGCGCCTGTCTCGCACATCGCCACCTCCTTGACGGTTATGAGCGCGTCGGGCAAGGCGGGCGTCGCCCCGCCGGGGGCATCGCACCTACGGCCCGTCCGGGGCCGCCCTGCCGCCCACTGGAAAGAGTAGAAACAGCCACTGTCTCTGTCTCTCTCCCGCACACTCCGAGGAACGACCTAGGAGGCAGTGCCATTGCGCCATTATGCTTAGCTCGGCCGTATTTTATTGTTACCAATGCTCGTGCGACCGGCCTGCGGTTTCGCCGAAACGCCAGAAAGCACGCAGTCCAGCCCACTAGAAGAAAGCCCTTTCCCTTGAAGGGCCGCGCGCCGCGCAATGTGCTTCGTAAGGATGCACTCAGAAAATTGCGGCCAAACTTGTTTCAGAAGTGACTAGCAGGCGCTCTTATTCAAGCGAGCCTCCAGCGCGACGCTGACCAGCTGGCTGGTGCCGAACAAGGACTGTGCTTTCGTCGCTCTGTCTCTCTCGCACCCACGGGACGGGGCGGGGTGTCCCGTGGGAGCGAGAGAGACAGAGCGAGAATGTTCGGAGCCAGCCCGCTGGGCGCTGTGCTGGGCCCTGACTGCTGCAGGGGTCTGGCTTGGATCTGTCCGGCGGATGGACGCCAGCCGTCACGGCAACGTCCAGCCGGCCGGCGCTGGGGCCGGCACTGGGCGTCAGCGAGTCAGCCAGTCAGCGGCCGGTGAAAGCGAAACTGTAGCGGGTCTGGCGGCACGGCCTAGCCAGGCCTAGCGCACTGTCTTCTATGTAAAGCCGTCGCCTAGTGGGCCCGGCGGCGCCCTACCCCGCCCCGCCGTCGCCGCTGATTACCCCGCTGTAGAACGGCCGTGTGGAGGCCGCGCGGGGGCGACTAAGTAGCTTAGCGCCGGGAGGACGCGGCGACGCGGCGGGGCGCGGCTGCCAGAGGGCGCTTTTTCCCTCTGCAGAGTGGCCGGGCGTGCATTGTGCAGCACGTCAAGGCCGTCGACAAGGTGCTTACCTGGCCGGGTAGTAGGCGGGCTCTGGTGGCGGCACGTGGACGTACACGTGCTTGTGCACGACGGGGGCCTGCGAGGGCGGCCCGTACTGCGGGGGCGGGGCGCCGTACGAGCCGCCGCCGGAGGATCCGCCGCCGCCGCCGCCGATGGGGGCGGCGTAAGAGTCGAGCTGCACGCCGCCGCCGCCGCCGAAGCCGGACGATCCGAACGACGAGCCGCCGAAGCCGCCGCCGCCGCTGCTGTGGCCGGGCCTCGCCACCGCCACCGCGGTCAGGGCCGCCAGCACCTGCGAGAAGAGCGTACACTGTAAGGCACTCGTCAGTGCGGAAGCCTCTCGGAAAGCCAAGCCGCTCCATCGCGGCGGAAGCTTCACCGTCGCAAGCGAGTTAAGGCACACAAAGGCGGAGGCCGCAGTCGGAATAAAATGTAGCCCCGCCAGTGTAGAGCCGCGCGAGTTCGCCGCGCCGGAATGGTTCGCCCCCTTCCTTTTTTTTCGGCGCGAGTTTGCCAGGAATTCCCCCGAGCTTCTCCTCGTCCGCGCCCCTTCCCTCGGCCCCCAGCTGAGTCGCTCTGTCTCTCTCGCACTCGCGCTCGCAGGGCGCGGGTGCGAGAGAGACAGAGCGACGGGAAAGCAAACGGTTCGGAATCACTCGCCGCTGTGCACTCTCAGCCTGTCACGCATTTCAGTGAGCAAACATGGAATTTGGTTTTAATTTCCCAAGGATTACGTGGTGATTGCTCAGTACTGTGTACCGGCACTGCCGTTTATGAAACAAATTGCAAATAAATTTGTAACTATTTCAGAAGAAAATACTAATGAGTGACGACAAGTATTTTTGTTTGCTCTCAGAAAATACAGTAGGTCCGGCGTGAATGGAGCGCACAACCTCGCTTCGGTTTTACCAGTGGGTTCGCTGGCCGACGGCATGCCGACGGGCAGAACAGTGTGGGAGCCGCTACAAGACGCGCCCTTGTGTGCGCCTGCCGGCGAATTGGTATCGCATCGAACGCGGAGCAGCAGGGCAGCACACAGCGCGGCAGCACGGCAGCACGGCCAACTCGAGGCGCTTGCCTTTGTTCTCGACCGCGCGCGCTGTTTCGTTTCATGTGTTCTCGGCGCCGCGCGCGCCGCGCCTACTCCAGGGCGCTCCGCCGGGCCGAGTCCGAACTTCGTCGCTCCGTCTCTCTCGCACTCGCGGGGCGTGCCGCGGCGGTGCGAGAGAGACACAGGCGCCGCCGTCCGCAATCAGCCGAGCGCCAACTTTTCTAGCCTTTCTCGGCAAATTCTGCAGCTTGTCCCGGCCGGCGAAGCGAGCCCATCATTGGGAAAAAGGGGCGGGGGCACTGCGCTGCAAACGGCTGCACAACACGAATGTCCGACAAACTCCGTGCGTGGTCCAGCCGGCCGGCCCGGGCCACACAGCTCGCGGCTGCTTGCCTTTGGCAGCTTTTGGCAGCCTTTGGCAGCCTTTGGCTTGCCTGCCCTTGCTTTTCTCCTTCGTTGTTTCGCAGCCCGCCTGGGTGAATGCCGAATGCCAGTGATTGATTGTTCGGCTTGGACGTATCGCCGCGCAAACTGCCCGCGGCGAGTTGGGAATAAAGCGGCGGCCCGAATCGCTCTGTCTCTCTCGCGCCGCCGCGGCCTGCGGGACGCTGCGGGACGCCCCGCGAGTGCGAGAGAGACAGAGCGTGGGCATCACGAGGAGCGACCGCCCGCCAGTGCCGTGCCGCCGTGCCCTCGAGAGGCGAAAGGCCGAATTACCGCGGCGAGCGCGAGAGAGACATTCCAGTCGCTCTGTCTCTCTCGCGCCCCTGCGGCCTGCGGGGCGCGTCACGAGTGCGAGAGAGACAGAGCGACTGCTCTGGATCAGCGGCCAGGCACCTCAGGTACGTGGTTACCACGGTTACCATGGTTACTCAATGGTAATGCTGCCCGTTACGTGCACCGCTCTATTACATGCTACTCATCTGCTGCCGCGCCGCCACTCCGCCTCGCTCCAGGCACGTGCCCTGCAGTGGCGTGGCCGGGCGTGGCCAGCGAGCCGTGAGGGACTTGCAGGGCCGGGCAAAAACAAGTTGCCTATCAAAATAACGACTTCATCCACGTCGGGCGGGGAGGAAGGGAGCCGAGCCGAGCTGGACCGCAACTCTTGTTAATTAGCCATCCTCCGCGTCAACAACGTTATGCACGACTTTTTGTCGGAATGTTTTGGATGCCCGAGATGATGAAGTCAGGCGCTACAGAGATATCAATGCGTAAGTTATGATGCCTTGTAATGTGGACTGTCGTGAAACCGTGGGATGAAGGACGCGACCCGGGGAGGGGGGGGATGATGTATTGGGGAGCAGCGGAAGAAGGGAGGGGGATAGTTATTGCAGCCCACCCCGAGACGACCCACTAGAATTTAACGTGCGACCGCTGCAGGCTGATTCCGAACAGTGTCGTGCCACTCCGCGTCCCTCGCATCCCTGGTCGGGACGTCCCCACGGGTGCGAGAGGGACAACAGAGAGACGCAAGCACTGTTTGGCGTCAGCCGGGCTGTGCTGCCTGGTTGGTTTTGCGTGATTCGCGGGAGTTACAGTGGCCGTCACGCCGCGTGCCTCGCCGCCTCCGTGCGGAGCGGGAGACGGGGAGACAGCGTCTGACAAGGGTGATGAAAAATGCGAACTGCGTGGGGTCTGCGGGAATGGCGCGGACAACACTGCACTCGTGCTGACCTAGATGTCTGGATGTCTCGCGGCCAGTCGGACAGTCTGCTGGAGGGCAGCCGTCGGCAGGCCGAGCATGGAGTAGCGAAGGGAAGGGGCCCTTCACCCCTTGCTTGCATTGGTCGCCTCGCTTCGCCTCGCTTCGCCTCGCTTGCGGCTTCGTGCGAATCTCCGACGCTGTTGTGGAGCCCTTCGGCGGCCGGGGCACGCCGGGCACAGGGTACTCACGCGGCACACGGCATGGAACACGCTGGCCTGTCTTACCGATGAGAAAACGGCGAGCGCCACGCGCTGTCTCTCTGTCTCTCTCTGTCGCACCCCTTCGGAGTGGCCCTCGAGTGCGAGAGAGACGGAGCGACAGCCGGCTCGTGGCGTGCATGGCCCCCGGCGTCGTCAAACAGTAGCGGCTCGCGCGGCCGCGGGGCGGACGAACGGCAGAGCAGCAGAACACCGAGAGAAACTGTTTCACAATGCCGCACGTGCAGCATTTTTTATTTGCGGCCAATCAACAAATGTGCCGCAAGTGAAACTGAATTTTTTTTTGGGCTCGTGGAACATGTGTGTGACACGGCGGGGGAGGGGGGGGGGCCCGGAGTGACACACCGCGGCGCGGCACGCACGGCGAGGACGACGTCGGGGCGACGACGCGGGGGACGACGAGGAGGACGCCCTCGCAAAAAGCACGACGGGGGTCTTGGTGGCGCGCGGCGCGGAGCACTCGAAGGAAAAGCATTCCGCCGACAGGCAAACACTGGCATGCCGAGTGGCGCGGACAAAGGCGTCCCGCACCCCACCCCACTGTGTTCGATTCGAGTCCGGCGGAGAGTGAGAGTACCAGCGGCTTTGGTTCCGAACAGTGCGCTGTCGCGTACTGTCTCTCTCGCACCCCCAAGGGCCGCCCCGCGGGTGCGAGAGAGACAGGGGACGACGCCTGCCGGCGGGCCGCCCTTCGCGGAGTCCTTAGAGGCGCCTCCCACGCCAGCTGACAACCCCTCGGCGCGCCTCGGCGGCAGAGAGTCCTTCAATTATTATTGACAATACCGCCAAGCCGGGCCGGGCCGGCCCACCGGCGAGGCGGCGTGGCGAGCAGGCGCCGCTTCAAGAGGTTTCATGCTCATCGCGCGATTTGCTTCGGCTGGTGTGGGCAACAGCCGGTGACACTGCCGGGGCGGGGCGGCGATGAGAGGCCAGGCGGGCCGTGGCTGACAACGTATGTCTGGACGCGGTGACGGGCGGGTTGCCTATGCCTTGATTGACAGGGGTCTGCCATCGGCCAGCCCGGCGAGCCTCACAGCTCCTGCCGCTGGCGCTGCTACGGCGGACCATCTCAGGAAGCGGCCATCACAGCCATGCTCAGAGAACCAATACACTGTAGTGACAGCAGCTTGGCGAGGAACAATGCAGACCGATTAAAACCGAGAACTGCCCGCGACTGGCGCGGTAACTGTGTTCACCTTGGCCGGTGCGACAGTTGATCGCCTGTTTCGGCGCGTTACGGTGCCGTTTACCTGGTTGGCCTGAAACTGAGGCCAACAGAGAGAGAGAGGTAGAGAGAGCGCAGTGCCTAACTGCCTAACAGGCCGAGGGCTGAGCAGGGCCGCCCGCTTGCGTAAAAATGAGATAAGCCGGTCTTGACCCGCTTGCAGCGGCGCGGCACGCCGGCAGCGTTAATCAGCGCGAGAGGGGCGGGGCGGGGCGGGCCGCGGCGTCGCCTCCCGTGTGCCGGCCGCGCCGGCTTCCTCGAGTGATACGAAAGACGCGGCATCCTCGCGCCCTGACGGCCCGCTGGAGGATGCTGGAGCATGCTATGGAAGCTGGAAGTGTTCCCGGGTCAATTTTCGCCGCGCTTTGATCCCCATTCTAGAATTTCCCCCCACCCCTCCTCCTTGGTTCTTGCCTCTCCTTGCAGTGCCGACACGCCTCTCATCTTTTTCGTTCCCTTCGATATCCTATCGCCTGGCGACGATGGCCCGACGGCCTGCCCCGCCCCGCCCCGCCCCGCCCCGCCACGCCCTGCCCCACCTCAACGCCTTTTCCTCCCTGCTTGACTTTCACCCCCTTCTTCGAGGACAGCGCCAACATTCGCTGCAGCGCGGGACCACGCGGCCTCGCCGGACCGATGTTCAGCCGATCCCAATCAATGCGTGCGCGCACGTAATAAACAAAACCCGAGGCACGCTTTAATGCTTCAATGGTCGGGACACGCTTCCGGTCGTAATCGCGGGATTTATACGCGCCGATCGCCGGCAGTGCTTTCGTCGCTCTGTCTCTCTCGCACCCGTGCGGGACTCGCCGTGCGTGCGAGAGAGACAGAGACAGCGCGGGCAGGCTGCAGGGAATTCCTTGTCGCGGAGCAAGGCCTCCCGGCAGCGGCAGGCGGTTTTGGTGGCCAGACAGGCAGACACCGCACCGCGCGCCGCGCACCGCGCGCAGGAGAGAATGGCGCGAGGTGCTCGCTGCCGTCTCTCTCGCACTCCCGCGAACCTCCTCACGAGTGCGAGAGAGACGGAGAGAAGCGCTGCCCGGAATCGGCCTGAGAGAGAATTGCGCGCGCAGATAACATCGCAGTGTCGCGGTGCCGCCATGCTGCCGCCACGCTGCCACGCTGCAGGAGGCGTTGGGCTGTAGCCAGGCGGGGCGAGTAGC